TAGGAGAAGGCCCCTAATCCCCCACGGCTGAGCCACATGGCCAATACACCCCTCAATCCAGACTTCTTTACTTAATAAAAATAAAACCCTCACCCCAATTACCCTTTATGCTTTATAAACATAACAATACATTGCACTGTATATGCTGTCATGACTTCTGTATATTATGTGTTTTATCTTTGATCTGCCACATGTTGATGTGAGGCATAAATAAAGAACTATACTTTTTTTTTTAAATAATGCACGCAATGTTTTCAGAGATTGTTACGGGCTTAGGGGGAGGCTGCTTTGGCCCTGCTGCCGTGTTAAAGAAGGTAATTTTTTTTAACATTGTTGTGTAAGAGGGTCCACTTCATCGGTGGCCCACAGGGCCCACTTGCCAACACCCTGGCCAGCCCGCCACTGCATATAAAAAATGTTAATATACTATATATAGGGGCACTTGAAGATAAACACTTAAATTATGGTGGCACAGACCAATATCTCAAATTCAAGGCATTGTTTTTGTTCAAAACGTGGACAATTGCCTCCATCCTTAAGGGTTAAAGTACAATGTGTTTAGAATTTATTCTGCATAAATACATTACTTTGTTCTTGTTCTAAATTACATTTAAGGTCACACCCCCTATGACAACCCTAAAATTAATGTGTCAATATTTTTCCATTTGAAATGTTGGGTGGTATGCCCAAATCAAATTATACATGCATTTACTCTCCCACACACGCAGTTACTTATACACATAACTGCCATCGCTCATCCAGTTACCCACACAAAATTCCCAACACACATGTACCTCTACCAATACAACTCTAATTATACATTCAGTCACACATACTTCTCATCACACTTCACATTACACATCTCCCCTTTGCAGCCTCTGTAAAGTTACTAGATTTAGGTTCTGCCAAAAGTTTCATTTACAGACGAATTATAATTTTGTTTTGGCTAAACCAAATTTCGTGTTTGCTCATTTACAAATGAAATTTGCCCATTATTTTTGGGCTGAATTTCATTCAGACTAATTAAGTTCCAATCTGTACCTTGGAGACCTTTAGCAGATAACTCCATAAATTGTGGGATTGCCAAGTTTCAGGTTACCATATTATTATGCTGTTTTGTAGATAGTTCCTTTTTGGTATCCTTATGGCAATCCCACAGGGAGGAGGAAGCTATCTAACATAGCTTCCTTTTTATTATTTTTATGTTTCAGTCAACTAAAAAAATACTTAATATTAGTAAATAAGAGAGGCTAAATCCTCCCTCATGCCACGAGCCACGCTGCGAGTAAGGGGTTGTCTAGTAAGAAATAACTAGCAACTGGCACAGCAGATAAGGGCATGAGGGAGGATTGAATTAACCTTATAGAAACCTTATATAGGACTGTATATATTTTTGTGAGGGGGTGTTTTTTTTTAAAGCAATTCATCAATGCGATTTGTTTTTTAGTTAGTTTAGTTTGTTACATGAAGCGAGCTACCGTCTCGAGACTTCCTCCTTGTGATATTTAAAAATAGAATCCCCCCACACTCACCCTCACCCAAATGTATACAGTCCTATAGGGGTCGATATGATCCCCATAATACTGTAAGGGAGGTTAAATCCGCCCTCATGCCCCTACCTGCCATTCTGCAATTAGGGGCATGGTACTAAACAGTGAGCAGCCAGTAGCTGTCTGATGTCATAAGAAAGGGCATGGCCGGCTGAACTACTGAATAGACGCATATCTGTGGGGCTCTGCTACTGCCTCGCAGAAAAGTGATTTTTGCCATGTTTATAAGCATTTTGGTGACAAGAGATACTCTTTCTCTCCCTAGATGACACAATGGTACACAAACATAAGAAGAAGAACTTTCACTAGGAAGAGTCTTTTGTCTGTCTGATATAATATATCTCATACCATATATCATATATAAAGACTCCTCTCCGTCTACGAAAATAGAAAAGGCGACATAAAAAGGCTGTTACTGGATCTGAGGAAGGTCTGAAAGGCCAACCTACAAGAGGCCCAGACGGAAATGGGTGTCCTTCACCAGACAATAACTGCAGTGTTATCATGAGAGAGTGACAGACACAGTCAGCTACAGGCCACCCAGGGCCAAGTGAAGCAAGTCCAACAGCTAACTGAGACAGCTTGCAAGAAATACTAGAGATAGTAGGATGGGAAACTCTCCTACCATTTGTCTAGAGGCTGTTACTTAATCCAATAAAGTGGGACTTGGCACAGGTCCCCCAAGGTGGGGCACCTTATAAATTAACTAGCCCTGCAAGTGAGGGCTATTAAATAAATGGGAGGACCTAGTCTCGAGATTTACCAGTCAGAGCACTCTGATTGGTTGTCTTAATCCAACCAATCAGAGTGTTCTGAGTCAATTTACACGTTGCAGAAAAGTCTTTATATGGCTTATGAAAAGGAAGGGCTTTTCGTAATTTTGGTCTTTCAGCTACTATAGTAGATAGCTCCCTAATCCTGGTGGGATTGAAGTAAGGATACCAAAAAGGAGTTACCTACTAAACAACCGCCCTAATATGGTACCCTGAAATATGACAATCCAGTAAGAAAGACAATTTAGGGAGTCATCTGCTAAACAGCTGCAAGCAGGGACATATTAGCCGCGAGGCAAACAAGGCATTTGCGGGGGGAGGGGGGCACCTGAGTTTTGTCCTGCCTAGGGCAGCACAAAACCAGGATACACCACAGGCTGCAAGAAGCAGAAAACTAATAAGCAAATCAACAAAATTCAGTTCGACCAAAACTAATAATTTTTGTTTTTTGCCAAATGTATTCGGACTAAACGAAAATGTTGGCAGTGCTGAAGAATAACAGGTACACAAGTACCATCACTCATGCAGTTACTGATACGCCATAGGAATGGTAACCGAAATTTCAATTCCAACAATTATAATTTTAGTGAATATTCATTGGGGACAAGAAACTGGGAGAAAAAATTAAAAACTGACAGATGGATAGACTAGAGAGATAAATTGGATACACAAGGGTGTGTAAAATTCCTTGCAGCAGACGTGAAGGGTGTGAATGTGCTTTTCTCAAATTCCACTGGAGGGGGCAGTGGGACCTCTTTACTATCAACTGGATGGAGGAAAGTGGCCTATGAGTTAGAGTAGGTGTGGATATGTGACAAAGCAATATGGAAACAGCATAATGGGTCTTCATGAATAGATACAAATGTGCATAAGGCTATCCTGAAAATGAAAGGAACTCAATGACATTTCACAACAGGCAAAGTTTCATGCTAATATAGCTTGGAGGAAAGACGAGACGGGGGGATATGATAGAAGCATTTAAATACATAAAGGGAATCCACACAAAAAAGGAGGAGACTATATTTAAAAGAAGAAAAACTACCACAACAAGAAGACGTAATCTTAAATTAGAGGGGGAAAAGGTTTAAAAATAATATTCGGAAGTATTACTTTACTGAGAGGGTAGTGGATGCATGGAATAGCCTTCCAGCTGAGGTGGTAGAGGTTAACACAGTGAGGGAGTTTAAAGGACCACTATAGTGCCAGGAAAACAAACTTGTTTTCCTGGCACTATAGTGTTAATAGGTCCCCCCCCCCACCCTCATGGCCCCCCTCCCGCCGGGCTCTAGGGGGAGGAAGGAGTTAAAGGCTTACCTTTCTCCAGCACTGGGCTCCCTCGGCGCTGGGGACTCTCCTCCTTCTTCCGCCGAATGCGCATGCATGGCAAGAGCTGCACACGCACGCATTCAGTCAGTCCATAGGAAAGCATTCTCAATGCTTTCCTATGGATGCTGGCGTCTTCTCACAGTGAAAATCACAGTGAGAAGCGCCTCCAGCGGCTGTCAATGAGACAGCCACTAGAGGCTGGATTAACTCTAATGTAAACATAGCAGTTGTTTTATGTTTACAGCAGGCAGGGTTAACCAAGATGGACCTGGCACCCAAACCATTTCATTGAGCTGAAGTGGTGTGGGTGCCTGTAGTGGGCCTTTAAGCATGCGTGGGATAGGCATAAGGCTAGCCTAACTATAAGATAAGGCCAGGGACTAATTAAAAGTATTTTGAAATATTGAGCAGACTAGATGGGCCGAATGGTTCTTATCTGCCGTCACATTCTATGTTTCTATGTGTGACCAGACGAGTTGGATGCACAGGAACAGAGGGGTTGAGGCTATTAAAGCTTGATCTAGCTCACTGTTTGATTACATATACCCAGCAATGTAAAATCAGCTATTTCATCCAGTGTCTTGACAGACAGAAAGTGCGCTGAGTGTGCCTAAAAGAAAAGTATCAACACAAATTTTTTTAAAACATTTTTTTATAATTCTCTTTTTTATTGAGTGACTCAAGTTTTTCATTACATCAAATATCCACAGTAGTTCAGTCAGCGATACAGTTTAAATTTTTTTTTTTTATGATAATTCATGCAATCTAAATAAACAGATGACCAGCAAAAATTATGACATCTGCCAAGAAACCTAAGACACAAAAAAAGAAGACTTCCTTTTTATCACGAAACCAGAAATTGTGGAGAACCGACAAAGGATTTGAAAACTTTTATTTTAAAATCCAGTCTGAAAAATTATCCAGCTATTTTGCCAGTTAATCTATTTTTGACTTAAATTTGCAATTCGCTGTATGTAACATTTATTAAATAAAACGCTTTGCCACCATTAGCATCAAAAACATATATATTTATTCAAAACACTTTTACCAACAAGACTACATTGAAATTCCTCTCATTTTCAAGTCCAATGTTACAGATTTACTATGGGACATCGGTATAATAACAACTGAGTGTTGCTGCTGTCAACACAACTTTTTTAGCTGTTACAGTTTGAAACAAACCGCTTGTTGTTGTAACTATGCTGACATGTTGTTGGGTCTGAAGGGGTTAATGCAGCCATAGAAGTGTGTCATGAACAGTACGGCTTCCAGGCAAAGGCTGTGTCTATCTCTCCAGAGGAGTGGCTATATTTTTTCCCAGGTAGAGCCTGTCTTCCCTCCCGGGGGGGAGGTTGTGTTCTCTGAGCTGGGAGGCGTAGCCTGGTTTCAGGTGAACGGAACTTAAGGTACAAAAAAAAAAAAGAGACAGAGCAGGAGTTAGCTGGAGACATCACCCGCAGGTCAGGATGTTTCGCAGCTCCAGGAGGCGCAAGTCACAGGTAAGATGGACACTTACTGCCGTTAACTTCAAACATGTCCCCTCGCTTCGTATTTCTTCGTTCTCTCCGGGTTTTTTTTTTTTGTCCATGACTCTCTTACAAGCTCGAGCACGCAGGAAGCTGTCTCGCCCTCTTCCCATCAGAGCTACAGCCTCAACGATAATTCCTCTTTTCTTCTCCGAAAGACCTAAGCCAGGGCTTGGTCACCATGTGGAACTCCAGCTCCCATCACCCTAAGGCAGCCTTGGAAGTCAGAGGTCGACAAAAAAAAAAGCAAAGCTTTGTAGCGTGTATTTATTTGTCGTTCGTCGTAATAAGTGACTAATGTGTATGTCGGATGATGATGATGTAATGACTGCATTGTAAGTGCAGGTTATCCATTTCAGATTAAGGCTTATTTTATTATTAAAATGACATTGTTAGATTTTTAGGTGTTGCACCTGTTTGAATGGGTAGTAAGTGAACACATCATCTGACTGTCAACTAACAGTGGGCAGTGGGTTTATTCACTAAAAAATAATTTATATCAAGTCGTAACCAATGCAAACTTTAAGGCCAAGTTGAAAGAAAATATATATTCTGCCACTATTTTTTTTTACAGACTAAATCTTTTAATAGTCACTTAGATAGGCAACTTGTGAGTATAGCTATCCGAGGATGAGAATTTTTCTACATAAGCCATTGTTTAACCTAAATTTTGCACTTCAGTGCATCTAAATTCTGTGTTTAGTGAATAAATACCATGGTTTTTGAAAAACGTTAACAGTTTGTAGTGTCCGACCGTCCACAATTACAGTGTGTTGACGTATTGGAGTTTTGGTATAGATCATTATTTTGTTATCTAAATTCAAGGCAAGTTTATTTATTACACTGGATTATCATTTAAAAAAAAAATTTTTATGGTTTCATCTAGGCTAAAATAGATTATTTTGTGAAATTCTCCTACATAGCTATAATCAAAGCTTGACTATGTTGGCCTAAATCTTGCTGTTTGATTTAATTTGCTAGAAGTCAATGTTTAGTGAAAAACTCTGGCTTATTTACGAATGTTGTTGGGGCTTTTACGTTTTCGTTTGGCTGGGGGGTTGCGCTCTGCTAATTTGCTTGCAAGCTTTCATGTTTTTACTTTGGCTGCTTAATAACAGGGACAAACCGAAGCCAAAGGTTAATAAATTGCAGTGTAACCAACTGAAACCATCCCATTAGCATCCAGTAAAAAAAAAAAAAGTCCATGAAATTCAAACTTCTCCTTTTAAATATAAAGACAGAACTGTATCACACTGATATACTGATATATTAGTTTCTAAACTGCGTTATTAAAATGGTTGTATAGGAGCCCTGTTTTAATTTGCTCCCGGTTTTATCTGTGCTTTGTGCAAGCCAAACGTATTAACTAATGTATACATAGAGAGATGCACACCTTAGAATGTTCGTCAACCAATCAGATTGAAGCATTCAACGGCCCTGTAGTATAATATAAAATATTGCCTTCGAAACATTTGCTGAACTCCTTTTTTTCGTCAGTTTAAAAAACGTACAAGTATGGCTGTTGTGGTTAGTTTTGAAACATCAAACCAGCCACAATTACTGGGTGTGTAGCAATGTGGGATACTGCTCGTTTAATGCATTGTAGTAGCCATATTGGAGGAGGCAGGAGAGATCTGTAGGTAAGTATATCTTTAAATATGTACATTTCCTGACAATTTTGCTAGCATTATGTATATATCAGATCTGGACATCTACCTGAAGGGGATCTTTTAATTACACACTCACCTTTGTGGGCAATCATCTACTGTTATACGCGTGTCTAAACATACATTTCGACCCAGTATTCTGTCAAGTCATCTTTTTGGTTAAGAAATAAAGGTTTTTCACTTTTTTCAGAGCGAATTATGTCACAATGAACATCGGCTTTTTTTTTTTTTGTAAAATAAAAGAGAGATATTTAGAAAAGAATTACTAATATAAAACATTTAAAAAAATATGAAAGTTTCCAAAGTGGAGCAAATGTCATGGAAACCAAAATTCTGGTTTCCATGGTGATTGGTCTGCTTTTAAAACTTTGGCCCACTTTTCTATTACTAGTACTTTTATTTCTCCTCCACTGTATTAAATAGAAGTTTTCACATAATTGTGTGCAACACTATGAACACAATGAATAAAAGGCAGTGTTTTCTATGAAAACCTGTTCCTCCAACCGGCTTTGTCAGCTCTAATTTTTCGTTGCCTAAGGCTCTAGCTTAAAATTGCTCTGCATAGCATCACACACACATTACTGGCACTCGACAGATAAAAGGACAATAAATACCCAAGAATTTAATTTGAATAATTAGTTTTATGAAGCCTGCATTGTCTCTTCCCACCAACTCTGGTGAGGTGAATAGTTGCATTGTTCAGATAGCATACCTGCAAAGTGACCCTCCACTGGAGGAACAGTCCCTATTTAGGGCACAAATCCCTCTTTTCTATTGAAATTGTTTTTTTTCTTTTCTAGAAGTTCCATATGCATTGCATGTATGAGTGTATAACAGAGTTCCACAGCAATAAAACTCTAAACTAATCTGTCTTTAACCCCTTAAGGACACGACATGTGTGACATGTCATGATTCCCTTTTATTCCAGAGGTTTGGTCCTTAAGGGGTTAAAGGGTTACTCTAACCATCATAATAACCACTGCTACAGCCGCTGTAGCAGTTATGGTGTCTGGACTACCAAGGTACCATTCCTTGTTTTACAACTGCTAGCCCTTTTACCTGGTCATGCCAGGCTCTGGGTCTACTGTGCATCAGGCTTACAACATTCAGCTTCTGCAGAGCTGCTAAGGCTGGATACTGTCCTGACACTCATTCATTAGCTATGAGTGTCATCTGATCACTCTCAGCAAAATAAACATTGAAAACTCATCACTTAAGGATGGACAGCTTGGTGCTATCTTCTCGTGCATGTGTGAGAATACAACTCTAATGTCTATGGAGGGTCCCGTGAGACCATGGGAGCCTCCATAGATATTATCTGGAGATGAACGAGATAATGTCTTATTGCACAGCTCTTGTTAGCATGGCTGGGGAAAGTGGCAAAATTTGCCAGCAGTAGCTCTGCCATTTGCCATGTTTTGTTACGGCAGAGATTCACCATAAGTCAAAGTTGTCTATACTTTGTCTTATGATATCTTTTGCGACAGCATTGGGTTTTCAGTGAAATTCCATTTTACCCTTTTTTAAAAAAAAATTATTCTTTATTTGTTTATTAGTTTTACTTTCATAAATTTTTAGTACGGCAGTACAATGTTACAGCAGAACATAATACTACTTTTTGAAGGGTTGCTGAGTTTCCAGTGCATAGTACATTGTGTAACATCACAATTGTTGCTAATGCAGTATATCCCGGCCTTGTGCAAAATGAACAATAGTTGTAAAAAAAAATAGGAACAAAATAAACGACATAACGGGTAGTACAAGGAGAACAATAAAGCATATGTGACATAAGTGTGTTTCAGCATAAAATTATAATTAAATATAAATAATAGCATGTCAAGTCACCCCTAGAGTGACCACTCTTACAGATGTTCTAAAGTACCAATAGGGGCTTAGTGCTTGAGGATAGTCATGTCGCTTGTCAGATAATGTTGTAGTACCAAATCACGGTTCCGTATTCATCCCATGGGTGGAGGTTTGTAATGGACCACAGTGTGGTTGTTGCCATCAATGCCATTTAGGGTTATAATGTATTGTGATGGCCACAAGCTTGTGTGCATAACTAATGAGTTGTTCAGTGGGGATGTAGAAATAAAGTGCCAGTAATATAATTGTGAAATTCCTTCTTATCTTTATGAAATGCTTTTTTTTTTCTAGTGAGAGAGACCTTTATACGGTATTTTGGTTTTAGTTTTCACGTGATTGTCTTATCCAAGGCCAGCAACAAAAACATAATGTCTAAGTAGGAGTATTTTGCTTTTTCCCCCTGTAATAGATAGCTGCGTATTAATTGGGCCATGATTCCAGCTGAATTGTTAGGAGTTTACAATGTGTAGTGCAGTGACTTTTTAGATACTAGGCCAGAATAGTCAGACTGAAAACTTTGCTGACATGAAGTATTTTTCCAGATCAATTATTTTAGTCTTAGGAGAGGAGCTCCGACCCACACAGCCATAATAGCGAGCTTACCCAGAAGCAAGGCACGAGAATGGGGCGCACAAACCGCCCGGACGACTCCCAGACACCCAGGAGCCACCCTAGCAGCTCCCAGACCGGACCCATGGATGGGTACCTTGCTCCGACAATGACCGTGCACCACAAGGCTGCGGGTTGCCAATATGGCCGACTCCCCAACCCGTGCACTCACCTCTGAGCCTGCCGAACCCTCGCTGGCTGACATAAGCGAAGACATCCAAGCCCTGGCAGCAGCAATGGTAACAAAAGAAGACCTGCGGGCCCTCTCTGATAATCTGTACGCGGCGATCCACACGGAGGTGACCGCGCTCAGGGCTGACATCACAGTGCAGGCCAATAGGGTGCAGACGGCAGAAACAACTGTGCAAGCCATAGCAGAAAGAGTTGAAGCCTCAAACTTTGCTATAAACAGACAAGGTAACATGTTATTAGCACTAAGACGCCAAACTGAAGACCTTGATAACAGGGGTCGCAGGTCAAACATAAGGGTCCGCAGACCTTGCAGACCTTATTCCGTGACATCCTGGGACCGGAGGCTCATAGTATTTGACAGAGCACACAAGGCTAACAGAGCACGCACAACAGATAACACGCCGCGAGACATTATATGTTGTCTGCATACCAACAAGCTAAAAGAAAAAATCATGAACAAAGCCCGCTCGAGACCTACATAGCGGTTCCGCGATGCAGAAGTGGCACTATAACAGGACCTGTCACCTCTTACGCTGGAAGTTCGCAGTGCCCTGAGGCCCGTTACATCACTCCTCAGAGAAAGAGGGATCCCATATAAATGGGGTTTCCCCTTTATGCTCCTGGCTAGGCACCACAACGAGTGGACTCCATTACAATGGCCAGAAGAGGTGCCAGATTTCTGCAACGTCTCAGCCTACCACCAACGGAAGTCACCAACTGGATTCTGGGGCCAACGGAACAGAGGCAGGGGCCCCAAACTCCAGGACAACTGTGCAGATGTAGGGACGAAACGCTGAGGCGCCCGCAGGCCCGCAGGCAACTTGCACCTACAGACCTGAAGGAGTGATGATAGGGGAACCACCTACACCCACCAGACAAGAAGAACCGGCCAAGACACAAGCACTCTACCCTGGACTGCGGACCATTAGGGGTACCAGAGTCTTCCTGTACACCGCAGAAAACAGATAAGTCCTGCTTTGCACACACACATAAGTAGGAGCACTCACATGGACACCCACAGGTGGGCCCCTAGGCACCATAACAGCACACTCTTTCGGATGGAATGAACTACCAAGTTGAATTGGGAAAGGGGGCTGGGGGGAGAGGGGGTCATTAGGCACGCATGGGGAAAGTGCCCGTATATGCCCACAGGGGGCAAGCTGGGAAGATGCACGAGAAAGCTGGACATTTGCAGGACACACGAAACCCGCAATACAGCGGAGACACTCTGGGAACCCGGGGCGCCGTCAGCCGATGGTAGCAATATGGGAGTGTCCACACAGTACCACATTACCACTCTAAATATTGTCTTGGATATTGTCTGGGGGTGGCGGGAGCGGGGAGGAGGGAACCTAAGGGAGCTCATAAATGTGAAATTGTATTGCTAGGTTGTGCTATGTAGGGTGCACCTACAGACGGGGGACAAGTAGGGGTAGAAGGATACATTAGGGGATTACAGAGTAAGGGGGGAGGGAGGGGAACTGCCAGAGTAAGGTAGTTGTTCAGATGCTTTTCTATTGACAGCTTGAACTCGGGAGCTGACATCGGCGGGGGAGGAGAGGTCACCAGCGCCAAGGGAGCCCAGCACTGGAATAAGGTAAGCTGCTGAAGGGGTTTTAACCCCCTTCAGCGCCACGGGATGGAGACCCTGAGGGTGGGGGCACCCTCAGGGCACTATGGTGTCAGGAAAACCGCTTTGTTTTCCTGACACTATAGTGATCCTTTAAGGAAAGCAAATTACCTTTGTTGTACTTCTGTGTGAATGGCCAGGGTTGGATTTACATGCCAGATAGCTGTAGGCACAGAATTCTAAGCAACCCCCCAAATAAGGTTCTACTTATTAAGGTACTGATTAGGTGATCGCATGAACCAAATCTTATTTAATGAGGAAAAGTATAAAAATTACTGCAATGGCCAAAACTATTCTCCTGCAATAGGACCAGCTGGATGGCAAGTAATTGGAATAAAATAACTAGAACCAATGTGAAAAGTGTTGAAAAGAAAAGTTTTGAGTTCGGATAAGAAGGGTTAAATTCTGGCTTTACTGGCAGAGGGATGCAGTGAAAGTCTGGTTGCTTCCTTTTTAAAATTTCAAGGGTGGCGGTTCATAAAAATAAAGTCAAGCAGCTGACCTTGGGCACAAGAAAGCTAGAGACCACCAGACGGTGAAAACGACTCTCCACTGACTGGCATGTCCACCAACTCATTTAAATGTCACTCAACAACCATAGGATGACATCAAGTGAACTACATAAAGAATGGTAAATAGCAGCTGGGGTGTTGTGAGTGGTGAGGACAATTTGAAATAGGCTCCTAGGCACAGGGATAAAGTCGTGCAAAAAAAGTCCTTCAGCAAAAAAGAGCCAGGCTGAGATTTGCAAAAGACGATGAGAACAAAAGAGGAATTTTGTAAGGTCATCTTCTGTGGTGAGTCCAGTTTTCAACTTTGCCCAAGACTTGGTCGTGCAACAGTTAGACAGAGACCTTAAGAAGCCTACAAAGCACAGAGTCTCATGCCCACTGTGAAACCTTGGGTGGAGGATCATGAAGATCTAGGAGTGCTTCAGTAAGGCTGGAATTGGGCAGATTTATTTTTGTGAAGGACGCACAAATCAAGCCACGTACAAAGTTATCTTGGAAGGAAACTAGCTTCTTATTGCTTTGAAAATGTTCCTCAACTCTTCCAGTAAAACAATGCTCCATGCCACACAACCAGGTCAATCAAAGTGTGTTTGGAGGACCACCAAATTAAGACCATGTCATAGTCAGCCAGACCTTACTGAAAACCACTGAAATATGATCAAAGGAAGATGGATGTTTACATGCCATCAAACAAAGCAGAACTTCCTTATTTTGTGAGTTTCTATGCCATGAGTGACACAAAGTCACCCAACAGCAATGAGAAAGACTGGTAGAGAACATGCCAATTGCCTGACTGTTGATTTCTGAACTCTTCCTAAGTTATAACAGTAAAACCAGAGAAAGCAATAATTGTGCAGTGTTCTCTTAATTTTTACCAGAGCTGTATGTATTATAAACGCATTTTTTAATCATTTTTTTTACAATTGCATATGTGTATATAGTGTATGTGCATATTGCTGCTTGTCATGTATTGTGTTTGGATCCGTAACTATAGTAAGTGTATGCAGCCAGCTGTGAAAATGTATGCAGGGTCAAAGATAATTTTAGAAGTGATTAGGGTAAAGGGATGTTTAAGGTTAGAACTTGGTTAAAGTTAGATTACTTAGCATGTTAAAGGGATTAAAAACTTGAGAGGGGTTATAGTTGTGATATACGAGATGTTTAGAATTATTAAGTTTAGGGTTAGAGTGGGGTCAAATTTAGTATTGGGGTACGCAGGTAGAGAGTTTTTTATGTCTAGGCTTTTGCTTTAGGGAAGAGTTTGTTTAGATTTTGGTACCAAGCATTGGAGGCTGACTGGACTACAGATGGGCACTGAGCAAAACGCTGGTACTGCTCTAACACCAGCCCACGTAATCTCCAAAAAGACACATTATCAGTGCTGAAAACAGGCACCCTTTATAGGCTATGCACCTATAGGCAGCTGCCTAATGGGAATTCCAGAGCTGTGAATGGGACTCCTAAGATGCCTTGTGCATGCATACCATTCATCTAACTTTTCCCCTTAATTGCCTTAAATGCCAAACTGTGCCATAATATCCGTGTAATGCAAATTAAAAAATGAGGGTTTTAAACAAGAGATAAATAAGGACACCCAACAACTAAATTTTAGATAGTTAAACTATGCCATCATCTCCAAAGTAATAAAAAATAAGAAACTGGTCATGTTCAATAATTTCTTTATTTCCTTAATAAATGTTTTTGAAAACTTTTTAAAACTTTTTACTTTACTTTCTTAAAATGGTTAACAGATACCATTTTGTTGATGATTGCCCATTTGCCTAATTTAACTTCTTCCAAATAAATATAATTTCAGCTTTTAATGAGCTAGTTTTTTTTTCCGAGGGAATGCATAGAAACACACTTACCTCTGCTGCAATTCTCGATTATTTGAGTTTTTCATCCTCTCAGATACCCATTATGTGCATCTTTTTCCCATTGTGCCATGTGTTCGGAATCATGACACTTAGCTCATTTGCATTGAGTGCCAGGCTTTGCCAGGCCAGGCTTACTTTTGATTCAAATGTAAATGTGATGAAATAGGTTTTACCTTAAGTGACAATATTAGTCAAACTAGCTGATATCAAAAAATATAATTTTTTTCTGTTTTTGTGAAGAAATTTGCAATCCTCTGAATAATTGCAGACAGTCAAATAGTTTAACGAGTAACCCTACTGCTATAATGTTGGTTTATTTTTACATTTTAAACCTGAACAGTCCTTCTCTCTTTACCATATTTTATTTTACTAGGGTACAGAGGTGACAATAACAGGAGAGGGACAGCCGTGCCTTTCGTGTGCGGAGCGATGCCCTGGATTTCTTGCACACAGATGGAGGTAAGGACTCATTCTACACACTGATATTATGTAGTACTATTTGCCCGTCTGTTATCTGTGGGCAAGGCATGGCATGCCTCTGCAAGTTTTGTTGTTTAGCTGTGTCTGTTCAGTGTCTACTCTAACTGGTATATATTGGAGTCTTTGTTTTCACCTGTGAATTCCATAGGGATCTCTAACTGTTTATGGAATAACATTCCCAAGGGTGAACATTCCATTGTGGGTAAGTCTTTGGTAGAAAAAAAAAATAGAAGGAATATAAAGAAACTGCATTCAAATTTGTAAACAGCACTAGGACTGTTTAAAATTACTCCATCTACACAATGAGTGTCCAGGACTCCAACTCCCACGATGCTTTGCCTGCTCTATGGTTGGTCAAGCATAATTGGAGTTGTAGTGGAGATCTACTGTTTGGCCTTGGCTGATCTGTACACTAATATAACAATATTGAGATGTTGGTTGAGGTTCCCCACTAAAAAAAACACTTTAGTGTTAGAAATACAAAGCTGGATTCCTAACACTAAAATGTTACTCTGACCTCTCCTTCCTGCAGCACTCAAAGTGTTAAATAACCCTTGAATTTGCTTACCTTATTCCGACGTCAGCCCTGAGTGCGACGTCAGCCCTGAGTGCGAATCTGCTGTGCATGCGCTGTGAGCGTCGTATGCACATTAGGACTTCGTCATAGAAAAGCATTGAGTCAATGCTTTCCTATGGGGATTTTGAAGACGCTGGACTTCCTCATACAAACTCCGTGAAACAGCAGGAAGCGTCTCTAGTGTCCGTCTGGTAGACAGCCACTAGAGGAGGAGTTAACACTGCAATATAAACATTGCATTTTCTCTAAAACTGCAATGTCTTTATATTGAATGGTTAAAGGGAATAGGGACACTGCATACAGATCACTTCAATTAGATTAAGTGGTTTGGGTGCCTACAGTGTCCCTGTATATGACAAATTCAAAATATTTTCAAGAGAGTGCATTGCCATTAGAATATTTTTCATAATAGGGGTTAGCCTACCCTCGAAATGTCCCTATTTTGAGCCCAAATCCTTCTGTCCCTCTTTTTTATACTAATGTCCTTCTTTTCTAGGAGCTCACTATTTTTCGTGTGTCTGAGTGTATAACAGAGCTCTGCAGCAATAATACTCCCTGTAATATGTCTTTAAATTACATTACAATTGTTTAGAAATCAGTCTGTGTAAATAGAATACACTGTCCTTATTCAATATTAGATTTTAATTGCATATATTATTATTTTTAATATTATTATTAATGTCACCTTAAATTTTTCAGAATAGACCCGCACCTCACCACACCCCACCACTCACACCCCTAAAAAGTATCCTTTTTTTGTCCATTTCATATGTTGGAAGACATGGGTTGGAGTTATTTAAAGTGAGGATTTGGAGGAAGTGGAACAAGTGTTAATAGGTTCTACGTAGCCATGAGTGATATTAGTTATAATGAACAGAATTTTAGTAACATCATGAATATCAGCAACATATCCAGGAACACCCTAATGTACCCTCTCTGTCCACCATTTAGGCCCCCTTTACATCAATAAATGCAGCTCTTATCTCGTTTAACATGAAACAAATAGAATGGATTGTATCTGTATTTATACCACGTTATCACACTGCATAAAGTTGATATTTTGAACTTCCTCATTTTAGAATTTTGTATTTTTTTTTTTAATATTACATTTTAAAGAAGTGGTTCATTTTTTTTTTTTTAATATCAGGGTTTTTTTTCCAATCAAAACAATTCTGTCCGAAAGTTCGAAATTCGAATTCCTGACAGCTCACATTTTAGTAAAAAGACAACAACAAAAAATACAACTGGTAGACAAAAGGTTATTCAGTAAACTTTGAATTGTAGGGAATCTTAATCCAAATGGCAATATTTAGGCTAAAATAGCTCATTAAATTTTTTTTTTTTAAATCGCCATTTCAGAAATAGTAACAACTTGTCTCTTTCAGCCTTAAATTTTGCTATTCAGAATTAGATACATTACAATTGAGTAGTTTAGGAAAATAAACCCGTCAGTGTCTTTATTTTGGGTTGGGAATGTTTAGTGTAAATCTATTTCTAAAGGCTGTAATTAACTGGCTAGACCGTCCTCTGCCCGAACTATCACCCAGCCTCACCTACTCCACTATAAGATCTATATTAAGGAAGGTTATCAAGGTAACAGCAGTGCCTTCAGAGAGGCAACATCTGAAAGAACAAAAGGCAGATATCAGACAAACCCATGCCTGAGGGCACACTATAAATAGAACTAGCTATTATTTATCTAACAATATTCAAATTAGACTTCATTAAAGCAGCTCTGTCACCGTCTGAGGGCTTGTGAGGGGTGTAGGGAAAGGTGAATTTTACCTATCTGAACCCGTCCCTTGCAGACGCCAACATCTCGACCGACTGCAATTTCTTCAGCTCTTGGAGTTACAATACCATTTTTTTGTGAAGGGAGGACAGAGCTACTTTAACATAAGGCTAACCATTTTAGCAGTCAAAAGTGCTGATATTGTCGCTACTTGAAGTTTCTGAGAAAAGGTAACTTTGTGGAATTCGTTGAGGGAATTAGATGAATTAGAACTAATGAAAAAATTTAATTGTTGGGAATCCAACGTGAATTCCAATTAAATTTCAAATTGAAAAATTCGATTTTTGGGACAGTGGGACAGGTATCTCAAACAAGGACTAACTATCCTGCTAGTTATGGACAACTGGCAATTTTTCCAGATATGGTAGAGGTTTGGCTTGTGAGATCTGTCTGAAGATTTCAAACTGGTGGAAGATTTCATTAGACTATTCAACAGGTTTTTTTATGGGGGGCGGGGGAGTTATTCATTAACTTTGAAATTTGTTTTTTAACTCACTATAATTGTTTTTAGTGAATAAAATCCGTGTTAGATATTTTGTAAACTTCTCGCCTCTGACCTCTGTGTGAACTCTGTGTAAAGCTCCATTTGCTTCTGTGACAGGAAGATTTGCCAGCATTGCCAATGCCCATGGGAAGAACATGGCAGTGTAGACACTCCCCAGGATCTGGAACGCTCGTTGTGCAGACTGGTACCTGGGGCACAACGCCATTCTTTGTGCGACAGTAGTTCTGACAGCTCCTTGGAAAAGTACGCATGGGTACCACCTGGATTAACCCCTGAGCAGGTACCAACACATTCGCATTTAGTGCCACCTTGGGTACTTCCCTTAATCTATACCAGCTTGGTCATGCCAAAACTCTTTTTTTTTTTTTTAATTGTTCTATACGCTCATTGTGTGGCACTGCCAATTACTGCGCCCACCTATCCTTCTACTTCTGCACTTGCCACCTGTAATGGTCTATCTGGTTTTCAGGTTCAACAGTACTTCAGCAATTTCCCAGAGGATAAGATCCCGTATGTACAGAGCAAGGGGGAGAGATACAGAATAAAGCAGCTTCTCCACCAACTTCCTCCGCATGACAACGAGGTGAGGGGTTTGGAGATAGATCATGCCAATTTAGGCCCAGTATTAGTTGGCTGTGGCCTGCCTTTATTATCGAGCCACTTGCTAAAGTAGTTGTTTTGGTGATAGCTCTAGGTTTCTTATTTCAATTAGACAGGCCAAAACATATCTAGTCTATGATAATATTACTATTATAAAGCCAGTAATATGACGGGAGATTTTTGTCAGAAATGTAGGTAACTCATTGGACAATGGTCAGGTCTTTAGCCCTACTGCAACCATTATTCCCTTGAAGAAAGCATTAACAAAAAAAATCTGTACATTTATTTATTTCAATGTGTTTTGCAAAGATACACAAACAAGTGAGCAAATGCCTCATGTTTTCATATATAGATTTTGGAAATCACAAAATAAAATGAAAAACAAGTATATAATATAAAACTCCCACTTATCCTAGGTGGCAGCAATGGCTATACTGTATTACACATCACCCCCAATGCACAGAAATATATAATAAGGGTTAAAAGACTTACATGTGCTTCACCAGGCTCCAATGTAGTTACACAGAGCAAAAAAATGTAAAATAGGAAATGTTATGTTTAGTAAGACAAACCTTGGGCTATTTACTTAAATATTTATAGTACGTAGTTTACTTTTTAGAAGTTTCACAGACAGGTCTAATATTCCTTGTTCTTACTTAAAGGGCCACTCCAGGCTGGAAATGATAATATCATTATTTTTCAATGCATTGTATAGCTATTGTAAAAAATTCAGGCCCCCCAACTGTCCTACTTGCAAAACACTCTTTACCAGCCCTGTAATATTTTTGTCCTCTTGTATCCCACTTGCGCAAGCTTGTCATTAAATTAGCATGTACTGTGCAAAGCAAACACAGTTCTGTGCTTGGGATTCCCTGGAGAGGCACCACAATAAGATACTTATTTTGGGGGAGCATGCTAATCATTGGTGACTCTTTGGCACCTGCTATTAGGCTGCTTTACTGTTAAATGCCTGTGACAAATTTTTGTCCCAGTCCGGCCCTCTCTGGAAGCCATAATTCAGTTGTACTAGCGAGTGCTAACACCAGAATTACAGCTCCTATAAATTCATCTGTATTAGTAGAGCATAATTGTATGCACTGTAGCTTGGGAGGTAGGGGCAGAAATGGTAAGCTTATGGAGTAAAGCCAAAAAGATTACTACACCCACCCATCCCATAACTAACTTTACCTTGCACATAATATGTGTGGGAGCCTGGAGTGGCCCTTTAAAGGAACATTCTAAGCACCATAACCACTACAGGAGGGTTATGGTGCCAGAAGTACACTGGTGCCTCCCAATATAAGTTAAAATGTAACATTTAAGAACAGGTTGCTTTCTTCCCTGGGGTCAACTGGGCTTAGAAGAGTTAACGAATACTGCATTAGTAACCAGTGGACCACAGGTAACAAATCAAGGTATTCTAAAATGGTTTGATTACTTACAATGGGCGAGTGCCAGGGCACTTTTTGCACCATAAACACTACAGTGTGCTATAGTGGTTATGGTATGTTAAGAATTCTTTTAGCTTCCGAATTCTCTTTTATACGTGTGTTGTTTCCTTTCCCTGTATGTATTTTACCCTCTGTATTGCTATTTGCATGGTTTTGTGGCAGACCCCGTGCTGCTGTTTTGTTCTGTGCCAGGCCCAGTACTGCTGTTAGTTTTAGCCGGTCCTGTCCCAGGCCCAGTACTGCTGTTAGTTTTAAGCCGGTCCTGTCCCAGGCCCGGTACTGCTGCTCTTTGCAGGGAGACGAAGAGGACCTGCTGACGCTCTTCAGCCAAAAGAGGAAGGTGGAAAACCTGGGCCGTGGGTCTGTGCGTCCAGTCTCCAGAACCATGAGTGGGACCGTGTGCCAGAGGGTGAGACAAGTTTATTTGGTGTAAGATTCTTAATTATCTGCTTTCAAGAACATTTTGGGATTTTTAACGTAACCAGGGATGGAGGAAAATAGACACAAAAATCTACAATTTACAATTCTTTTATCAGTTCTACGCAACTTATGCAATAGCTTTGTCAAGGTTATGCATTTGTTAGTAAAAATATGGCTTGTTAGAAATGCAAAGGGAATACAAAGTAAATTTAGAATTTTTGTTTAAAATAAGAGAAATTACAAATTAGATCTTCCACTGGATTACCCATAAATTACCCATAAGGCAGCCAAATAGACATGCAGCTGCAGCAATTTCATTTATCACACAAGTGTAAAGATTTATAAGCAATTAGGGGTGCATTGGACTCCTTTAGAACCAGAACTGGATTAAGGTTAAGCAGTTACATAGTTGAAAAGAGACATGTATCTATCCATTTCAGACTTTCACACCTCTTTTTCTGTTAATTCAAATGAAGGCAAAAAAAGTTTTGCAACAAACTAGAAAAAATTCCTTCTCGACCATAGAATGGCAGTCAGATCTCTCCTTGGTTCAAGAAGCTATTACCACACTAATTAAGAATTGTATCCCTGTTTGCAAGTATTTATCCAATTGCTGTTTAAACATCTGTACAGATTCTGATAAAACCACCTCTTCAGGCAGAGAATTCCATATCCTTATTGTTCTTACTGTAAAAGAAGCCCTTTCTTTTGCCTTACACTAAATCTCCTTTCTTCCAGTCTAAATGATTGACCTTGTGTCATATGTATAGTGCTGAATGAATAGATTTCCAGACAATTTTGTTTGGACCCCAAACATATTTGTATATTGTTATGATTTCCCTCTGAGACGACGTTTTTCCAAACTAAAAAGATTTAAATTTATTATCCTTCCTTCATTAACTAAAATGCTCCATTCCTTTTATTAATTTTGTTGCCCACCTTTGCACTTATTTTAATGCCGTGATATCCTTCTTTAGAACAGGTGCCCAAAATTGCACAGCATATTCAAGGTGTGGTCTTACCAGTAAAAGAGGCAAAACTATTTTCTCCTCTCTTCTAACATTCCATCCCTAATTCTCGGGGAATTCAATATTCCTATTAACCCACCTTTGACCTCTGCAGCCTCTAAACTACTTTCAATTACTTCCTCCCTCGGGCTATCACAGTGGGCTAATTCTCCCACCCATGTAGTTGGCAATACCCTTGACCTAATCTTCTCTTATGCATGTACAGTATCTCATAACTGCAACACTCCATTTCCTCTCTCTGATCACCACCTCTTATCATTTGCTCTCATGTACTCCCTCACCCAACAACCTCAGCCTAACCCCCCTCAACTCAGGAGGGACCTTAATTCTCTTGATCTCCAGCAGTTGTCAGTTTATATTGATTCAAGACTGCTGTCCATCCCTTCCCTCTCCTGTCCTTCACTGGCCATCTCAGCATATAACACTACCCTCACTTCTGCCTTGAACGCTGCAGCACCGCTCCAAACAAGCACCTCGAGGAGGACGCGCCCCCATCCATGGCATACTAAATCAACATGCTACCTGCAAAGATGCACCCGTTGTGCTGAACGCTCCTGGAGGAAGTCTCGCACCCAGTCAGACTTTCTCCATTATAGATTCATATTGTGTTCATACAGCGCAGCCCTTGCCCTTGCCAAACAGTCCTTCTTTTCCTCTCTTATTAGTTCATGCTCCCGCAATCCCAGGCGTCTCTTTGACACCTTTAATTCTCTTCTTCGCCCTGCTGTGGCCATCCCCCAAACTATCCTTACTGCTGATAACTTTGCATGTTACTTTACTGACAAGATTGAACAGCTAAGGAAAGAATTCTCCCCTCCTTGCCATTCTGTTTCTCAACCACACATAGATCATGCCCTTCCTACCCTTCAGACATTCTCCCGGCTACTGACCAAGAGGTGGCTGCTCTTCTCTTTTCCTCTCGCCCCACCACTTGCCCGCTCGATCCTGTCCCATCTCACCTTATTAGATCTCTCTCCACTTGTCTCGTGCCTTCCTTAACGCACATCTTCAACTGCTCTCTCTCTTCTGGCATTGTCCCTGCTGACCTTAAACATGCCACTGTAGTACCTATACTAAAAAAAAATCCCTTGACCCGTCCACCCCCTCTAACTATCGTCCCATATCCCTGCTCCCTTTTTCCTCAAAGCTTCTGGAAAGACTTGTCTTTACCCATGTGTCTCATTTTCTCAATTCCAACTCTCTCCTTGACCCTCTTCAATCTGGATTCCGCCCTCTCCACTCTACTGAGACTGCGCTTATCAAAGTTACTAACGACCTAATCGCAGCTAAATCCAAAGGCCACTATTCCATACTAATTCTTCTTGACCTCTCTGTGGCCTTTGACACCATTGATCACGCTCTCCTTCTTCAAACTCTTCAATCGCTTGGTCTCTGTGACTTTGTCCTCTCGTGATTTCACTCTTATCTCTCCCAACACTCATTCAGTGTCTCCTTTTCTAATGATACCTCCTCCCCTCGTCCTGTCTCGGTTGGAGTCCCCCAAGGCTCTGTCCTTGGTCCCCTTCTATTTTCTCTTTATACTGCCTCTCTAGGCAAACTTATTACCTCTTTTGGATTCCACTACCACCTGTACGCTGATGACACCCAGGTATATCTCTCCTCCCCGGACCTCTCCCCTGACGTCCTGCAACATGTCACTGCTTGCCTTTCTTCCATCTCTGACTGGATGTCCTCCCGCTTTCTGAAACTCAATCTCTCTAAAACTGAGCTCCTTGTCTTTCCTCCTCCTAATACTGATCCTCCTCTTTCGCTCTCCCAAGTTTGTGGTACCCACATCAGTCCATCCTTGCAAGCGCGCTGTCTTGGCGTCATACTTGATTCTGGCCTCCCATATCCATCCAGCATGTTGCCAAATCCTGTAGATTCCATCTTAAACACATAGCCCGCATCCGCCCCTTTCTTACACAAGATCCTACCAAGAAGCTTGTCCATGCTCTAGTAATTTCCCGCATGGATTATTGTAACCCTCTCCTGATTGGTCTTCCCAAAAGCCGTACTGCACCGCTACAGTCCGTAATGAACGCTGCTGCCAACCTGATTTTCCTCTCTAGTCGTTTCTCTCACACCTCACCTCTCTGCCAGTCCTTACATTGGCTTCCTGTATGCTATAGGAGTCAATTCAAGGTACTAATTCACACCTATAAAGCACTGAACAACTCTAGCCCCTCTTATATCTCCTCACAGATCCATAGGTATGTCCCTTCTCAGTCTCTCCGCTCTGCCCGTGACCACCTCCTGTCCGTTGTCCGCACCCGTACGGCCAACTCACGCTTGCAGGACTTCTCGCGGGCGGCTCCCTTCCTATGGAATAGCCTGCCTACCGCCATCAGACTCTCCCCTAGTCTTGCATCTTTTAAGAAGTGCCTTAAAACCCATCTCTTTAGGAAAGCTTATGGCCTCCAAGACTAACCTCTACCTCACATACCTGTCTCTTGCCCTCTCCTAAAGGGCAGCCCACCTTATTTGACTGCAAATTCCTGTCCTAATGTGTTTTTCTCCCCAATATATAGTATGTATACCTTTATTCCAGTCTGCTGGTGCTGGCTCCGCCCTTGATCTGCTTTCTTGGCTGATTTCATCAGAAGTGGTGATCTCAGCCAATCAAATGCTTTGCCATAGGAAAGTATTTGATTGGCTGAGATTGTCAAGGAGGCAGAACAGTAGCAGAGCCAGCACATGCCAAACACAGCCCTGGCCAATCAGCATCTCCTCTTTGAGTGGCCAAAGGTGGCTTGGATGTGTCCCTAGACTGTGACGTAAACACTGCCTTTTCTCTGAAAAGACAGTGTTTACTGTAAAGAGCCTGAAGGAAATGATTATACTCACCAGAACAAATACAATAAGATGTAGTTGTTCTGGTGACTATAGTGTCTCTTTAATCTAGGTTTGTGTCATGTTTGTTGTGCAAACACTGAAACATGACTTCCAATGCCTATTTCAAGATCGTTTATAAATATGTTAATTAGAAACGGTCCCAGAACAGAACTCTGAAGTTGCCCAGGCAGGTTTCCAGTTTGGGTCCCCCTTCTAGACTACTGGGTTCTGTTCTGTGAGTGTTGTGTGTGTGTGTGTGTGTGTGGTGGGGGAGGTCTAGATTATGGTTATAACACTGTAGGATCAGAAATACATGTTTGTGTTCCTTACTCTATAGTGTTCGTGTGTGTGTGTGTTTGAGTGTTGCATGTTGTAGCCAGATTTTGTGTGTGGAGAAGTCCAAGTGTTGTATATGTATAAGGGACTTTGATTGTGAGTGTTGTGTGTAGTGTCTAAGTGTGTGTTTAGCCCATCTCCTGCTTACCTTGCCTGGTGCTGCAGTGGGGGAGTGTTGTAGTATCCACCGGAGTGTTGTAGTATCCTTCCTCGCAGTCCTGGTACTCAGTCAATGATTCACAGAGATGGCTGGGTGACCATGAGACGATAAAACTCCTTCGAACAAGTGAGATAACACAGGGCTTAGCAAGGAAATCTTTTTGATCTCCCTACCAACCCAAGGAGAACCTCTTTAAAGCCAGAGCTGGTGCTTCAGGCCCTAGGTGGCTGCCTCTGTCGCCTAATGGATAAACTGGCTTTACACAGAACTACTACTGGTTTAACCTATTTTTAAAAGTGAATATTTACGTCATATACACTGAACACTTTGTTCAGTAGATTCAGATTTCAATACAATTTAGAGTTTTCTGAATAATCCTTTCTGTTGAGGTAGATAAGATGAGACAAATGAAAAAGTCTTATAAGCAGTCAAATCCTATTCCACCTTTCTGTAGCTATGCTTATCTCACAATAGAAAGTGGATGAGATTCAGATGCACATGAAAGCTGTGATCCCCAGGTAAGGTGAATACATTGTGTTCAAGGTGAAAGGCTACAGTTGAAAGCAAGTGGTGAGAATTCTTGTTAAACATGAAAGTATCGAAGTGAAACTTGTCATTAAGATTCTAATCTGGGTCACATTGCCCGAAGTCAGAAATCTGCACCAGGACAACAAAAAAAGAGTAAATAGTAAATTTCCATAAGAATGCCTCCTTGATAAATAAATAGTATAATATCAAAGGGAAATCTCTTTGATATATAAACAGCACCATTAACATTTGAAACCCTCCTTGATAAATTAAAGGGACACTGTATTAACCAAAACCACTTTAGCTGAAAGGTACACTATGGTGTCAGGAATCCAAACATATTCCTAACACTATAGTTGTAAAATTAGGTTTAGGTGCCTGGCCCCACTTGCTTGCCTTTGAAAAGGTATTTTACTTATCTGTTTGCCAGTGCTGCACTGGTCTCACCATGGCCTACCCAGCCTTGCTCCACCTCCATGGTTGCGGTACTCAAATTTGATGATCTCAGTCAATTCAATCCTTTCCCACACCAAAGCATTGGGAGGCTATTTCACACACATGCAAAACACCACGCTGTAACAATCAGCATCTCCTCACAGAGAAGCATTAAAGGAGTTATTAGGTACTATAGGGTTATTAGGTACCCCCCTTTCTCAAAGCCCCCCCCCAACTTGACAGAAGGGGTTAAAACCCCTTCAGCCACTTACCTTTCTCCAGCGCCAGGTGGCGCTGGTGACCTCTTCTCCCCCACCGACGTCAGCTCCGAATGCACATGCGCGGTCAGAGCCACGCGCGCATTCAAACCGCCCATAGGAAAGCATTACTCAATGCTTTCCTTTGAACGTCCAGCCTGTCCTCAATGCGATTTTCGCATTGATGATTGCGGAAGCGGCCTCTAGTGGCTGTCAGGGAGACAGCCACTAGAGGCTGGATTAACCCTCAATGTAAACATAGCAGTTTCTCTGAAACTACTATTTTTTCAGCTGTAGGGTTAAAACTAGGGGGACCTGGCACCCAGACCACTTCATTGAGCTGAAGTGGTCTGAGTGCCTATAGTGGTCCTTTAAATCAAGGCATCTGTGCTGTCTGAGTGACTGCTACTAGAGGTTCTAGGAAGTAATGTAAACACGGAGTTTTCTCTGAAAAGGCAATGTTTACATTAAAGAGTCTGCAAGGACTTGCTGTAGACATCAGAACAACTACATTAAGCTGTAGTTGTTCTGGTGGCTGTAGTGTCCCTTTAATGAAGAAGTTTTTGTGTATAGATGATGCCACTGAAGTGTCACTGCTCAATTATCTGCCATTTAGGAGTTAAATCACCTTTGTTTCAGTTTATGCAGTCCTAGCCACACAGACTGCATGAAATGTTGGTAATTTTCAATAAGTTGTTAACTTACTTTAGACTTTTTAATTTTTTTATCTCCTACTCTGGAAATTGAACACACAGAAGGCTCCTGCACTGCAAATCTGGATGAAATGAAAACTCTAGGCAGCATAATAACTTAATTACAGCAAAGTTGTTATAGTGCCTTGAGGTCCCAGGTGATGACGCTGTGAATGGTTAAAGCCAAACGGATTAATGCCTTTAGCTCCCCAGTCACAAAATGGTTTGAAAAATGCACATAATTTTTCTCAAGCCTTTTTTTATGAATGGGGAGCTACTAATTGTTTAGCGCATCAGCAGAAGCTCTCAGCCAATCAGCGGTGCCCCTGTTGAGGCTTCCTGTTTCATGAATCAGAGAGCTGCAGAATGACAGCGGCAGAGCTAAATGGCTTCAAGACTTAAACCGTTTGTAAGCTTAGCTCTAATTAGTGCAATACAGTGGCAATATGAACACACTTGTGCTGTACTTGTGACTTGTGTTCTCTTGTGACCCAAGATGTGAGATACTAGCAAACAAACCTAGCAATACTTTACTGACTTTCTTTTTCTAATTATAGATCCTGATCTCACCCACAATAGCCTAATAGTCTTCATTATTTTTAATGTTTTCCTAAATAATCTAGCAAATGCTAAAATGCAATTTCTAGTGAGTTCACTACCAATATGACATGGCTACAAATAAAGTATCAAAACAGGGTGTTGTTTTTTTTTTTTAATGAAATTTTGCAAATCAGCTGTTAGTTTAGGAACAACTTGATATTTGTCAGTGTGTGTATCTTTATGTGTGTCAGTGTGTGTATCTGTATGTCTATGTATCTGTGTATGCGTCAGTACGTGTATCTGTGTGTCAGTGTGTGTATCTGTATGTCTGTGTATCTGTGTAAGCGTCAGTGTGTGTATCTGTATGTCTGTGTATGTGTCAGTGTGTGTATCTGCATGTGTGTTGATGTTTGTATCTGTGTGTCTTTGTATCGGCATGTGTGTCAGTGTGTGTGTCTGTGTATCTGTATGTGTTTCTGTGTGTGTGTGTCTGTGTATCTGCATGTGTTTCTGTGTGTGTGTGTGTGTGTGTGTATACATATATATACACACACACTTGGGGCAGAGGAAGGGCAGGAGAGTCTGTGGCTGAGGAGAAGCTGGGAGAGCCTGTGGTAGAGAAAAGGGAGAGATGAGGCAGAGAGAAACGTTTACATTTGATATAACCGCAGCTATAATAATTACAAACATTTCACTAATATGAGGGGTACAATTTATGGAAATGGGCTGCCGATGGGTACTCAAGTGAAAAAAGGTTTGGAACCACTGATCTAGGCCAGCAGACCTATAGGAAAATCTACCTTTCTTGTCAGTGACACCTAGTGGATGAAAGGGAGTACTGTACTTACAGCAACCATCCTAAATGATGATAGTAACGGTAGAGTTTAAAAATCTTCTTAACGTAAGTGTAAATTAAGAATATGCAATAGACAATTTTTTTTTTTACTGTTTTGAAGAAAACTTAAAGTACTGGAAATAGTACAGAGGAGGACTTCAAAATTAATTTATTGATGCAGAAAGCAAGAAAGATTAGAAAAATACATAAATGTCCAGAGGATATAAAATCCAATAAACACAAAAAGATTCCTTGAGAAATATAGAACTAATATAGTATTAGAAAAATATATACAGTTAGATACATTTTATTAGATATAAAGAGAACAGACATAAACACAACATTAACCCATTAAAAAGAGCCACAAATAAATAAACGCTCTATATAATGACAAGTAGGGGGAGACTCTATGAGATGTTAGCTGAGGGTAATAGGGATGGGAGTTAGAGAACCTAATAAGGTTTGTATATCTACTGCAGTAAACCTCTTGTGGCTATAACAAAAGGCAATTGAGGGCCCTATAAATCAAGACCACTATTCTAGGTAAACTGTATTGAATCAAATGTATCCAGTGTAACAGTGTGTCAACACAAACTGCTACCTGAAAGATTGTTACAAAAAAAATGGGTTTGTATACCAACTGCTGTAAATCTCTTGTGGCTATAGTAAAAGGCAATAAAGAGCCCTGTAGATCAACACCACTATTATGGGTAAACTATATTGAATCAAATGTATCCAGTTAGGCTGGGAGGAAGGGATGGCCGCTCGTCACTTCCTCCCACAAAGAGAGGAGCACGCGCGGGAAAGAAGAGTAGGCAGAGTGGAGGGGAACTGGCCAGCAGAGCCAGACCCCAACTCCTTCAGCCACCAGCAGGAAAGCCAGCCTCCAAGGTAGAAAACTGGAGGGTGGGTTTAAAACTGTACATTTTTTTTGTGTGTGTGTATGTGTATGTCTGTGTTTGTGTCAGTTTGTCTGCCTGTGTGTGTCAGTATGTCTGTGTGTGTGTGTGTGTGTGTCAGTATATCTGTGTATGTCAGTATATATGTGTGTGTGTGTGTCAGTATATCTGTATGTGTTAGTATGTCTATGTGTGTGTGTGTCAGTATGTCTGTCAGTGTGTGTTTTAGTATGTGTGTCAGTGTGTGTGTGTGTCAGTATATCTGTGTGTCAGTATGTCTGTCAGTGTGTGTGTGTCAGTATGTATGTGTGTGTGTCAGTTTGTCTGACTCTATATGTGCCATCTGTATGTTGTCTTTGTGTGTGTCTGTGTATTTGAATGTATGTTAGGTTGTGTGTGTCAGTGTGTCAGTGTGTATATGTGTCTGTATATCTACATGTGTGCCAGTATGTATATCTGTGTGACTGCATGCTTTTCAGTGTGTATATATCAACAAATACACCCCTGCATTCAAACTTCAACACTACGTACAAACACACATCTGTGTTACACACCAAAATTATATGTAAATATAACCCTGCATTCAAAAACCAACACTACACATAAATACATGCTTGCAGTCACACCAACACCACATACAAACATATTTCATACAAAAACCTGTTTACATTCAAACACACAAAAACTACTTAGTGTTAAATACAGACCTGCAAACATGGGTAAATGGTAGAGCCCCAGCTGTCAATGCATTTCTGGAGTTGCACGACAGATGGGGATCTACCTTTTAATTACCCATGCGATAGGGAGGCACAGAAATTTTTTTGCACCTCTCTACTTTAGGTCCGCCACTGCGTTGGGGTGGAGGATATGATTGTACGCCTGAGGAGGGGGGACATGGTCCAGGGGGCCCAAGCAAATGCTTTGCCCAGGGTCCAGTCAATATTAAAGATGGCCCTTCGGTGAGCAGTTCCCTCGAATGCCCCGGATGAAGGCGCTTTAGTAGCACTGAAACATACGTTGAAAGTAACCTTTTTTCAGGTAGCAGTTTGTGTTGATACACTGTCACACTGGATACATTTGATTCAATATAGTTTAATATGCAGATAGACAGTAAACAAGAACTTGGTATGTAGTAGAATGTGACAATTGAGACTCCATATTTGTCTGACATTTATAAAACCATATTTTTTAAAATATAAGAATCCCTTTTTTTATTATTATTTTTTTTTACAATTCAAGCATATAATAGATAACAAATGTGTTAAAACTTGATCTTAACGTACTTGAGCTCCCTTCACCCCCCTTTGTACAAAAGCAATGAACTAGTTACTTTTTGGAACCTAAGGTAGAATTGAGCCATGCCTCGCAGTGGCATAACACAACTTATTGCAGGCTGGGTAAAGCAGTCTGCTCAATGCTGAAAAACAGCCTAAAGTAAAATGAATTTGTGAGTCACTGAAAAACACAAGATATAACCATTATCGCCACTGCTATTATCACTTCTTAATGAGTGAAAGAATTTGGAGGACGTAGAATAAATAATTATGAATTATATGACGTTGAGGAAGCTGTGAAAGATGCATCGTAATCACTGCTTTTATATGTGTGAAATTCATATAGAAGTGGATTACTGTTACTGAACGTGTCACCATTTCTCTAAAAGCTGTCATGCATTCTTGCCTTTTGGAGACATTTTTGTAGAGAAGTTATCTTGGTTGCAGCAGTCGGTATGGATACATTTCTAATCTTATGTACATGTTCTTCATATAATATCCACTTCTTGTCATACTGATTTTATTTTATGTATGGCAAATGCTTTATATCTCAGGAAGGGTAGACTTGTTGTCACATTAACGACACAAACATGCATTTTGATAGAGCCTTTGTCATGTTTCGTTTTGTATTTTTGTTTTTAACTTTACAGTTTTCCTTGAAATAAATGTTTGATCTATGCCAGTGATAATAAACCTTTTGTGACAATCACCCAAATTAAATACATGGTAGGGTTGCCAATCCATCAATTGTATTATTATTATTAATATTACTGGCATTTATAAAGCACCAACATCTTCTGCAGTGCTGTACAGTTGTGGGAGCTTACAATCTAAAGGTTAAAATGATGTGTTGAGGCAAGAGGTAGCAGGCAAAATATAGAGGTAAAGGCCAGAGAGAATTAAAGCAGCACTGTCAACCCCCTCAAAAAAGTGATGTCATTGCAAGGAGGACCACGCCAGTCCAAGGACTAAGATGGCAACGCATGCGAGGGACAAATTCAGGTAAGTAAATGCACCTTAACAAGGCCCCCGGCCATCAGACCCCCAGCACTGATGTCACCGTCGGGGGACTTTTCGAATTCGGCAAAGTCCCCTAACGGTGACAGTGCCGCTTCAAGTGATGATTGTAGACACTTGTTACATATGAATGGGAATGAGGAAGTAATTGAGTGAGATCTCAAGCATCTGGTGAAGCATGCTATGAAGGATGGATCACGGTGTAACACGAATTCAGCAAGCCATATATAACAAATATAACCAAATTAGTTCTACAAGGCTAGACTTTTCCACTGTCAGAGTGGACCACATTGCACTTATAAAGCCAGTGCTACTACAGCACCAATATATTGTGGGCAATTTCCTAGGACCGGATCGAAAAATGTTCCTTTATTAGTCACAGACAACTCACTGAAATAGTGTGTGCACCAAGGGGTTAATAACCACTGACATTTGTCTGTCTGTCTGTCTAGAACAAACGCCTAACCTAATGAAACCCTCTTATCTTCAATTGTGCAGTGTGGGCATCAGATCAGTGCTGGCGACGTGGCTGTATTTGCCTCCCGAGCAGGGCTGGAATCTTGCTGGCACCCTCAGTGCTTTACCTGTGCCCGCTGTTTTGAGCTGTTGTGTGACCTCATCTACTTCTACCAGGAGGGGCAGGTGTATTGTGGGCGACACCATGCTGAGCTTCAGCGCCCACGCTGCCTGGCATGTGACGAGGTGAGAATATCACACTGCATGGTATTAACACTCTCTTCTCACTTGTTGGGGAGTTTTCCTTTGCAGAAACATTGTGATCTTGCCTATTAAAATGTCTCAGTTCCTTATCATTTCATGTTTATAAATTTCCATGTATTTTGTGCAATCTCTATATTTATAAAAGAGATATTTATATCCTGCCACTCAAACTACGTCAAGTAGATTTTAATTTAGTTCTATTCATAGCGTGTTTTCTTCCTTTAATTTTTAATGGATTGCACTTCCCACATTTTTAAAGCTATAAAAGGATATACACAAAAAACAAATATTCTCATCAGAATGACCTTAATTCAGAAGCAATTCCCATAAGCTGATTTTGGAATAGTAAATGCAACCAGGAAATCTTTTTTTCACTGTTTGTAGTGGTTTATAGTCTGCATGCAGCAACCTGCACATGCATACATATACCTTTTATGTGTGCCATGTAAAAATGAATGAAAAGCATGATTGCAAGGTTCTGTTGATAAGATCTGCTAGCTTAGTCTATATTAGAGGAATTATGGGATTTTCTCATGGAAGAAAATAGAAGTACTGGGATTGGCTGAAATATTTTAAGCCACTTCCTGATTTTGGCAAAGCTTTCTGTGGGTTTGCTGTAAATCCTGGTTATTTCCAACAAACTTAAAAAGTAATCAGATTTGTATATATTATATTAAAAAAAAAAAAACAATGTAAAAATGGGAAATCAACCTAACTCTGACGTGTCCCTGTAAATATTTTACAGCAGTTAAAATCTTGCTGTATCCCTGCCTGACATTTTGTATCCTTGTTTTATTACAAACTATTAATCTGATTAACAGGTAAAAATAATAACGTGATTCCCTTTTCATACAAACACACTTTTAAGCAGGGTCCTCATTATCCTATTGTTCTTGTAACATTTTGTTATTGTCGCCTTTATTGTTAAATTTCCCCCTTTTTATAATATTGTAAAGAGCTGCGGAATAAGTTGGGGTTGTATAAATGTCAATAATAATAAAGGCTAAAGGGGGCAGGGCCTGACTGCAGAGCTGAGAGGAAGCAAACCTCAGCAGCTCCTACTGAATACAATGATTAATGCAGAATTTAATTACCCTAATGACAATTCAGTGAAGCAGAAAGATCATCAAATGAGGGGTGACTTCAAGCAGCACATAATGATACCACCCGAGCAGCAGTGGGGGCAACCCTCGCCCGACAGGAGACTAAGGCCTACAAGCAGGGCAGGCGCGGGAGAGGCAGCCGCTCTCCCGCTGCCAAAACAGCATGGATCTCTTCGCCTGGGCCCAACCCCCCCCCAAACGTACATGTGGCCTATAATGTTTTGCAGATCAGTAGCTTGACATGGTGATGACACAAAATATGATTATTATAACTAGCCTGTGCCTTAAATAGCAGCCAAGAGGACCTGCCTATATAGCACTCATCCATCATACTGTATATAACATGCGACTAAACAAGGTTTTTGTCTTGCTTCTGCACGGGCTGTGTATGTCTCACTTAACTTTCCACAGCCCAACCCTAAGAACCCACTCCAGACAAGCCTGGTCTGGAAGACTCGGGCTAACACACCCTTAAACATAGAGATATACCTATGTCCAGGTTAAGCATGTATAAGGTTCTAATATGTACCAGATGTTTAAATATTAACGAGTTTTACACTACTTATAGGAGGCTATGTCAAACCACGTTTAAACAAATCTCACTAACAAATTCTTGATTGACACAACTATATTTAAGTTTAAAGGACCACTCTAGGCACCCAGACCACTTCAGCTTAATGAAGTGGTCTGGGTGCCTGGTCCAGCTAGGGTTAACCCTTTTTTTAAATAAACATAGCAGTTTCAGAGAAACTGGTATGTTTATAAATGGGTTAATACAGCCTCCAAATCCTCTAGTGGCTGTCTCATTGACAGCCGCTAGAGGCGCTTGCGTGCTTCTCACTGTGAAAATCACAGTGAGAACTCGCAAGCGTCCATAAGAAAGCATTGTAAATGCTTTCCTATGAGACTGACTGAATGCGCTCGCAGCTCTTGCTGCGCATGTGCATTCAGCCGAAGAGGAGGATCGGAGGCTGAGAGCTCCCCGCCCGGCGCTGGAATAAAGGTAAGTTTAACCCCTTTCCTCGCCATCCAGCCCGGCAGGAGTGGGACCCTGAGGGTGGGGGCACCCTCAGAGCACTATAGTGCCAGGAAAACGAGTATGTTTTTCTGGCACTATAGTGGTCCTTTAAGCAAATTCAGAATGTTTGTTGTATGCACTCGTGTTTCTCACAATATAAAAAAAAAAAAAAGTGCAAGCTCACTAATACCAAAATTGTAACTCTTATTATGGGGCCAGAGGATTGCCATTGGGGTACCTCAGGCTTGTATGTAATTACTTTATGCACTGCAAAAAAATAATACAGCTAAAATACTATAATTTTACTTTTTATATATCTATAATTTTTCAGGTGATTTTCTCAACAGAGTGCACACAGGCTGAGGGTTACCACTGGCACACAAAACACTTCTGCTGCTTTGAGTGTGAATGCACTCTGGGAGGCCAGCGCTATGTTATGAAGGACAGGCGTCCCTATTGCTGCCCTTGTTACGAGAGGATCTTCTCCCAGTACTGTGATAGCTGCGGAGAGAGCATTGGTAAGAGAAATGTTAGACACCAGGGGGCGCTCTAGGGTTACACTTCATCACTATTTGGGACAAGCCACCCACACAGCAGCAAATAGTACTGTGCGTTCTGTGAGCCTCAAATGGCTGAAATTGGAATGTCTTCAAACCACTAAACTTTAAAAAGAACAGTCCACTCTACCAAGGCCCAGAGTTGCTTAAATAAGATGAGAAACAGGAGCCCAAAATCACGACTGACGTGAATGCATATCAAAGAATCCCTTGGGAATCTTAATTTCATTTTCAGTTGGCAGAATAAAGCAGATTTAAATTATTTTACATGCAGGCGTTTGTTTTTTTGACACTTGAATGATTGTCAGCTTCAGGTACATGTACGAATTTGATCTATTAGCCATGTTGTGCGGTCCTAGAGAAACTTAGTAAACAAAGAGATAAAATTACCCAATTATCGGGTCTTCCTCATACAAGATAGCCATTGCAAATGGATGCTAAGGAAGTGTGCGGCAAAATTGCATAAAATGAATGCATCCTTCATTATATTAATGATTTTCTTTTTAAATAAAGGGAGATTCATTCTAAATGAGAGTTTATTATACGACTATAATTTTAAAGTTTGGCACTTTTTGTCCAAACTTTATAGTTTTGTTTTCAGTTCACTACAATTCGCTGTTTAATGAATAAATCCATTCGTTTAGGGCAGGAAAATACTACAAAAAGTGCTACATTGCAAATATCTGAAATAATACCCCTCTTCGATCAGTTAGAAAGCTTATGTTGGATCACTTATATCAACAAATGTTTGTTTGTTTTTAAATGAAGTTAGAATTTCCATGTACCAGCTAGGCTCACATGCTGTAAGGCTATTATTTTAATGTATAGTCTATATACAATTCACGGGATTGTTCTTTCTCTCCAGGTATAGATGAGGGACAGCTGTCTTACGGAGGGCAGCACTGGCATGCATCAGAGGGCTGCTTCTGTTGTGGAAGGTGCAGGACATCTCTGCTGGGCAGACCTTTCCTACCACGACATGGACAAATTTACTGTTCCCGGAGCTGTAGTTTGGCACGAACAGTGAGTGAGCACTCAATAAGCCCCTCACGAATAGAGATGCCTTTAAGGAAAGAGACACGAGATGTGGGCACCTCTACAAATCATAACCCAGAAGGAGAGAGCATTGGGGAGAGCAGAATGGGAGGACGCTCTGTATCCATGTTAGATCAGTCAGGGACAACCCAAACCTGCCACTTGCACACTCCGCTAATGCGTTCTTTACACTCCAGTTTACGTAGAGTTCCCAATGAATTCTCACGTGACTGTTCCCAAAGACGTTCTCTGCCCGACCTAAGCAGTCAAACACGGACAGCAACTCGGGTCACTTTCAAAATACCACTCAGCTCTGAACTCAAAGAACCTGTAAGGTTTTCTCATCCTTCTTTCACATCATCCTCTTCGTCTGATGAAGAAGAAGAAGGTTATTTTCTAGGAGAACCTATTCCCCTGCCCCCATTCATGAGATCCCCAGGATACAAAGCTCCACCGACTCCAGTTTCAACCCCAAAAAAGAAAGACAAAAGCTGCAATTTATCGTGACTTGACCATAAGATCACCATCTTTGTGAAGGTCTTCAGAATTCTGAAGGAATAGTTTTTGTCTTCGGAACACCTGACTTATCAATGTTACCATCAAGGACCTACCTTATTTTGGAATACAAGCAAGGTAGCAAAAAGCTAAATTTTACACTGTCCCATAGCACTTCTGACTGTGGAAACACCAAAATTATTCTATTTAATAAACCACATCACCAATATCAACTTTTTTTTTTTTTTTTTTATTCTGTTGTGAGAAATGTATTAAAAAAAAATAAATGTCACTGTTTTTTTAAACATAAGTAAAGTTCTAATGGTGGACAAATTCGATGACAGAAACGTGTCAGCACACAAATACATTAACACGTTCATCTGTTCACATATGTACACTAAAGTATTCATATACAATTACACAAAAATGCATGTTATTCATTGTACAGATAACACCCTGTGTGCCAGAGCTGGTATCACCACGGTCAACTCTATACAGAAGGTGGGGAAAATATGGAGGCACGCAGCTCGAGACAAAGACACCTCCATCTTTGTGACCATGAGCTTTAAACATCGTCAGTAGTTTCTAGAAAGAACAAAAAAGGAGCATTAAAAACAGAGTACGGTGTGCCTGGGTACGGTTTATAGTAATACAGTGCTTTTCCTATGTGCATTTCTAAGAACTTTAAGAAAATGTAATTTATAGAAAAAAAAAAAAAAAAATTTATATATATATATATAAAAAATTAATTTAGATTTTTTTTAGAGGGACACTAGTCACCAGAACAACTACAGCTTAATGTAGTTGTTCTGGTGTCTATATCCTGTTCCTGCAGGCATTTTAATGTAAACACAGCTTTTCAGAGATAACAGTGTTCACACTACAGCCTAGTGACACCTCCAATGGCAGTTACTAAGATGGCCAAAAGAGATACTTCCTGGGTCAGTGCTGCACATTCGTTCAGAGTCTCCATGCTCTTCATGGAGTTGCTGAATGTTTCTAGGAGTGCACTGATTAAACGCTCTATGATACGATACTCATTGGTGCAGCCCAAAGTTTTGCCACACATGCACAATTGCCTCTCAATACTTTCCTATGGGAAAGCAGTGGATTGACTGAAATAAACAAAATTGATGATTTTAGCCAAAGGAGGTGGAGTGTGTGGGGAGCCAGCTATGACTCAACCCACACGATACTTGTAAGAGGTAAAAAAAAAAATCAACTGTTTTCACAAGGGAGGGGAAGGGGGCTAGAAACCTAAACATTGTTTTTACACCCATAGTATCAGGAATACAGGTTTGTATTCCTGACACTATAGTCTTCATGTGCAGGTTAGTTAATAAGATTAGTTTGAAAACTACAGAGGAGTTGTATAGATGGATCAAGGGTGGACAGAACAGTGAGGGAAAGTAGATTTCTCTGTATTCTATTTATAATGTTTATAAAAAGCACCCTAAAGAGAGTCACAGTAACCATTTGTGAAAAGTATTTAAACGGTAAAACGGTTTTCCTGACACTATAGTGCCCTGAGGGTGCCCCCACCCTCAGGGTCCCCCTCCCGTGGCGCTGAAGGCGTTAAAACCCCTTTAGCAGCTTACCTTTTTCCAGCGCCAGGCTCCCTCTGCGCTGGTGACGTCTCCTCCCCCGCCGACGTCAGCGGAGCCAAACGTGCATGCGCAGCAAGTGCCACGCGCGCATTCAAAGTGTCCATAGGAAAGCATTTTCAATGCTTTCCTATGGACGCTCTGCATGATGGAGGCATTAAATGCCTCCAGCATCGCAGATGTGCCTCTAGTGGCTGTCTTGGCTTAACCCCAAATGTAAACATAGCAGTTTCTCTGAAACTGCTATGTTTACATCTGAAGGGTTAAAACCTGAGGGACCTGGCACCCAGACCACTTAATTGAGCTGAAGTGGTCTGGGTGACTATAATGCCCCTTTAAAAATAAAAAGTAATTGGATAAACTATTCAGATCAACTGCTATTTTCTAGTGCAAATTTATAGTTTAAATATCTAATAATCCATCTTTGCATGCCTTTAGAATGACAAAGCATCATAGGGAGTTGTAGTTCTACAACATACGGGGATCTACCTATTGGGCAGCCCTGGTTTAGATAATATTCAGGACTTATTACAGAAATTGTACAGCACAGATTAATTACCAGTTGCAGCTGGTTGATGTTTCCTCCTGAGCTGTGTAAATGTGTTGTACGCATCGTAACCAAAGAGTATGCCGGCTATAAGTCCAAATACCTGCAAGACGAAAGATGTACAAATCAGACGGAGAAGCCATATTTCAGTAGTACTATACTGGGTGCCAAGAACCCAAAATCACATGCAGACAACCCCAAACTAAGGAAAATGCTTCAACTCATTGTGGTAAACACTGTATTGACAGAGCTCATTAAACATAGCACAATAATGGTGTGACCTGAAAGTCCTTATCTTGTTCAATGTTTGCTGACCTATTTAGAGGTAGGAACGGTAGAGGGATGATCTAAGCAATCTAACTGCTACAGTTTATTTTCTGTGTTACATGCACTGGACAAGGGCTGTAGGGTAAGAAAATGGGTCTTTATCAATGATTTTTTGAATTCCACTGCTAAACGAAACACAATAGAGCACACTTCAAGAGACAGGTACAGGATCAAGGCATTGGACACTACTTTGTTCATTACTTTCTTGTGGCAACCTGGCATCTGGCAGAGAGAGGAGGTGGCCTCAGAACAAAGAGGGCATATAAATGATCCTGTTGATTTAAGTATTGATGGGGTTAGTGGCTGAAGGTTGGGACGTCCTTGCCAACTAGAATGGAGATTTCACTGTTGGCACCAAAGGGCTGGACATACCCTGGACCTTTAGTAGGGTTTGTTTGTTTGTTTGTTTTTTTAATTGGGGTCAGATAGCGTTTTGCCTCTGACTCATTAATTTTGGATCATAGTACTGGGCATATACTTAATCTTATACGCAGTAGGTCTGGATTATATACACACTTTCACCTCAAGGCACATAGGGTAGAGAAATGAGCAGTGGCCATTGGAAAGTCTTTACCCAGTAATGATTACCCTTTAACCCTACTGTACATGTGGTAGGAGTCAATCCCAATGAATTACTGGCAAATTATGCCAATTTACGTCATATTAGAGCACCTTCTATATTACAGTGAAGCTTGCGATTGAGGAAGAATCAGAGATAGCCATGGTGGGGGAACACATGGTCTACTCCGAACCACAGCCTAATACCATAAACATCCCATTACTGAAAAGATGAGAAGTTGATGGCAAACTACGGGAAGGAAGTTGAAATCTGTTGTAGGAACTTTCAATGAATTGCATGCATAGTAGCCCTCAACTGGTTTGTATAGCATTAAGGGTCTATGAAGAAATATGGTAAATAAACAGATTCATAAATGGCATCAGTTACATCTAGATTCTTCAGGTTTTAGTAGATCTTACAGCCTCTATTACACCTATTGTGGTGGTCACAAACCACGTGCAGTTGGGATCCTCTGAAGTATGCACATGATGCTTTAAACACAACATTTTCTGTCACTGGGATTGGGGAGAGACACAAGGAGATTAAGCAACACAATTAGGAAAGTGATATAAAGCAACACTCACTGCTCCGGCAACAGCAGACCCATCACCATAGTTAATCAGGGAGATAATGGATGTAATGATAAATAAGAGGCAACCGATGGCAGCACGAAGGAAATCCTGATTGGGAGGAAAAAAAAAAAAATGGTTACATATAAGACATCCTATAATTGTGACTTGTTCAATACAGTTCAGTTGCTTAGAAGATATTTTCATAAGTAGTTTTAACCCAGCAGGTGTCAAACATATGGAACTATTCCTATTCCGGTTTTGTAAAAAAAGTTACAAATAGCTACACAGACAGAAATAATTCCCCAATCAGGAGGATGATAATTTCCCAACACAAGACTCTGGAAAATTAAAGGAACACTAAGCATTATAACCACTAAAGCCGTACCTCACCTTTATTATCATAGTCGGAGAACTGCAAAGTTCTTAAGCAGGAACTCCTGTTAGCTCTCCTGAGCCAAGAACGGCAATGCAGTGTTTAGTTCATAGCTATGGGCGCCAAGGAGTTAAGCCCACTGGAGGGCTTAGCTCAGGAGAGCTAATGGAACTTCTGGTTCTCCATCAATGGCAGTGAAGTGGGGAGCGTTGTCAGGCAGACTCCAGGTAAGAAGTCAGAATGGCCAAAAAAAGTTTAATTCCTTACAATGGGTATGGGGGTGTGGGCCAGGTAGTGGTTAAGAGGCAGAATACTCCCTCAACCATAGACCACTAATGAAAAAGGTATTACCTTCATTGTAAAATTAAATTAACTCTTGATAAAATCAATATATTTACACAGCATATCCTTATAGTGTTGAATTATACTTGCTGTACTGATTGCTAGAACAATAATATGTGCCACCATCCCGGCTGTAATGGTTATAGTAATGTCACTTAAATGGTCAGTCTAGGCACCATAAATCATTACAGCCTGCTGTACTGGTTATGGTGCCAGGAGACAAGAATTAATCAAACTATTTTAAAACACTTTGACACTTACCTGGATCTGATCGCTCTTCAGGTATAGAAAAAGTGGATGTCCCAACTTATGTATTAGTGTTTGGACAAGCTTTGTTGGCGGAGAGATCAGCTGACATTCTCAGCTAGTTAATACTGTTCAGATAGGCAAAACATGGACAAATCTTTATCTTCTGTGGAAGGGGAGCCTCTGCTTAACATATATCCGAAGAGGGGCTGACCTACATTTGCCCTGGTAGACCAGATCAGGGTCAAATGATTCAAAACAGGTTTTACTTTAACCTGGGAGATGTCGCTACAGAATGGAAACTAGTTTATGGTGCCTAGACGAAGCCTTATAAAATTAATAAATAAACAAACAAAAACTCCAATCTGCCCATCAGATCTTCCCGCAAAGACCATAACATACAAATAGAATAGTAGCAATGGGAGTCACTAGTTCTTAAATAAAAAAAATAAAAACATCAAAATGACATTACCATTTTTTGAATATCTACTGTATTCTGCAGTGCTAATTTGAGAACTCCTTTTGTTAAAAAGTCCTCATAATAGCCGACATTACCCAAAATTCCTTCCACCATTTACTAGCAGTACATATCAAACTCCATCTTCAGTTTGAGCTGGTCGTATGACCGTGTACTTACCGTCCATCCCCAATGAATAAAGGAAAGCTGCTGGTTGAAGTGAACGGCAAAGATCACAAAAAAGACGATACAAAAGACTAGTTCAGTGATAGCAAGCCCGAGGTACCCTGGAGTTCGAGAGGCAGCAAAACAAATCACGATGATGAGACAGAGAACCTGTAATCAAAACATATATAGCAATTAGCAAAGAAGGATTTGTTTAGGAATGGCTGGCATGTGGGACACTCCAGACCCCTAAAGCACTTTAGCTTGCTGAAAAGCTTTGTGTGTGAAGAGTGTGTCCTATTTTATTTTATTTCACACTGCATGGAAAGTGTACAATACAGTATCGTCTGAAACATATCAACTTAGTAGTGCCTAGCAAGGCCACATAGCATCAAGTAGTATGTAACATGCAGTGAGTTTTTCTGTTTTTTGTTGTTGTTTTTTTTTTATACGAAAGGAAAATTACATTACAGTAAAGCAATGTACAATAATAAGAGATTGATTATCCCCTGCGTGAGCCTGAGGTTGAAGTGGAGTGTGCTGTGGTCATGCGTCTGATGAAGTGGGGTATGTCATTGAGGCCCGCCGTGTCAGGAATGCCCTTAATTTTGAGGTTGTACCTCCTCCTCTGTTAATCTAATGCATCCACCCGCTCCTTGATGGGGAATTCAGCAACCTGTTCTACCGTCAATCTGGTGTCTTGAGTTCTGCTAGAGGCCTCAAGTAGCATGATCTTTATAGTAGCCCCTTCAGTTGCGCCTTTAGGCATTAGACTCTACTGGCGGGCTGCGTGATGCTCCCTGTCCTGGGTCGATGGAAGCTTCCTTCGAGGAGTATGAGGAAACTTCATCCTCCAGGGCTTGGGAGTGCTGCAGCAGCTCGCCGATGTCCCTTGTAGTAGGGCCTTTGTCGGTTTGAGATATTTTAGTTTTTCGGCCCATTGTCTGCTCCAAGGTGGGGTGTTAAATTTGCTGTGGCTCACTCGCCCCAATGCCACCTTATTCTCAATTTATTGCCAATTAGGGCACAGAGCTCAGGGCCGTGCATCGGCTCCACGCCCCCCCCCCCCACCCCATCCTATTTTTTTTTTTCTAATCAGACAGTCTGTGATTGGACAGCCATAGAAAGTCTTGGTGGGGTTAGATGGGGAGGACTTGCAAAGGCTGAAGACAAGAGAACTGCAGGTTTTGCAAGCTGTTTTTATATATAACCTCGATTGAAAAAAAATAAAAATTAAAAAAACAAAACAAAAAAACACGCATAATTAAATGCATGCAAGTTTTCATTTCAGGATAAATATACTAAACAGTGATTTTTATTTGGTTGGTATTTGCAGGGGTGGAGTCTCCCTTTAAGGTCAGAGCACGTAAACTAAAAGCATAGCTGACAGAATTTTTCCAGGTATTTTGGAGTTAAGTTTGAAATTCACTTTAGTGAATAAGACTGTCTGTATGGAAAACCCATACAAAAAACAATAAATGAACCCATTTCAACTGTTCAATGTTCATAGTTTGGCTGTTTGGAAATTCAGCTTGTATTCCCAACAGTTCACACTTTAAATGAATAAGCCTACAGATCTTATCTGCAACACTAACCACCCACATTACAAAAATTCTTCCCCTGGAATCCCATCAAGCCTTAAATGTGCTATTTGACCGTTTGCCAGCTTGTCCTCATTGTTACTTCACCACCAACCCTTCTATCTCCTTTCAAAGCTTTGGCTCTATCACTTTTTCTTATCTTTTTAAACTCAACTGACCTAATGTTTGCCAAAACTCCAAACCTTAACGGCTCCAGAACACTTAAATAACACTTCTCAAATGAAGCACTATGGAACTATAAATAAGACCTATGCACAAATCAGAACTGATGTAATGTCCATTTAGCGCCCTCCTGATTATGGCTGTAAGGCATTGTCTATTCACATAAAAATGGCCATAATTTTGCCAATTCATTAATTGTAGGACAGCTCTCAGCTTTAAAGTCAGATTGTATTACCTTTTAGCTATCCCTGTTCTATGGGAACCAAGTCTGCCTTCCACTAAAGTGAAACTTTTGGGGAACTTAACAGAAAGTTTAAAATGAATGGCCAACATAGCTGGAAAATCTCCTTAAGTCAGCTGTGTTTCCTGTGTGAACTTTATGGGAGAAATTGTCACTTTGAATTCCCTGCCTGGGTGTGTTTTCTTTAACATTTGTCAGATCTGCAGAAGTGGTTCCCCTCCCTACTTCTCCCTTTATATAACCTTTGTGTATTTTGTTTATCTTATTACTTTTCATACAGTTCTCCACTTCTTTAGTCACTTCTTAATGTGACTCGGTCACCTGACATTTTTTCCCATAAATAACTTAAATGATAATGGAAGATAGCCAAGTGGTATTTTCTTTTAGCCGAATAGGTTTGGCGGAGATTACTGTTTGAAGATCCATGTCAGTGTTTCACTGTGGAAGCGGCCACGTGTGGATTGCATCACAGGTTTATTCACGGAACGGTAAATTGGCTGGATTTCACCAGGGAATTACACGGTTTAGGCAAAAATAGGCAGATTAGAAAAAAAAAAATTCAAGGCAGTTATGTTTCCAGCTAGGTTATTTGGGCCTTAGAATTTCAAAAATTCTACGGTGAATTTTCCACAAACAACATTTTATCAAATGCGTGTGACAGCTACAAATTAAATAAAAAAACAAAACCTGACACGAGTGAAGTGAACATGGGATGTTCTTAAGAGAAAATTTAAAGGAACATTATTGCATTAGGAATAGCCCCCCTCCCCCAACCTAAATTAATTTGGAAAAATAAATAAATAAAATTAAAAAAAAACATAATGAGTTTTTCCTTTTTTCACCACAAGCTCCTGAGTTCCTGCAGCCACTCGGACTGCCTCCCGCAATATCATGCGGCCACTAAAAGTCCAGTCCAATGTTACGCAGAGTCGCATTGGTGACACAAAGTGCATGCGAGGCAGCGCAGTACTCATATTGGAGGTTATTTATAAAAACAGAGATTGACTCTGTTCTCACAGTGAAAGAGCCTCTAGTGCCCGTCCGGTATACGAGGCAATGTAAGTAGTTACACATCTACTAAACTGTAATGTTTTTCATTGCAGAGCTAAAAACGTATGACCACAGCACCAAGACCATTTAATTTAGATTAAGTGGTCTGGGTGCCTTTAGTAATCCTTCAAATTCTGCGATTTGCAAAGTAGCATCCAATTTTCATTGTGCAGGAAACACACACACACTATGATAGTGCTCTGTGCCCACATGCAAGCTGGAACTCCTTTATTTTAATTTGTTAAATAAATTTAAATTAAAAAAAATACACAACAAATACACACACACACACACACACACACACACACACACTTTTTTAAAAATGCTGTGACAACTTGACTATAGACCAGTGGACGGTTTGGGATTTCATGTGGGCAGCGGGAGGTTCTGCAGAAAAACACCCAGTGGGCCTCGATGGTCATGGACCAAGACCGGCAGGGGAGATCCTTTCATCTCCCCTGCCGGCCCATGCAAAGCCAGCCTTGCTGTAAGCCTTCTTGGGCTGGTGAGGAGATAAAAGATCTCCCTCACTGGCCCGCTGGCACCTGGTTCCAGCAGAGGGAGGGAAGTGCCTGGGAGGCTCTGGGTTCCTACCACGAGCAGGCTGGAGCAAGCGTTGCCATGCATTACCTTGGCAACGTTTTGATACAGTTCTGTGCTCACAGGAGTCAGCCTGCAGCCGGAGGAGCTGCAGGCTAAAGTGAACATGCCACCACTAGCATTATGTCCCCCCACCCTGGTAAAAAGGTAAGAAGAAAGGAGGTGGAGACATTAAGATAGATTTTCACCTCTCACCCACCTACACACAGCATAGATCCTATGCACCCTTCACTCTCTCTCTCTCACACACACAAAATAGTGAAAAATGTAAGTACATATTAAAAAAATATATATAAAAAAATAATATAGATATATATATATATATATATATATATATATATATATATAAAAATAAAAACCTTCTTTCTAATAAAAAATAAATAAATAAATGAAAAAAATAGCACTTGCACTAGAAAATTCGTCACTGCGGCACTGGTGGGCAGTAAGGAAGTTTTACCATCAAAGATACAAAAGTGGGCGGTAAGTATTAAATTATTGACTACCCCTGCTATAGATAATTACGGAGGACAGAGTCACTTTAAGTCCGCTCAAATGATTTTACAGGTGACGAAAGTGTCCGTAAGTATTGCAACATAGGAAGACGGAGACCATAATACAACTGATATTTCGCTTTATATAAGTCACTTTTTCTTGTGCTTGCAAAATAATTAAGAGCTCCAAGGCAACACATACAGTAATGGTGTTTAGGAGTTTGTCATATGTACCAACCAGGTCTTTTGCCATCATTGAACTGACAATGTCTAGGGAGCCAGTCAGGGTTAACAGTGATATGGCACAGCCGAATTTGCTTTATCATACTATATTTAGTATGAATAATAAATATATTCCAACCAATAAAAATGCAAGGCATTTGAAAATATTTTGCACTTTATAAATTATTCAGGTTTTTTTTAGCTGCATGCACTTAACACATTCAGTATCAAAATGAAAATACCCAGCAAAACACAGTGATGTGCTCGAAAAACATACAAAGTGTAAATTATAAGCAAATAGAGTCAGTGACATCTGATGTGATGCATTTTCTCCCAATTACATGACCAACTTGTTCTTGATTTGGAGAGGACATGGTATACAATCTTAAAAAGGTTCAGAGCTTTGGTGCTTCTTAATCAGTCATCATGCTCACCTTCTGAATAATGTTCAGTATATACACCAAGGTAAATATGGAATTCACAATTTGAGGTCCAGACATTTTCTCCAAATCTCCAGATTTTGCAGGACAAATCCAGAACAAGTCATTCATTTGATTGGGCAAAACATTTCACAGTAGACGTCACTGGAGATGGGCTCAGTGTTTAGCACTTGATTGGAGGACACGGAGGAAAGATAAACCCGCCGGAGTTGTATGAACTATTTATAAAGCGATTTTTTGGGAGTGTTTCCTGCTCTGAACTTACAAGGATTTAATGTAACAGTTTTAATATTATTCATCCTGCGATAAAAGTAAATGGTATAAATCCATCATGGAGGAAGTTTCTCTGCAGTGGAGGTGCTGGGTCCTGGATATTTCAGACTCTGGCCCTGTCTTCAGCATAGTCACAAGGACAGATAATGCTGCATTAGTTCTTATTCAAGGTATGAATTGCTTAAGCTGTTTGAGACATTTAGCAGCTCCAGCGTCTTCCTCAACAGCGGTTATATGGTCTGTAAGGATGGTCACCTCTTCCATGATTATTGCCATGTCTGCTTGGAACATCGCTTGTATGTCCTTCAACAGACCTTTGATATCCTCTTTAGTGAAGGGGGCTTCATCCACTGTAGTTGGGGTGGACTAACCAGTTTGTTTGATAGAGCTAGTCAGTCTTCTGCCAGACTGTAGTCCTCAGAGGATCTTAGGTAGGCCTGAGTCTGATGGATCAATGCTCTTATATTGCGGAACTTGGAGCTCCCCATGGTCTGTGGAGATCCCTTTAAATCTTACAGTGCAGACAGTTATGCGAAATAACAGTGCAATAATTGAAAGAACGGACGATGCAGGACTGATTTAAAAGTTCAATTTTCTGGTGTTAGTAGAAGTTGTAGATTTATACAGAAAAAGTGCCAGCGCTAAGCAAATAACCCCTTAGATAATTAATCTAGAGTATCACAAACCGAATAAATTTGACCTTATATGTATAGAGTTCCAATTAACATTCAATATAGTGCAGTATAAGTTTAGGAGGATGGGCATATGCATCCTTAAGTATTTCAAAAGTATCCAAAAAAGGTAACATGTTCTGCATATCCACCAAGTATATCGATACCTTTAGAAGGATACAAAATGCGCACATAGCATAATATTGCACACTTGATTGCTAAAAAAAAAAAAAAAAAAACACACACACTTCCCCAAATGGAACCCTTACATAAAATAAATGTGGTATTGTCTCCAATAACCACGCAAACAGCGTTGTAACAATATTGTGGAGGTGTTACCACTCCATCTGATGGTAGTCTCTGCACATGGACTGGGATGAATCTCCCAAGGGCCGGAAAGACGCCCGCACTGCCCACCGCTGCGTTTGCCTAGAGCTCTGGAGGCTGCTCTCCATCAACACGTTTCGCCCCCTTCCTGTGGGCTGTCAATATAGGAGGCGGTGGCAATGGGTAATGATTTTATATTATATATATATATATATATATATATATATATATATATATATATATATATATATATATATATATATATATATATATATATATATATATATATATATGGCGTGGCCTGAAGTTGTGGGAGGGGCTTGGTTCCCCTTCTTAAGGAGCACCAGCCCTTCCCTCATTACCTGTTAGGTCTGGCGAGTTGCCCCACCCACCGCACCTCCTTTTATAAGCATAAGGTAGGCCCTCTTTTATTTCAGGCCTACTAACTTGTCAGTTCCGGCACACCACAACAGACATTTCCATTCCCTGTCCATCTTATGTTACGGTTTTACATATGAAAGAAATACCGGCACTCCAGAATTTGGTTTAAAAAAAAAATATATATAATATGTTAGTTCTTCTTTATTCTTACAGTTCCAGTCAACGTTTCCGCTCTTACACAGAGCTTTCATCAGGACAATTATAAATATTTAGGTTTTATAGCGATATCCCAATGTCTCAGATTTAAGTGATAGTGTCATATTACTTATTAAATTAAAGGACCACTATAGGCACCCAGACCACTTCAGCTCAATGAAGTGGTCTGGGTGCCAGGTCCCCCCTAGTTTTAACCCTGCAGCTGAATACATAGCAACCACTAGAGGCCGCTTCCACAATTTACACAGAGTAAATCGCACTTATTGGTCACTGAACGTCCTCACGGACCTCCAGTGTCAAAAACGATCCCCATAGGAAAGCATTGAGTAATGCTTTCCTATGGGCAGGTCTGAATGTGCACGCGCCTCTGGCCGCGCATGTGCATTCGGCTCCACTCAGGAGCTGACTTCAATGGAGGAGGAGAGGTCACCACTGCTGAGGGAGCCCGGCACTGGATTAAGGTAAACAAATAAATGGTTAATTAACCATTTAATCACCGCGGAACAGGGCCCCAGTCACTCGATACATTTTTAAGATGTACGTATCCTGACATATTGCACAATGTTCCTTTCCACATTGTAAATTAATATACATGTTGCCAATAACAAAAACTGTATATAACAGTATTCTTGATATTCTATTAAGCGCACACAAATTTAAACAGATGACGTCTACACAAATTGAAAAACTATTCAAAATACATTAAGTGGGAGATTGTCATAGAAATCATATATTACCATAAGATTTAATCATACATTAAAATATGAGATCAGTGTAGATAGAAAAAGCTAAAAACATTGTACAGATGTTATATTTTTTTATTTAAATCTATAGAATCCCCTAACATAATCAAAGTGTGAATATCCAAATAAAATTCTATTTTATATAAAAAAGAAAAACACTTTTTTATATATATTTGCTTGTTCAAACTCTGCATTTAAAACAGGGGGGACTAAGGTTTTAAGGCTATAAACCCAGAATATTTCCTGGTATGTGAGTTTCTTAGATATATATCCCCCCCCCTTCAAGGTCTTTTCTTTTTCTATACCACAAAATTGTTATGTGCTTGGATTTCCTGTATGGTGTTCAGAGAAATGTTTCCATACAGTGTGTTACAATATAAAACGCAAGTTTATGCATGTATGTTCTCTCAGTCTTAATTTTAGCATCCTTTTTGTTTGGCCAATGTATTGAAGTCCACAAGTACAGCTTAAAAGATAAATTACTGGTTTAGTATGACATGTAATGCATTCTTTAATATCATATTTTTTTTCGTTCTGAAAGATTTAAATTTAGTGATCATTCCATAAGGGGGACCAGTCAACTTACACACATTGCAGTTCCCACATAAAAACAAACAAACAAAAAAAACCTTATAATAACCACATTGTTGATTCATTAAGTATTATTTTCTAATGATGCATGAAGTAATCTGACACTACGACTTTAAATCTGAGACATTGGGATATCGTTATGAAACATATATATACACACACACACACACACACACACACACACACCACTACCCATTGCCGCCACCTCCAATCTTGACAAACCCAACAGGAAGCGGGCGAAACGCGTTGATAGAGAGCAGCCTCTAGAGCCTCTAGGCAAACGCAGCGGTGTGCAGTGTGGGCGTCCTTCCGGCCCTTGGGAGATTCATCCCGGTGATGCGGTGGGTGGGGCAACTCGCCAGACCTAACAGGTAATGAGGGAAGGGCTGGTGCTCCTTAAGAAGGGGAACCAAACCAAGCCCCTCCCACAACTTCAGGCCACGCTATATATATTACCCATTGCCACCGCCTCCTATATTGACAAAGCCCACAGGAAGGGGGCGAAACGTGTTGATGGAGAGCGGCCTCCAGAGCTCTAGGCAAACGCAGCGGTGGGCAGTGCGGGCGTCTTTCCGGCCCTTGGGAGATTCATCCCAGTCCATGTGCAGAGACAATAAATAAAATTCACTAAGAGCTGGCACTTTTTCTGTATACGTTTTAACTTTTGGGAAATTCTTTGCAACTGCTACTATATCTGATCATAATTTTAACTGTCTATAGATAGTATTTCTATTAAATGTTTGTTTGCGCTCTCTCGATCTTACATTAGCTTTAGAAATTGTAGATTGCAGCTCTGCGTCTGGGCTATGGCTATGGGCATGTACTAGGATTGTGCCACAAAGAGGCTAGAGTAATCCTGTAAAAACAAGCCAGTTTGAAGCAAAATAGGATAACTTAAATGCAAAAAACATTGTGAGCATCAAGGAGCAAGGTATTAAATGTGGCAAAATGTAGAAAAACAAGAGAATTTTAAAACTTTAGAGAGAGTACAGAGAAGGGCTACTAAACTGGTTCATGGATTTCAGAAAAAGAAAAGAAAAAGGGGCGGAGCCAAGCAAGCAAACGAGATAGACGCACATAGATGAGCTCTCGGTGCAAATCACTTAAAACACCCGTTATAACAACTATACAGAGCGCAGTAAAGACACCCCACTGCTCCACAGAGGATATGGGGAGAAAGACAAAGAAACAGAGACCAGATAAACCCAAAACTGGACCAGATATCGGAGACTTGTTCCGACAGGCGCAGGGAGCGCATGGGCCAAAAATGGCCGCAGACCTTGATGAATATACTGACTCCTCAGACGACATGGGCCTGGAGGACTACCTGGGCGGAATGTTTGCTCCGTTAACACAGCCGAACTCGAAAAAGGGGCCACCCGACCCGGTAACCACGGAGACACTACGAACTATGCTGGGGGATCTGCAGAAAGTGCTGCAGGCGGACATGGCCCAGCTAAGAACAGACCTGACGGGTATGGTGAACCGTATCGGAATACTAGAGGCCTCATCTGACAAACAGGCCCAGGCCATACTGGAGCTCCGGACGGAGGTACAGGCCCTTAAACAGCAACAAGAGGCCACTAACCTACGATTCACGGCCCTGGAAGACCTCAGACGCCGCAACAATGTAAAAATAAGGGGTGTCCCTGACGATGTCCCGACAGAGGAACTGCCGCATCTGGTACGCAGACTAATCGGAGTAATCCCGACACCGAAACAAGCCAAAACCACCTCAATTGACGCGGTCTTCCGAGTCCCCAAGCCTCAAAGAGCTCCGGTATCTGCAACCCGGGATGTGGTAGTGAAGTTTCGCACGGGCGCAGACAAGTCAGCAGTACTCACAAGCCTCAAAGGAAAAACACCATTCACCTTCGAGAACGCGGCCCTTACCTTTTACACGGATCTATCCGGGGACACTCTTCAATGGCGGCGATCCCTCCAACCTTTCACGGCACTCCTGCGGCAAAGCGGCATAACTTACCAATGGCGCACGCCGAGGGCGCTGCAGGTACAGAGAAATAACGCATCCTACACAGTAACAGACCTTCCGGGAGCGGAGTCGCTACTCACTACTCTCGGCTTGCCTGAGGACTCCCTCGCTCCTCCAGGGCATCCGGGGACCTCCTCCTCCACGACCCAACGCTGGGACCCAGCGAAGATAACACCATTTGAGCCGCAGGGGAAAAAAAATGGAGGCAGAAGCTGTGACCACGTCCTGATTACCAGAGACTTACAACCTCCCTTAACGCACTGCGACCGCACATTAAACGGCAACCCGGAACCCCAGGGGAATACACAGGACTCAGCCTAAACATCTTTGGCTCCAGAGGACACCGGCAGGCTCATTGCCTCTCCACAAGACCCTTGGGCACATCGGGGATAACCGGACCTGTTGAACAACACATGCGGTCCGCAGTGGCTCATGGAGGAGAAATAAGAATCGGCACACCAGCCGCTTGCAAAAGGAACGCTACCCTGCCTCTCACGTACAGTCATTAATCGTTACTGTTCTCTGTAACTCTATTCGAACTCTGTTTTCTCCGAGTTTTCTCTAAGTGATGCAGACTGGCCTTTCCTGTTTATTTTCCTTACTGCTATTTTAATCTTAATTTAATTTTAATTTAACTCTCGTTTATGAAAGATAAGTTACCGTTCAAACAGCTGGTTAGCTCACCCCCACATAGTACCCTCGAAGGCTCCAGCACACAGGGACGACACAACACTCCAACCAGGTACCACCACCCACCCGATATGGGTCACTCCCAGGAACACAGCCCATACACAGACAGCACAGGCGGAACACACCCAGCCCACGCAGGACTGACACGTAATGTCTGACAAGGGGCTCATCATCCTCACAAGCACACAAAGAGCATATATGGGCACGGACCAAACCGACTCTCGCAGATACCACAGCTTACTCAGAACACACCTATATACACATCGCTGTCAAGACAGTGTAGAGATACCACCTTAAAACAGCCAAGAGTAGCACTACCCGGATAGACAACATCCTCAACCCAGTTGCGGCTACATAGCAAATCACATCACAACACCGCATATGCACTAACAAAACTACCCTAGCAATGTTGAACGAGAATAATCTCACTGTATGTGAACGATGTTACTGTTTCGATAAACCTGTTATAACTATAAAAAATGTGCAAACTCTCATGCCACTGTCAAACCTTAACGCATCCTCAAACACGCTGTTGTGGCGTATGACGATAACTTGTAACCAACTGCACATCAAAAATAAAGTATATATAAAAAATTAAAAAAAAATTACCAGGAAAGGTTAAAGTATCTTAACATGTATAGCTTGGAGGAAAGACGAGACAGGGGGATATGATAGAAACATTTAAATACATAAAGGGAATCAACACAGTAAAGGGGGGAGACTATATTTAAAAAAAGAAAATCTACCACAACAAGAAGACATCGTCTTAAATTAGAGGGGCAAAGGTTTAAAAATAATATCAGGAAGTATTACTTTACTGAGAGGGTAGTGGATGCATGGAGTAGCCTTCCAGCTGAAGTGGTAGAGGTTAACACAGTAAAGGAGTTTAAGCATGCGTGGAATAGGCATAAGGTTATCCTAGATAGAAGATAAGGCCAGGGACTAATGAAAGTATGTTGGGCAGACTAGATGGGCCAAATGGTTCTTATCTGCCGTCACATTCCATTTCAGATTTGCCAGGACAGTCTTAATTTTGGATCTCTTTCCTAAAAAAACCTCCAGCTGCAAAAAGGAGCTAAGCAAAGAGAGAGCTGACACTCCTTATTTCTACTGGTATGCCCCCATTGTGGCTCTGCCCCATTATATCCTTCCCCATACCAATTTCAGAATTCACAGAATTTCATACTTGCCAACAGTCCTAAATTCTGTGAAACTTCCTAAATATGTAACCCCCCGCCCCCCGCCCCCGACATCTTTCTTTAGGACACACGAAAATGCAGTAAATACATAGGATTAAATGTGCTCTTGCTACACTAGGCAAGAAATACAGAGCTATTTGGACTGTAAGCAGATCGGCAAAAAACTATGAATAGGGCTGTCAGATGTGATGAATGGAACTGCCATTGACGGCTAAAGTACATTTCCCATAAACTCAGCTGTATTCGGGTTTATGGTATAAAATAAGTCCACGTTTACTAGAATGAAGCCCAGTTGCTTAGGGCCAAGCATCAAGTGCCTGCAACTTTATATTTACAATGTAAGTAAACCAAAAGGAAAACATGAAAAAGGATGCCAATGCTCGCTGTAATTTGTTTCCTGAAAAGTCAGTACTATTACTTGTATAGTCACGATACTGCGGTTTCTATAATCTTTGTTTACTTACGTTTATATATACCTGCTCTTTAGTTTAATATGAAAGCATATAAATCAAGGCTTGACAAATTTGCGTTTAATCTATGGGCCGGCTGAAAAAGTTGGGTGCCAAGATTTTTTTAGATTTTTTTTTTTAAACTAACAAAGCTTTATTTTCAACGACAAAAATAAAATTCTTAATGGGACACTATGGTCAGCAGAACCACTCCAGGTTAATGCAGATAAAAGGCAGTGTTTACATTACTGCCTAGAAACACCTCTAGTGGCTGTCACTCAGATGGCCACTAGCGGTGGTTCCTAGATCAGTGCTGCACAATGTGCAGCACCTACTTTCAGCATCTCCACTGAGACGTTCCTCATGGAGATGCATTGATTCAATGTATCTCTATGAGGAGATGCTGATAGGTGCAATTTGGCATTTTGCCATGCATGTGCAATAGCCTCCCAATGCTTTCCTGTGGGAAAGCATTGGATTGGCTGAGATTATGAAGACTGATGTCTTGGCCATCGAGGCAGGGCCAGCCGCAGCAAGACCGGCACAGCGTGGGAAAAAAGGGTAGTAAAAACACCTTTCCCATGCTATCAAAGGAAGACCAGTCACCTAAACAGACAAACACACTCATTGAAACACACATACATATTCTCTCACAAATTATTTTTTTTGTGGCTACGGTCATCTTTTTGCTCTGTTCCCTCACGAGGGAGCAGAGCAGGAAGATCACAGCTTCCTTGCCGCAGTTTCCATTCTCCCTCAACCAGCTGCAAGCCCACTTCCATTCTCCCTTCGGCCGGCCATCTTGGGGGCTAACAAACTTCCAGACGCCAGGACAAAATTCCTAATCACAATGGCAACCTGAGCCCTGATCTAAATAAAAATGGACAAAATAAATAAAATTCAGTAAAAACATGTCTTAGAACCTAATGGGACACTATAAGCACGATACCCACTGCAGTCTGCGGTTATCATCCCAAGGTTCTGTGTTGAACCATTTTCAAATGGTTTAACACCTACCTTATATCCCATGATTCACCACCTGTGCACATGTATTGCCAGAACCGTGGGACAGTGCCAGGAAACTATGGACAACATAACCACTATAGTACACTGTAGTGGTTATAGTGCTTTGATTCCCGCTTTCAGAGAAGACAGAAATAGGGAGCTCCATGTGCTATAATCTATACAAAAATCATAAGAGGTAATACAGTGATGGAGGTGTACCTTTAAAGGGACACTATAATCACCCAGACCACTTCAGCACATTGAAGTAGTCTGGGTGCATATGCCTTGGTCCCTTAACCCCACAAAAAGGTAATTATTGCAGTTATTAATTAACTGCAATAATTACCTTTATCGGTCAACTCCACCTCTAGTGGCTATCTACCAGACAGCCACTAGAGGGACTTCCGGGTCGTCAAGCTATGCATGAGAACATCCAGTGTCACCCGTATCCCCATAGGAAAGCATTGTATAATGCTTACCTATGGGGAAATTCTAATGCGAGCACAGCCATTGTCGCGTATGCGCATTAGGTCTACCCTGCATGCGGGGAAAGAGCAGAGGCAGACCAGAGGGACATTGGCGCTGGACTCCGGTGTTTTTACCCCCACGGGAAGTGAGGGGGTACTATATGGAGCTATAGTGCCAGGAAAATAACGGTTTTCCTGGCACTATAGTTTTCCTATAAGGTTCAGAATAACTTTTTAACAGGACAATAACACGTGTCACTTACACAAGCAATACAACAGTGTGTAGATAGTAGCAATAATATTCCACAAAAAAGGTCAGCGTAGGCAGAGGGAAGTGGGTTCTCTAGTATTTGTTATGGCAGTTTCCTTTTACAATCCATTTTCAATTGATGTGGGTTTTTTGGAGAGGGGGTTACTTTTTATTAATTTATGGTCAGAATTTAAACCTTAAATACATTTAAACCCATCTATGGCTCTATGTACTTTAAACTGTAAGTTTATGGCTGATTTTTTTTTTAAATTGAGGCAGACACATTTACTTCATTGCAACGTGAAATAATTAAATTATCAGAAAATGGTGTAGTCTATTTGCCAACATTGCCTGCCCACGGGTTGAGAACACAGATGGGCAGGCCCGTCCATGAATTGGGTGGTTAGGTATATTGACAGGACCATCTCGAGGCAGAGCTCTCTGCATGGTCGTAATTCCCGGTCTCATTCTGCATATTGAACTGCTGGGCAGATTTGAGAATGCTGAACCTTATATTTATCAAATATGTATTTGTGAAGCGTGACAAATAAAATTAGATGTAGAAATGCATACCTCTATCATCTCAATTTTCTATCAGTCAACACACACATAAACACCTCCCAAGTGTCCCTACTTAGGAGGGATAGTCCCTATTTTTGGGGTCTAAATCCCTCTGTCCCTCTTTTTTACAAGCTCCATATTGCTGGTGTTTCTGGGTATTTTTACTGTGGAGTTCTGTCATACACTCACAGTAAAGTGTCTGTAAAGTACAATAAATGTGTTTAGAAATCACCCTGTGTCCGTGACCACACCCCAACTCACACCCTAAAAGTAAAGTCCATGTGAAATGCTGGGAGGTATGCCAGTAGGTAACCCATTACCTATCCCATGCAGAACTACAATTCCCATAATGCCTGCATGGAGAATCATGTGAGATGCAGCTGAAGAACGCTTGTGGGGATTCATTTTTGGTTATCCCTCATGTAAATAAACAAACACTGGGTGACTTATAGATACAATCAGCCATAATTCTGCAGGAGTAAGGTAGCAGATAGGAACCGTACAGGTCTGCTTTGCTTTTCCAGGTCTGCGAGGGTTTGTACATGGGTTGGTGGCCTGAGCTTTTAGTGCTCTCCAGGAATGGGCTGGTCAAGTTGGGATATTTCCCCATTAGGTTTCTTCACACTGCTGGGAGGTTACAGGGGTATATGATGGCACACCTTTCAAATCCAGCAGCCTCCATTTGTCAGTTCTATTTATACACACACTGCATGCTCCACTCGAGAAGGAACTTCCACACTGAGATCGGAGTTTCATGGACAAAAGAAGGCCATTTTGTGTTTACTTGCCCCACGGGCCAAGTTGTTAGAGTGGTTAGCCCTCCACTGGCAAGGGCCATTGGGTTGCAGTTCTACAACAGATGGGGGTCTACCTTTTGACTAGTTTAGTCATAAAAGGAACCTCCAGCTGTGGGGACTGCATTTTCGGGTACTCCTAATATAAATAAAATAAAAATAATTGATGACTAATAAATACCAATAGATACTGAAAGTCTACAGATCACTCAGGGGATCCAAAACCAGGTAAACCTGATGTTTAATGTGCCGAAACTTTACACACTTTTGGTATCTTTCCCACAATAAAATATCCTCCACTGGCAGTTCATGTAGCCCTGCCTTTTTTTAGCTTGACAAATACCATCTGAAAAAACATAAAAAATAAAGCTGGCAAGCGCCATGGGAGGGCTGGCAAGGGGCAGTTCCCCCGAGCCACTAGCATGGAATGGCTGACAAGGAAATTATGGGCAGCTATAAAAAAAATTAAAAAGTTTTAAAAGAGCAATGGGTGTGCCACAGGAAGGCATGGAGAGCTTTTTGGTTACTCATTTTTTCCTGGGCCCCTTGTGCTCAGTGGGTACTGTATGAATGAGGGAAGTGACTAGGTGGAACCTCTAAAAATGGAAGGAGCAGGTTTTATTAACCCTTCTGAGGCTAGAGGGATAAACTACATATTGTCAGGCAGTTATAACTTGTGCCTGTTTTCACACAAAAAAGGCACCTCTTGCTTCATTGTAATATCATAATTGAAGGGTGAGGGAAAAAAAGTGCAAAAAACGTACAAAGAAGGGAATGTCAACATAAACAAATAAAATATAACAATGGTGGGGGGGAACCGCCATGTGTATTATACATTTTTAAAAAGGTGGTTAAACGTATTGCAAATCGATAATATAAATTAAAAATATACAGACAGGCAATTGAATATATATATATATATATATATTTCATGTATTAAACATGACTATATTGACATGTATAACATAATTAAAGATGGATTGATGACAGACTGACAATATACACATATAAAGATGGAGGAACAGATAGAGAGAGAGAGAGAGAGAGATAAACAGCCAGATATATCTTTCCCCAAGTAGCTCAGCTAGACATATGGCTGATATAAAATGGGCGAAGTAGAACAGCAATTTCAAAATTGAATGCATCACCATGGAAACAAGTAGAATGTAGCCATTTACCATACGTAGACTGTCGCCTTATGTACATAAACCCAATAATATAAATTGATGATAATGTTACAGATGCTCTGTGTCTCTGCCTCCCAGTCATATAAAAACAGACAGCCCTCCATTGGCTCCCTGTGCCTCGTGTTGCAACTTCAGAGAGAGGAGGATGAAAGGAGAGCCTAGAACAGGCTAAACATAGCTTTAAAATGTTCAAAATAAAAACAATGTAGACAAGGAGGAGAAACAGGCAGGAAATCGCTAGTGGCGTATGGATCACAGTAATAAAATAGAATATTAGTACTGTAGATACATTGTATGGTTCTGAAAAGTGCATTCAAATAAAAAGGTGAAGTTTAGAAAAATTAAAAAGAATAATATTAATGAAAGAGGACTCCCCCCCCCAAGATAGTAGAGTTAGGGGTGTGGTGGAGTACATAAAGTTACTATAAAGCCATTAAGGGACTTACTGATTCTGCTACAAAGATGATCCCCTTCCTGGTCTTGCTGTAAGAGATCACTTGGCTCATGCAGTTGCCATTGCCCTGGGGTGCTGGGTCCGACATGCTGGCATAGAAGGGGCACTGTTAGAAGAGGGCACGCAGTGTGGAGAGCTGTGGCAGGGCGGGGTGCCGTGAGTACATGTGGGCTGGTTACAGGGTGTGGACAGGGCTGGGACTCCCAGCAGCTGCCAAGCCGTTTAAGGAGAGAGAGGAGGCTGCTGTGGATCCAATCAGGAATGTATCAACTACTTGTGGGAAGATTCCAACCTCACTCCTAGCTCTGTCTGGGCCTCACATCTGTAAACCAGCAGCACCTGGCTAAAGGGGTAGTGGATACCTGTCTGCAAGCTAGGCAGAGGCCATAAACAGAGACCGTGCAGGGCTTCTCCAACACGGGTTTAAGTAAATAAAGGGGGTACTTACAATATGGCATATTGCACTGTCCTGCTGGGGTTTATTTGGCAGTGAAGAGGTTACTTTTGCATTCCAACACTATCGCCTGGAGGGGGGTTAAATGAAGGGTTAATGGAAAGCTGGCAAGAAAAGTTGACTACATCTATGGAAAAGGCTAGTGAGAGTTTGGACAGTCTGCTTTTCCATTGAATTGAAGGGGTTAATTCTTACCATGGTTATGCACATCCCACCCTCCACTTAATGCAAAGAAAAGGGGTTAAAAGAGGAATTTCTGAAAAGCTTGGCCAAAAATGACCAATCTGCAGCATGATTATTTCTTCCCCCTAATGTGGTTAGGGGAACCACAAGGAAGTGGTTGAAATAATTTTTTTTGTAAAAAGCATTGTAAAAGGAAAAGTGGAGGCAAGTGAGTCTGCATCTCCATGGCAGTTTAGGGGTTACTAGCCACTGTAATGTTGTTCCATTGCAAGGAAGGGGTTAAACGATTAACTTTGGAAAAACTTAGCAGATTCAAACAGTCTGCTGCTCCATGGTTTTATGGTAAAACTGGGCAAAAATGGAATCAAATTAATCTGCATCTTTACAGGGATGAAAGAGTTAGTTGGCTTTGCCCTGCAATACCATGACAAAAAAATATAGGTTTCAGGGGAATTCTGCACATCTGGTCAATAAATTGTTTCTGTTGAGATTAGCCTGCTAAACATAGCAGTTTATTGTTAAAATGGTCTCTGAATATTTTCTCACCTGTTTGAGGAATGTTGTATCAGCTGTATTACACGGGGTCTCCTCCTGTTTAGACCTGGGAGGACTTGGAAGGGAATCCTTTCATTTTAACCACTCCCTGTCACCATGGATACAGGGGGAAAAAAATAACAGCAAATTCAACATGAGACAGCTTGTGGAATTATCAGCATGGGAAAACATTAACAGACACTTCTCCCAACTGCTTGAGGCAAGAGTGGTTTCTTCATGCACATTACAACTTGCTAGGTGTACACAGCTCAAAATGGGAGGTTGTTAAAGTGCACTGCCCTACAGGACAGTGTAAAAAGGTGATCCATGCACTATCTAACTCCTTCAGATTATTTTGGGAAAAATCTTCAGATTAGGAAACAGACTGGGTACACATATCTTTCCAGAATTTGGGTGCAGCCAAGGTCAAGCAAGCCAATTTGGTGATCAGTGAGTGACTCCTATAGATGGGATTATTCTGTAAACACCATGTTTTAGAGAATTAAATCTGAATAGTAAGATTTAAACAGAAATAGCCAATGTGATTATTATTGAGTTGGAGAAATGAAAATTTTCAAGATCATGTATTTTTACCCAAATTAAAGGACCACTAAAGGCACCCAGACCACTTCAGCTCAATGAAGTGGTCTGGGTGCTAGGTCCAGCTAGGATTAACCCTTTCTTCTATAAACATAGCAGTTTCATAGAAACTGCTATGTTTCACTGAGGGTTAATCCAGCCTCTAGTGGCTGTCTCATTGACAGTCGCTAGAGGCGCTTTCGCGCTTCTCATTGTGATTTTTCACAGTGAGAAGACGCCAGCGTCCATAGGAAAGCATTGTGAATGCTTTCCTATGGACTGGCTGAATGCGCGCGCGCGCCTCCTGCCGCGCATGCGCATTCAGCCGAGGAGGAGGAGCGTCCCCCCCAGAGCCTGGCGGGAGGGGGACCATGATTGTGGGGGCACCCTCAGGGCACTAAAAACTAGTGTTTTCCTGGCACTATAGTGGTCCTTTAAGCCATTCGAATTTAACGCACTAAAATGCATTGTTTAGTGGAGTATAACCCCATGAGATCTGTACTAAAGCTGGTCCTGTTGAGAATTAAACGCAAATTTTGCAAGTCGGCTGTGGTTTTAGCTTGACCTTTTGAATTTCTGACAAGTCACACTAATCCCGATGATGCTAAATCAAAACCGTATGATAGATTTTCGGCTTACAGTATTTCCCAAGACACCCCCAAGGTATCTCCGTGAGTCTAAATGGGGAAAATTTGGGTCTCTTCCATATCCATCCATCTTGGCTTATTACTGTGACTATTAAAACTCACAACCACTGCAGCATTAGTAGCAAAATAATATTTTCAGACGTATCTCTTCCTGCAGTAATTCTATTACGCATATTGGTACACCCTACTATGTCACTAGACTGAGGGCAGAGGTTATCCTACAGTCAGCCAGCAGTCAAGGCACATATGCCTGGACTCCATACAGCATTTCCAAAGCTACTCCCAGGACTCACAGTACCAACCCCTCCAGGGACAGCCACAAGCACAGTAAATCCTCCGGTTTTCTGAATTCCATTATACTTCCAGTTCTATATATCCCAGGTGGGGATTGTACTACCAACGCGCTACTGCACCAGAGCAGGTCTATGCTCTATAAAATGTGAGTACAATACTCATTTTATCTAAGAAAAGAAAAGTGTACCATACATACTACACTATTGGATGTTCTCACTTGTGTCTTCACATACCACACCTCATTGAGAAAAATACCATAATCACTGCTGAAATCCACCATCACTACTGCAGGGAATATATCCGTAGACGGGGATTATACCGTCCACGCCCTTAACAGCAGAGCTCTATATAGCTCTTGAAAGTGTGAGTGTGCTTTCATTCCAATATACCACCTTATATGTTTTTGTATAATTGCTACACTTAGATTATGTGTTATCTTTGTTTCTAAGAGATTCATCTATTAACAAGATTCTGTTGTATCCATGTATGTATATACTCATATCCCCCTGTAACACACACACACACACACACACACTATACCCCATATGCACACACTTCTCCTTATATACACTCATAATCCCTATCACAAACTATAATACACACATTGAGGGCTGCCATCAGGCGGTACAGCCGATACACTACATTCACTATACCAACACACACTGCATCGACTACACACACATACCTTGCATCCACTACAGTCACTTTACTACACACTAACACTGCATTAACTACATACACTGCATCCATTACACACACCTTGCATCCACTATACACACATACACACACTGCATCTCCTAGATACACACACTGCATCCACTTTACTTACCCATGTAAATGGACTAAGGGGTGGACCCTGTGGGTGACTAGGGGGTGAGCCATGGCCTTGAGCTGTGTAAAGGGCCCCAGAATTTCTGATGGCAGCACTGCACACACTATACCCCCACATACAATGCAACACTTACATACACACACTGCAGCCCCTACATTCAAACACACACTCACACAATCTCTACAAGCAGGCATGCATGCTCACACACATACACACAAGGAACATGCTTCCAGGACAGACTAGATTGGTCAAATGGTTCTTATCTGCCGTCACATTCTATGTTTTTATATGCACTTAAAAAAGGTTTGCGTTACATACATCCTGACATTTTTTTTGGACTGTAATCTGCACCTTAATAAGTTTAAATATTAGTTTGACAATTATTGTTTACCACTGTTTTAAGAAACACTATAGGCACCCAGACCACTTAATCTCCATGAAGTGGTTTGGCTGCCATCTCCCGGTCTTTTTAACCAATTTTTACATTACAGGGTTTAGATGCCTCTAGTGGCTTTCTCTCTGACAGCCACTAGAGGCACTTCCTCTGTGTCTCCATGTCTGAACCGTGCACACCTGTTCCTGATTGTGGCTGATATTTCCCTATTTAAACCCTGCCTGGCTGGCGTCTTGTTGTCAGATCGTTTTGTTCCTGTTTGGTGTTCTGCTGTTAATCTGACTCCTGGTTCTTGATCCTCTGCTCCTCCTTCGTTTATGCCTGATTGCCGCCTGTCCTGACTATTGATTCCGTCCCTGACTGCGCCTTTGGATATTCCTTGCCTGTACCTCGTTCCTGGAAGCACTGGTTATTATCAGCCCCAGTGCACTGTTTAACCGTGTTGGGGATTTCTGCCTTGAGTCCCCTTGGCTGGTGTAAAATTGCAAAGGGTGCTTTAAACTCTGCGTGTTGACTCCCAATTAAGGTAAGATCTACACAGATGGTCTCATAGAGACCATTTAACTGGTGCAGAGTGGCGTTTTGCCATGCATGCACACAAGACTCCAATGCTATGCCTGAGATCTTGATGATCTCAGGCATAGAGGGACATCTGTGCAAAGACTGGAAAACTGTGCACTATAAAGTTAGTAAAACACATTTGTATTCCTAATGCTATAGTGCACCCTTCAATACTCTTTGGTTTGGGTTTAAAAAGAATGGGAAGTTTTAAGTGGGAGGTATAGGATAGTGGGTTGTGGCCAATGAGGGGCACTATGAAGATTTTTCGCACAGAAAGCCTTAAGCCGGCCCTGTTTAAAACAATTCTCAAACTTGACTAGTTATAGCATTAAAATAACACTCCATACAACATAACGCTTATTGGTAATGTTGCCAGAATTCTGTGGTGCCCTCCCAGAGTAAGTAGTCAAACTGTTCAAGAATGGTTTCACAATTTATCTGGGTTCCACCAAATTCCTACTGTGGCCTTACCTGCTGCTGGACGTTCCTACAAGGTTAACTATGTCACATGGTTATGATTTTCACTGAACCAAGTACTTTGGAGGGGGAGGGAGGGTTTATCAAAGTGATCTGAAAATGTAAATTTTTTTTTAAAGGCCTGGATTCGCCATAAAGCCACAGAGGCCATGGCCTTGGGGCAGCTGGTGAAACTGTAGAAAGGTACAGACCACTTCAAACACTCCCTTTCGGTATCAGCACAGCTCATCAATGACTGACAAATACTGTATTTATATATAAGTATACATAAAGGGGGGGCAAGGGAGCATTGAGGAAACTGGCCTTGGGGCAGCAGAGCGGGTACATTCAAACCTGATTCTACACGGATTCAAAATCTGTTCCAATTTATTAAAGTGTTTTTAAAAAGTTGTCTGAAAAGTTCTCTCGATCTGTTGCTAAGATTGGTATGCCCAGATTCATCTTACTTTAAAAAGGTGTATTATATGATATAAATATTTATTTTGAAATGAATTTGGTGAAGACAAACACCTCTGTGAGCGTACACCTTCAGTCCCCAACTAAGTGAGCTCGAACTACTCTGTACTGGTTTAGTGTGCGCTTCCCATTTTGTGTTCTCTTCAAATGTTCTAAAGTTCTGAGCCCTCCGTGTCTCCCGACTAGTATCCCGGTGAAGGAGGGGGGTAAAATTGCTGGTGGGGGGGAGGGGTTTGCGAGATCAGTGTGCCTGCTCTCCTACCGGTTCTGTCCTCTTGTTGTTCTTGTGGTATTCCTCTCTTTTCCCTTGTCCTACTATCTACTGCCTACCTATCCTCTTGTTCCCCTCTGGTCCAAGTCCCTTGGGCTCCACCTTCTACCCATGGGGGCATGTACCTGTTGTATTACAAAGTCTTACAGCTTTTATTTTAAATGTGCGCCATTTATACAAATAAGGTATGTTGCATAAAAACATGGATGTTGACCATAGCTAATTCATGGGTTTCCTCCTGTCATATATACTGTACAATATTTCTCAGTGGGGTTAAGGTCCCGTCTGAATGATATTGTCCAGGTGACATTCCTCATATTCTGTAGAAAATAGAGGTTTGTGGCTCTGCGAGTATTTGCAGCCTGTAAGAAAGAACAGCAATGGCTAAACTTGATGATCCCACTTGTGCTAAGCCAGCAGCTCAAAGTTCAAAAGTTAATGTAATTTATGTATAAGAATATTAATGTTTGGCTTTCATATTTGGTTTTCGGTTAGAATTCACGTTGAGCCGTGGAATATAAGTCTGTCTGTTTGTGGAACTGCGAAATTCAGTGATCTTACTGTTTGGATTGCATTACTCATTCCCTGTTCCTGTAGAAGTCCTTGTGTTTGCTAGACCTACTGATGGAAAAAGTTCTGCAAATAATTTCTGTTTTAGTCTATGGGCCTCTTTGGCATTCTAGGACAGAGTCTAGGCTCCAGTTTTACAGAGGAACAATTTATAAAAAAAAAAAAAAAAGGAAATGCGCAGTAATTTCACATACATGTTAAATGAAATTGGTGACGTTCACAAATATGTATTGCACCATCAGACCAAAAGGTACACAAAACAGGGTGACTCCAGCAATACAGAAAGGAAAAATAATTTCCCCTGCTCTGCAGTTTATGTACAGATATTCTATTTAAAGCAAAAATGTCACTCTTCAGGAATTTGACGATGACCATGCTTTAACCCCTTAAGGACGGAGGCAATTGTTCAAGTTCTGACCAAAACAAAACCTAGAATTTGAGCTCCTATGTCTGTTCAACCATAATTTACTTCTTTCATATTAACCCCTTAAGGACAAATGACATGTGTGACATGTCATGATTCCCTTTTATTCAGAAGTTTGGTCCTTAAGGGCTTAAAGGACCACTATAGTGCCAGGAAAACATACTCGTTTTCCTGGCACTATAGTCAGTGGTGTATCCTGGTTTTGTCCCTAGGCAGGACAAAACTCAGGCACCCCCCTCACCCCGCCCCACCTTCTAAATACACACACACAAACAGTCAGACACACACACAGTCAGACACACACACACCGTCAGACATAACACACACACAGTCAGACACACACAGTCAGACACAAACACACACACACACACACACACAGTCAGACACAAACACACACACACAGTCAGACACACACACACACAAACACAGTCAGACACACACACAATCATTCACATTAACACTTTTTAAATTTACCCCCCCCCCCTTACCTTTGGGGGTGCTGGGGGGATCCTCTTTCTCCCTGGTGGTCCAGTGGCTGCTGGGCGGGCGAGAGAGCTCTTCCTCTGAGCTGACTGCTCAGCTCCCTCGCGCCCCGCAGAGTGAGGCTGGGAGCCGGAATATGACGTCATATTCCGTCTCCCAGCCTCACTCTGCGGGGCGCGAGGGAGCTGAGCAGACTGCTCAGAGGAAGAGCTCCCTCGCCAGCCACCCGCCTGCTCAGCAGCCAGCGCCGCCCGGCAGCCCAGCATGTCTGTTAGCCGCAAGGCTAACTAGGCATTTGCCCTGGGCATTTGGGGGGCGGTGTTTTTTGCCGCCTCCTGAAAAATGCCGCCTAAGGCAAATGCCTTGTTTGCCTCGCGGCTATATACGTCCCACCCTCAGGGACCCCCTCCTGCCGGGCTCTAGGGGGTGGAATGGGTTAAATTTACCTCTTTTTTCCAGCGCCGAGCGTGCATTCAGCCAGTCCATAGAAAAGCATTCTCAATGCTTTCCTGTGGACGCTGGCGTCTTCTCACTGTGAAAATCACAGTGAGAAGCGCCTCTAGCGGCTGTCAATGAGACAGCCACTAGAGGCTGGATTAACCCTATTATAAACATAGCAGTTTCTCTGAAACTGCTATGTTTATAGAAGAAAGGGTTAATCCTAGCTGGACCTGGCACCCAGACCACTTCATTAAGCTGAAGTGGTCTGGGTGCCTATAGTGGCCCTTTAAGTGCACCCACTCATATGACATATCATTTTGGTCAGGAGAAATAGGGCTTTCATTTCACGTCAAACATGGAACACAATTTAATATAAAAAAAAATCTAAAAAAAATTGAGAATTTAAGATGTGTTTTTTTTCTTCAATTCTGCATGGTATTTTAACTGTATGCTGTGATTTCTCACGAGTACAATGATGTTGAGGTTTCATTGAAATTTGCCAGATTGGTTTGCTGGGCCTCTGTTGCCTTTGAGACAGGGTGGCAGTCCAGGAATTAATTTTTCACAAGTATAACACTTTGTACACATTTTATGGTGTTTTGGAAAGTTACAGGGTCAAACATGTGGCTTTCCCATTTAAGTTTTTGCACATTTAAATTTGTCAGATTGGTGGGCCTTTGTTGACAAGGTCATATAAAGAGCTTGCCCATTTCAGTTTTACACATTTAAATTTGTCAGATTAGTTTGCTGGGCCTATGTTGCCTTTGAGACCGTATGGCAGCCCAGGAATGAAATTACCCACATCATGGCATAGCATTTGCAAAAGTAGACAACCTAGGATATTCAGAATGGGGTATGTCAAGCCTTTTTTTGTAGCCACTTATTTTTTTGCATTTTTCACACAAAAACTGCACTTTCACTGATGATATCATCATCATCATTATATGGTTTACTGTTTTAAAACACTCCTACAATGAACAAAATTATAAACGTAACACTTTTGTTTTTGCTCCCATTTTTCATGAGCTGAACTCAAAGATCTAAGACTTTTTCTATGTACACAAAAGGCCTATTTCTCTCATATATTGTTCACAGATCTGTCTAAATCTGTGTTAGTGAGCACTCCTCCTTTGCCGAGATAATCCATCCACCTCACAGGTGTGGCATATCAAGATGCTGATTAGACAGCATGATTTTTGCTAAGGTGTGCTTTAGGCTGGCCACAATAAAAGGCCACTGTAAAATGTGCAGTTTTATCACACAGCACAATGCCACAGATGTTGCATGTTTTGAGGGAGCGTGCAATTGGCATGCTGACTGCAGGAATGTCCACCAGAGTTCTTGCCCATGAATTGAATGTTCATTTCTCTACCATAAGCCATCTCCAAAGGCGTTTTAGAGAATTTGGAAGTACATCCAACTGGCCTCACAACTGCAGACCACGTGTAACCACACCAGCCCAGGACCTATACATCCAGCATCTTCACCTCCAAGATCGTCTGAGACCAGCCACCCGGACAGCTGCTGCAACAATCGGTTTGCATAACCAAGGAATTTCTGCACACACTGTCAGAAACCGTCTGAGGGAAGCTTATCTGCATGCTCGTCGTCCTCATCGGGGTCTCGACCTGACTGCAGTTCGTCGTCATAACCGGCTTGAGTGGGCAAATGCTCACATTCGATGGTGTCTGGCACTTTGTAGAGATGTTCTCTTCATGGATGAATCTCAGTTTTCACTGTACAGGGCAGATGGCCGACAGCGTGTATGGTGTCGTGTGGGTGAGCAGTTTGCTGATATCAACATTGTGGATCTAGTGGCCCATGGTGGCGGTGGGGTTATGGTATGGGCAACGAACACAGGTGCATTTTATTGATGGCATTTTGAATGAACAGAGATACCGTGACAAAATCCTGAGGCCAATTGTTGTGCCATTTATCCATGACCATCACCTCATGTTGCAGCATGATAATACGCGGCCCCTTGCTGCAAGGATCTGTACACAATTCCTGGAGGCTGAAAACATTACAGATCTTGCATGGCCAGCATACTCACCGGACATGTCACCCATTGAGCATGTTTGGGATGCTCAGGATCAGCATATACGACAGTGTGTTCCAGGTCTTGCCAATATCCAGCAACTTTGCAGAGCCATTGAAGAAGATTGGACTGACATTCCACAGGCCACAATCAACAACCTGTTGCGCTGCGTGAGGCAAATGGTGGTCACACCAGATACTGACTGGTTTTATGACCTCCCCTCCTCAATACAGTAAAACTGCACATTTAAGAGGGGCCTTTTATTGTGGCCAGCCTAAGGCACACCTGTGCAATAATCATGCTATCTAATCAGCATCTTGATATGCCACACCTGTGAGTTGGATGGATTATCTCGACAAAGGAGAAGTGCTCACTAACACAGATTTAGACAGATTTGAGAGAAATAGGCCTTTTGTGTACATAGAAAAAGTCTTAGATCTTTGCTTTCAGCTAATGAAAAATGGGGGCAAAAACAAAAGTGTTGCGTTTATAATTTTGTTTAGTGTATTTGTGTTCTACGAAGACTCATGAGCACAACAGTACCCCCTATATACAGGTTTTATGAGGTTTTGGAATATATTTTCATGCAATCATACATTGCAATCACGTGAGACGGATGGGTTTGATTTGCCGGATGGGGACTGCCTGGGTTGTCAGGCAGTCCCACCGATCGTGACAGATGGTAACTATCCGGGTGCTGTGCCGTCCTGATGGCGTTAAAGCTCTGCTTTTGCATGACGGCATAGCATGCCCTAACGACGTTATTTGGTTAATGAGTTTACAGGTTAAGTAGAATTTAGAACATTTTGTTTGCCAATTTCTGTATGTTTTTAGACTAAAGAACACCTGTTCTTTGAGACTATAAAAAATCTATAGCACAGGGGTGTTACTAGGTTCCAGAACACCATGAGCTTGAGCTGAAAGATAACATCAGTCACCCCCATGGCCTTACATTCACAGCAAAATCAAAAATAGCGAGGGTCATGGGAAGTGTTAGACTTCAAGAAAAATATTTCCGTGTTCGATTTATCCAAATAACTTACAGTAATCCAGACACACTACTGAAAGTCTACAGATAGCAGGGAGGTGGTTAACATTTTCACTAAAGAAAATGTTATATAATCTTGCAGTATACACTTTATTTGACACATCATACCAAGCCTGTGCTTCTCTTTGATCCTGGACCTCCTTCACATTATCACACGATCCGAAGCACGTTGCAGCTATTGGCTATAATACAGAGCTAGGATGTTAACCTGGGTTTGATGTTCTACGGGCTTAGACTCTACATTTTAAGTGTTTTTTTTGTTATTTTTCCCCTTTTTCCATCGGATGTAAAAAGTTAAAATTAGCCATTTCTCAGCTACACCCATCACAAAGTCTGAAGGGATCTGGGGCTAAGGAGTACTACATCCTGGGCTCTAGCCCCTAAAGGCCACCACTAGTGACACTTATGCTATAACACATCATTTGCATCAGCAAGTAGTAGAGATGCGCAAAAATATTTTCTTATTGATGATCAAACAGAACATCCATGTTCCACTCAGTGTAGGTTAAGTGTAAACTGATGCAACTGAGAGAAGATTGGGGGGAAAAATGTCTACATAGGCCTTACATGCTTGTTAGTCCGGCCACTGTAAAGCGCTACGGAATTTGTTGGTGTAAAAAAATAATAATAATGTTGAGAGGTTGGTTATGTCGCAGGTGGCATGAGATTGTCGGTTGTTGTGGTTGAGATTGGTGTTGAAGTCAATAAAAGATAAAATAAAAAACCTTGAGACGTAAAATTGCTAAATAGCAGCAACACAGTGCATCTTACGTGTCAACAGGCCTCAAAAACAACATTTTAGAAACCATACATAGACCAGTGTTTAAAGTCCCACCCTAGTATAACACACCAGCCATATTGTTCAGTAGATCAACTTCCGAGAATGTCATTGCTTTACTTTCCATTTACACTACTGTTAAAAGGATCCAAATAATGGGTTCTCTGCCCATATTTGACTTGGCTTATTTAAAGATACCTAATGTACGTCATATATTTGGAAGGCAATATTGAAGTCAAGATGGTGAACAGAGTGTTCCTTTAAAGCCTTTTCGAAAACAAAGAAATCTGTTCATCTCCCTTAGGATTTTCCTTACACTTTCATTTAGCGCACCGTGCAATTAGATGTCGATGGGGATTTGAACAAGTGGCAACATTACAGATAAAGAATATAATGCAAGGCCTGGGTTTAAAACATATTTTTTTAAAAACAAAAACATTTATGTCAAAAGGCTTTGCTTATTTATTTATTTCAATTAAAAGTGAGGTGTGTGGGTTTTTTTTTTGCTTTATGGTTTTATTTCATACAAGTATTTGACAATGAGTATTACATTTTATATATATATATATATATATATATATATATATATATATATATATTGCAACAAATGCTAATGCTGGTCATAGATTATGGAGATGTAGTGTATGCACCCGCACCGCAAACCCACCTTAATAAACTTAATACGTTATATTATTCGTTCTGCCGCTTTGTACTAGAATGCAATTACTTTACCCACCGCTGTGACATGTTAAAAGAGTTAAACTGGCTGTCGCTGGAATCCCGACACACTCTTCATCTTTCCAGCCTTGTGCGTAAGAGCATTTCTGGGAAGCTCCCACCCTACCTGAGTAGAATGCTCTCCCCGGCTGTTCCCACCTCCTATAACCTCCGATCCAGTACTAGCACGGTGTTTAGCATACGGCAATACAAAAATAAAGTGGCTCAATCCTCCTTTTCCTACAGAGCATCAAAATTATGGAATAACCTCAGAGACACAGTCAAATCTTCATTCAATCTAAAAAAATTTAAGAGATCTATGGCAATATACCGCAGCACAGAATGCACTTTTCATGGTTGACTATATTTATGACCTGTTATGTATTACATTTGTGTGTGTGTGTATGTGTGTGTGTGTGTGTGTGTGTGTGTATATATATATATATATATATATATATATATATATATATATATATATATATATTTTGTATATTGTATCCTATTGTAACAATGCAATGTTTTGTGGACAAAGACCCAGGACATACTTGAGAACGAGAGAAATCTCAATGTATCCATCCTGGTAAAATATTTAATAAATATATAGTTTTTGGTTTTTTTGTTTTGTTTTTAATTGCTCCACCACACGTATTGATGACAATAATTACCAGTCTCAATAGCTTTTAATTTCCATGATGTTATCCCAAGAGAACAAAGCAATTTTTATAACGTTAGAGTGTTCCTGTGGACGTTTAGATTATCGAGTTGCCACTTTTTCTTTTTTTTTTTTTCAGTTTAACTTAGATTTAATTCAACACCATACTGGTTTAAGTGCTACAGCCCCTTTTCTTCTGAGACCCATGTTGGGCAATAGCCGCACTACGCCATCTGGCCACTTCTCATAGAGAAGCACTGAATCTAGTGCTTCTCGGAGAATCATTCACAACATATGCTGATGCCAAAAACTGAAAATTCTCAACAGGAATTGCCTTTAGTGGCTTTCTGAGTGACGGTCTGATTGACAACCACTAGAGCAATTATTAATGTCAAGTGTAAACACTGACGTTTCACCCAAATGACAATGTTTACATTTGTCAGATTGCAGTGACAGATTCCTTGCACTAAAACCACTACATTAAGTCATAGTTGTTTTGGTGCTTACAACGTCCCCTTGGAACCAACAAGTAGCTCTCTAGCTTTTGCTAATTTCGAGAACTCAAATATGAGTTAATATAGCACATACAAGCCTTCTATGGAACTCCCTATTTTTATAAATTGTCTTCTCTGCTCTATAAGATTTTTCCTAACTCTCACTTAAATTTCAAACAGGGGCCACTGAATGTAACGAGAGCAAGGAAAACTCTACCGTTAAAAAATATATATATTTGGTTTTTAACACTACTGTTCCTTTAATCTTAGCCATCATAGACTACACTGTGTGCAAAGCGTTAAATAGTATAGCTAAATATGGATATATATTATCTCTGAGCACGCTTACTCATCACAAGGCGTATCATCATCACACCAGATCAGACCTTTGGGACCCAGAACTTTATATATAGAGGATTCTTGTGCCGTCCCATTTTTCCATACATTTTGTTCACTTATTTATGTTTTTGGCCTATACCTCTGGGTAATTTTGTTGTTTGTTGTCCCTTTAGGCCAATTTAATTCCCTTTCTTTCATTTTTTTTTTTATTCCTTCTGTTGTGGGTTTGTGTTTAAACCATATTCATTTGTCTGCTTTTTCTCTCCTCTCTTTCTATTAACACCTTAGAATTGTGATAATTTTATTTACATACACGCTGGTTACTGGGCCATGACCAGGGTCCCCAGGTGGCTGCTCCACTTACTGTGATACAGACAGTACATCATGATTGTGGGCTTCATCAAAATAGAGTTATGCAAAAAAGTTACATAAGTCCACTGAACTTAACTGTTAGAAAAGGAGAAGGATTAAGATTCCACATTTCCCTAAGCAAGTTATTGTTTTGGGACCCCCTTCACTATTTACATAGGGAGGGCCGAACCAATTAATGGTTCCAAGAACCCTGGCCCCTAGGCAACTGCCTACGGTTACCTTATGTCTATCCTGTTTATGTGTACTCAATAAGGATTTACTTCAAGTATGAAAAATATTAATTTAGAATAAAAAGTAAATCTTCTATTAATTATTTTTGTAAACCGTGAAAACAAAATTACAAAAACATACAAAATTAAGTCCTGTGCTCAAACTCCTGGGATGCAGCAACAGTATAACAGTATAGCACTGATTCCTAAACTATGTGCTGCGGCGCCAAGAAGGGCCACACAGGGGCGCCGCAAAATGTTTCCCCAGTACTGTGATTTTAGCATCTGAAACATTTCTGCTGAACAGGGCCCCGCCCAGTCAGGCGCCGCAGCCCTTTAAGACCGCAACCGGGCCCCTGTAGTATCTGCAGGCTGGTAGGAAGTGACAGCTTGTCACTTCCTCCCAGCTTTGTGAAGGGAGATAGCACGGGAGGGATTGGAGACAGCCGCATCATGAGGGGAGATGGACATAAAGAGCTGCTTCAGACCCCTCACTCCCAGCAGCAGGACCAGGACTCTAATCAAGCCACCCTCCTGGACACACAAGGTAAGCTTTGTCAGATTATGTATGTGTGTATCAAGGTGTGCATCTGTATGTGTGTGTGTGTATATATATATATATATATATATATATATATATATATACACATATGTCAGTGTGCTTCTGTGTGTATTTGTGTCAGTGTATGTGCACACATCTGTGTGTCAGGATGTGCATCTGTGTGTGTTTTTGTGTCAGTGTGTGTATCTGTGTCATGGTGTTTGCATGCGCCCGTGTTTATGTGTGTGGTTTTTATGTCAGTGTGTGTGTCTGTGTCAATGTTTATGTGTGTCAGGGTGTGTGCATCTGTATGTCAGAGTGTTTGTGTGTGTGTATATGTTGGTGAATGCATTTTTAAGGTGTGTGTGTGTGTGTGTGTGTGTGTGTTTTGTCGGTGTATATATGAATTTGTGTGTATCCTGTGTATTTATATGTATTTGTGTGTTAATGTGCATGTATATCTGTTTAAGTATGTATGTGTAAGTGCATACATTCAAGCAGTCAAACACCAGCACGACATTCAAACACACTCCTGCAATCTAACACAAATATTACATACAAACACACCCCTGCATTGAAACTCCTAAAGGATATACAAACACACCGCTTCACTCAAACACAAATATTTAACACAAAAGTACATCCGCATTTAAAAGTGAACATTGCATTCAAACACACCCCTGCAATCAAATGCAAACATTACATACAAACAAAAAACAACACGGGTTAGGTGCTCACTAAGATAACAAAATAGAAGGCAGCAGTAAACTAGCAAGTATTCCCAATCCTTGCTAATGATAACCAGAACGTAACAAAGAAAAATATGGTAAAACGCACCAAAAGATTAACAATTCTAAAAATTGTGTGCAATAAAATAGTAATATATACATACACTGGAGAAAGTCCAATATTATGGTGGTATATATGACCCTCAGAAAAATAAGATCAGGAAAAAATAATCATGTAATAAGTCACATAAGTATTAAAACATATGTGCATTTAAAAACCCAATAAAAGACTAACTCACACTTTTTAGAGCTAATAAGAGCTCTGCCGTATATCGCATGGATGATATAATTGTCATCTTATGATATGTGGATAGTTTCTGTAGTTGATGTCCAGTTCTCAGCAACCGTATATAGGAAAAAACGGAATTCTTAGTAGCTCTAAAAAGTGTGAGTTAGTCTTTTATTGGGTTTTTATATACACATATGTTTTAATATTTATGTGACTTATTGCACTATTACTTTTTCCTGTTCTTATTTTTTTGAGGGTCATATATACCACCATAATATTGGACTTTCTCCAGTGTATGTATATATTACTATTTTATTGCACACACTTTTAGAATTGTAAATTTTTTGGCGCGGTTTACCATATTTTTCTTTATTACATAAAAACACACCCTTGTATTAAAACACATAAAACTATATACAAACACCACTTCAAACACCAACACTATACATTACACTATAGCGCCTGTATGTTGTACAGACAATTCACCTTGCTACTTTCAGCTAAAAGGTAAAATCTCTAATGGGACAGGGGTATTTTTCTAAAACCCTACATATTTATTAACCCTTATTAGAGTTAATAAAATTAATTTTTTAATTCTCAAAGTGATTTTCACAGAGTGATTTACTCTAAAACGTGTCAAAAGAAATGCATGTATAGAAATAAGGGGACACACCCGTGGCTTGTTGTGACATACATCTGGTGAAATGTTAACATAATTTAAACAAACATTTAGGTATGTGACCCTCAGACATCACCAGCTGGTGGGTATCCTCCAATGGTTATGGCCTATTTAAGAGTCATCTCTAATCCCTGCTTCAGCTTGGGGGGGATTTTAACATCAGGTTTTTTAAGCTATAACCAGTGGACTCCCACCAGTGTTTATGTGGCGGGGGGGAGGGGGAGATGTATTTGCAGTAGTTTAGAAACACTAAGATTCTTTGATTCTTCTTCTATAGATAAGGATTGTAAGCCAAGAAAATAATGGGAAAAAAATAGCGTCTCTTTAATTCTGGAAATGGGCTTCATTTCTGCAGAGCTCCTCCCTCCTCATTGGTAGCTGTTTGGAGAAGCTTTCTTGAGAGCATCTAGGCGTGTCAAAAAATGGGGCTGTTTTGGTGGGGCGTGGCCTAGCGGTCCGAGAAGATGGCAGCTTAATCCTCAAGCTCCCCGCAGGCTCAGCTCGTAACCTCGACTAAACCGCACTTTGACAGCAGTGATGGGGAAGACCCACCGAGCTTCACATGCCCAACGACCGGGGGATGCCCCAAAGGGAACCCCGACCCCGAATATGAAGCGCTACCTGCTTACACAGGCGGACATGGATCCGCAGGCCTCAAATGACTCCACGGAGTCGGACATTCTCTCCCCGCACTCCCCAACGGGAGAACAGGCTCTCACGACACGCGCAGCAAGGGATGCCGCAGTACCGGACCTTATGGCCCTGCTGAAGGACTTACCCACAAAGGCAGACCTCAAGACGGCCAACGCAGAACTGCGCGCGTCGATCACGACGGAACTCCACGCGCTGAGAGAAGACATACAAGGCCTCAACCAGCGAGTCGCACAGATTGAGGCGGACTGTGACCACATGGCAGTGGCACAGGCTGCTAACACAGACACGCTGCAGCACCACACCACAGTGATGAGGCAGATGGCCCTGCATATAGAGGACCTCGACAACAGGGGCAGACGCCAGAATATCCGGGTGAGGGGGGTCCCAGAGGAGCTAGACAGTAAAGCCCCGGTACAGAACACCCTGCTGGAGCTGTTCAACAGGCTCCTAGCCAGGCCGCCTCAGACGCACATGGGCTTCGTTAGAGCCCACAGGGCCCTGAGACCCCAAGGACCCCCGGGTGGACCTCCCAGAGACATCATCTGCTGTATGGAGAGTTTCCAGCTTAGGAGGGAGATCCTCCGCAAGGCACGTGCCACTGAAAAGGTACTGTTAGAAGGATCAGAAATCCAGCTGTATCCAGACCTGTCCCCAGCCACTCTGGCCTATCGGCGGGCCCTGAAGCCCCTCACCAGGCAGCTGCAGACCGCCAACATTAGATATCGCTGGTGCTTCAAATAAAAGGCCTTCAAATAGCAACACCCTCTGGCCCTTTCATGGTCGCGGGAGCAGAAGATCTGGAGACGATCCAACGGGAGCTACATTTGTCGTCGAAGAAGCTTCTCTGGCCGAACCCGCTAAGATTTTACACAGAAGGTCCTAGGCCTCAAGGCACAGGCCCCAAACCCCAAAGGCTGCGGGCTCCCCGCACGCAGACGATATGACCGGCGGGGACACCGAATTAAATAAGCCGCCTGCCCTGCCGCTCCCTGGGACTCTGAACACGTACACCATGCCGTGAACGGGACGACTTGTTTTTCTTTATCCTTTATTCTTCCGACCATAACGCCTCGACCACTCGGAGCCTTTCTACACCACCCTGAGACATGCAACCGGGCTCCCACCTCCAAACCCTGTGTTCATGGGGAACCGGAGGGGCCGTGGACTTCCACTCCCGAGCCTGGTGATGACTTTCCTCTCTCCACACCCATACCGCAAGTATAATCCCGGGGAATGGGGGGGCACGGGACTACCACGTTTCCCCACTACCTGAGGACTGCGAGCCGAGCGGACAAGGTGGCACTTCCTGCATGAGCAAGGCACAGAGGGAAGGGGATGGACACTTTCAAGCCCTGGACTTGTTCCTTTCTTATACGTGACCTGAGAGCCGAGGGGCCCGGGGTACACACCTAGCTAACCCTCGTAGACGTACCAAGATATTTAGCCTTCAGGCATGCTGTGTTGAGATACGCTGGGATGACATAAGGCTACTACCACCTTGCCACTTACAGGGGCCAAGGGAGCCCACCGCACTAGACCACGGTGAGGGGACATATGGCCCACATAGCTATACCATAGGCCCCCCCCCCCCCGGCGGATACAGGGTACTCGCCGGGCTGCCGGTTTTCACAGTTTGGCGCAGCTCTTCCAGCCTTCCTAGCTTCCCCCATACCTCGACACAGAGGGCTATGAGAGGGCCCTGAGCTAGGTCATCGTAGGGTCACCCAGACACACGTCTGCATGAATAGGGCGATTGCTGCCCAACCGGTAGGGGATAGGTCCAGGCTGGGGTAATGCATACCACGGAACCCGAGGGGGTCATGGTGGGGCTCTCATTGCACAGAGTTAGTTATTTCTCCCGACCCTAGGTAATTAGAGAAGACCCTGACACCAGGGGGCGGCAGGCAACGCGAAATAGGGCAAGGAACACCACATCACACCTGTGGGCCGGACGACCCACTGGCCGCGGTCATGACACAGACCCTGCAAACATTAGCTCACAGAGGTTCACCATAGGCTACATTCCCTACTTAGAGAGCCATGAGACGGGGAGACGGGATGTCCCGACTGGGCGGAAATCCGGGGGCTCGTAGGGGAATGTGATGATCTTTCCGGGAGCGTCCTGGGCCCGCGGGGTTCTGCCTACTTGGGGTTTCTTGGACTCCTTTGCTACCCTATTGGCTGGAGCGTTTAGACTTAGGTGCGCGGTGCACCCCCCTACCCACGGGAGAGGGGGGACCCACTGCCCCCCCAACGCTCGAATCCATAATCCGCCGTATAAGGCGATACTCATCCGTACCCAGTCTCTAGACCCAGAGGGTGCGACCCTCCCCTCCCTCCCCTCAGACCTACCCAGTTTTCCCCAAGTTTCCCCATCCCATACTTTCTATACCTGACTACCGGACGGAAGTAACTACATCACCTCTGAGTGATAGACTCATATCCAGCATGTCCCTACTACCGGCCCCACTCACAATATTCACACTGAACGCTAGGTGACTCAACACGCCAGAAAAAAGGGCCGGGGCCCATAAAGATTTCAGGGCGGCTCACGCCTCCATAGTGTTTCTACAATAGACCCACTTCCGAGCAGGCTCACGACCCACACTGACTAATCAACACTATCCGAAAGGATACTACAGCGACTTTCAGGGGGGTAAGTCAAGGGGCACGGCAATACTCCTACATAGACACCTCCCTTTCACGGAAACAGGGGTCATAACGAACCCAGAGGGCTGTTTCCTGTTCCTCAAAGGGACGATCGCGAACACAACATATACCTTTGCCAATCTTTACGCCCCAAACCGCGGGCAATATAAATTCCTAGCCAGGACGCTCCGCACGCTTGTAGGCTTCCAGGAAGGCATCTTGATAGTAGGCGGAGACCTAAATGTAGCATTAGACCCCAAATGGGACTCCTCCTTAGGACACTCACACATTCCCTCACAATACCTTACGGCCATTAAAGCTCTCCTGACCAGAACGAAACTAGTGGACTGTTGGAGAGCTTTTCACCCCGACGAAAAGGATTTCACCTTTTACTCCCACCCCCATAACTCCTACACCCGCATAGATTATCTCTTGGTCCCCAGCCATCACATACCGATGGTCTTACAGGCCGACCAGGGCACTGTGACGTGGTCGGACCACGCCCCAGTGACCATCAAATTACACTCCCCCCTCCATAGACCCAAGATCTCCAAGTGGAGGTTAAATGAATCACTGCTCACCAACCCAACGGTCACCTCCGACATAGGGAAGACACTACAGGATTATTTTACAAACAACACCTGTGAACAGACTCCCCCCACCATACGCTGGGAGGCACACAAGTGTGTCATAAGGGGGCATTTTATCCAAAAAAGCACACTCCTGAAGAAACAGAGAGAGGCCCGCATGGCCACTTTACTGTCGGACATAGAACAAGCAGACACACTTAACAAGCAACACCAACTCCCCACACACCAGGCCACACTCCTCTGCCTACGGAGGGAATTGACCACTCTCCTTCACTCCACTCATCAAAGGGACGCATTTCTTTGCAATACATGGAAACAAAAGCGGAAAGCTTCTGGCGCGCATGCTAGCCAAAAGAAGACAAGACACGTATATAGACAGGATCCGTGACAAGGCAGGGGTCCTACACAGACATCCGGCCAAGATTCAGGAAATCATTCACACATATTACGCGGAACTGTATTCCCTTCCACGCGGACACACAGACGCACAGTCATGATCACTCCAGACCTCAATAGACGAATATCTAAAGACCCATAGGCTCCCCTCCCTGGTGGCCGACACGGCCGACCAACTAGACGAACCGATATCCATGGGGGAACTAGCACTCGCAATCAAATCCACGAAACCGGGTAGGAGCCCAGGTCCAGATGGCCTGCCCCTCAAATATTATAAAAGCTATGCCGAGACCCTGTAACCCCCACTTCTGGACATGTTCAACGCCATCAGGGAGGGACATGAATTACCTGCACAGGCACTCATGACCCACATCACCATAATTCCGAAAGAGGGCAAGGACCGGGAACACTGCGGGAGCTACCGGCCCATCTCCCTCATAAACAATGATATCAAACTGCTGGCAAAGGTCCTGGTGACCCGGCTCCAGGTGCACATGCCCTCTCTGGTTCATGCGGACCAGGTGGGGTTTGTAATGGGTCGGGAAGCCAGGGACGGCATCATCAGGGCCCTCACGATTATGCACAGACAATCAGGGGAAGACACAGGCCTTCTTCTGCTGTCCACGGACGCGGAGAAGGCCTTTGACAGGGTCTGCTGGGCATATATGTTCCAGACGCTGACACACATTGGTATGGGACCATACCTGCAAGGATGGATTAGGGCCCTATACACTCACCCGACGGCGCATGTCCTGGTCAACGGGGCACCCACAGAAGCATTCCCGATATACAACGGTACGCGACAGGGGTGTCCCCTGTCTCCATTGCTATTCGTTCTGGCTTTGGAACCCCTACTAACCACAATCCGACACCACCCGGACATCAAGGGGGTACACATAGGAGACACACAACATAAACTAGCCGCTTATGCGGATGACCTACTATTCTTCATAACCCACCCGGAAGTCTCCCTTCCCAATCTAGTGCAGGTGTTCCAGGCCTTTGGGGGGTTATCGGGGTACAAGATTAACTTTTCAAAGTCCTATATCTTAAACGTAAGCATGCCCGCAAGGAGATCTGCACAGCTCCGACGGAGTTTTGCGTTCCAATGGGCCACGGACAAAATCCGATACCTCGGCACTTGGCTGACCGTTAAGGAATCGGAGCTATTCACAGCGAATTTCGCCCCGATACTAGCTAAGTTCCGTACAGACATGAGGGAATGGGCCCTCCCGCACATCTCCTGGCTGGGTAGAATTCAAGTAATAAAAATGAACTTTCTACCGAGACTACTTTACCTCTTCCAGGCCCTGCCCATCACAATCCCATCCTCGTTCTTCGCCACACTTCTACAGGCTTTAGGGGCTTTTGTTTGGGATGGGAGGAGACCCAGACTGAAATACACACTGCTAACTCAACCCAAGCACAGAGGGGGTCTGGCTCTACCGGATGTCCGACTATACTACAAGGCATGCCACCTGCAACGTGTTGCGGAGTGGTCCAAGACTGGGGTCGGAAAACTATGGAAACAGGCAGAGGAGGGGGTGGCTAAGCTCCCAGCCGCCCTCATCCCGTGGCTCCCTGCAGGGACGGATGGAAGGGAAACGCACTACTCCACGTACACGAAAGCGACACTGAAGATATGGTGAGGCAATGCCGGTAGACACGCGCTCTCCACATACCCGTCCCCATTACTTCCCCTCACACACAATCCTGACTTCCCACCGGGCACGGACCCAAGGGCACTGCGGGCCCTGGTGCAAAGCCCACTGCCAAGGCTGAGACATGTGTGCTCCGGTCAGGGGCTGAGGACCTTGGCTGACCTATGTGGGGGTCATACCCAACCATTCGCAACCCACGTCCGCTACGCACAGCTGGCGAGCTATGCAAAGACCCTGCCCCGCGCAGGAGCCCTCACTAGGGGACTCTCCACTTTCGAGCAACTATGTGCAGACCCTGACCCACTGCCACATGGCATCTCGCACCTCTACGCCCTCCTACAAACGCTCACACCCATGGCCGCGCCACGTTTTATGGGGAAATGGGAGGAGGCCCTTAATCACACATTTAGTATGGCTGAATGGGAAAAGATTTGTGAGGTCACCCATCACTGCTCCATTTTCAGCAAGAGTCAGGAGACAGCATATAAGATACTTACGCAATGGTATTGTACCCCAGGCACGACTCAATACACGCATGCTCATGGGTAAAGCCTATGCTGGCGGTGCGCCAGTGCAACGGGCATGCCCCTACACATTTGGTGGGTATGCGAACTCGTACAACCATTCTGGAGGAAGATCCATAAAATAGCCTCCCGCTTCTCTGACAACCCACCACCACTAGATCCGGCAGCAATGCTGCTCCACCACACGACCACACAGACTTCTAAATACAAAAAGTCCCTTACAATTCGAATTCTAAACATGGCTAAGCAAACTATACCACAATACTGGAAGAAAAAAGAGACCCCCTCCATACTCAAATGGTTCACCCACATGGAAGAACTATGAGCGGTAGAAGAGCTCGCCATGTTAGCAACTGAAAAACAACATCAGACATACTTAGACATCTGGACCCACTGGATATTGACCACGATGAAACAAGACTTCCTGACGTTGCTACATACCTAATGACAGGGAGCTACACAATCTGGATAGTCAAAAGGACGACGGACAGACCCTCTCCCTCCTTCCTTACATACACATTACCCCCCCCTCCCCTCTCACATATTAAAACAAGTGACACCACCTAACTGTCGCACAGGTTAAACAGGCATTGGGAACACACTCCCCAGTACTCATATCCCCCTCCAAAACAGGACTCCTGCCCACTCTATCACTGCAGTCCGTCGATAACTGAGGTCCTCAACAGACATGACCCTACAAGAACACGTAACGACTGAACCGTGCTCATCCCTCCCGCACGCACAGATAATACAACCACGCAAATTTGAACACTAGCTGGGCAATAGCAGGGAGAGCATCAGACAGTATAGAGGTAGACAATTGGAGGGATCATGCCCTGCCTGAAGGGCCAGCAGACTAGTTGAGGGTGGATACTCAACTTCAAACAGCACGGGAACACGTGATCACAGAGAACAACCTGGGAGGGGGGGGTCGGGGGGTTCACCCACATAAGATTTAATGTTGATACACGGGACCTGCGAGTACGACTTTGTTGTTGGGCCTGCGCGCCCGCCTTTTGATTGATTTCTATACGTTGACTACAAAACACAGACCTGCGAGTCTGCATGATACTCACCTTTCTTTCCCAAATACAGGAAATAAAAATCATATTTACAAAAAAAAAAAAAGGACTAAAGTCCATCAAGCTCAACCTTAAAACCCATTATTTTGTGCCATTGATCCAAAAGAAGGCAAAACCCCAATTGTAGGCATTTCCAATTATACCAGAAACAGGGGGGGAATATAATTGACTCCACAATGGCAACCATATTTCTCTTTGGATCAACAACCTGTTCACATACAGTTGTAATTATAACTATTTCAACACCCATTGATAACCAGGTTTATTGTCAAAATGTACAGACTTTCAGCTGTTTTCAATTAACATATCAAACAAACGCAATTGAAATAGCTCAATGCTTTAAGTGGTTTCCCCAAATTCAACTAAAAATGCAACCTATAATGACTTCTCCAGTTCCAAAATGATTCAACCCTTTCATGACAAGCATATTTAGAACTTAGTTGAGCACCCTTTTGCTGTTATGACCTGTTCCAAACGAGATGCCTAGCCAAACACCAGCTGTGGCAGAGTTTCTGAGGAATTTTAGACCATTGCTCATGAACAACGGCCTCCAGTTCCGTAATATTCTTTGGTGTGCATGCTGCAACCACCTTCTTCACCTCCCAACAGAGATTTTTTTTATGGGGTTCAAGCTAGGTGACTGTGATGGCCACTATAGAGTTTTCTAGGACTTGTTCTGCAACCAAGCCTTGGTGGAATTTGATGAATGCTTGGAATCATTGTCTTGTTGGAAGGTCCAGTGATGCCCAAGCTTTATCTTCCTCACAGACAGCATGACGTTTTCTTATAAGATTCTTGATGAGTGCCGAACTGTGAGGGAGCAATTACTAAGGACTGCATCCGCCAGTGGTGCAATCCTCATGCTTCCACGCTGAACCATCAGGGACTCAGGGCCCTCGATAGGCCAACAGCAGAGTTAACCCCTGCTGGACCACCAGGGAGTATGACCGTCCATTTGGACCACCAGGGGTCATAGCCCCCCTTCCTCAAAGAAAGCCTTGCAGGAGGCTACACAGAGCAAGACATCACATACAGCCAGCACACACACACACATTACATACAGCCAACTAACCCCACACACATTACATGCAGCCAGCACAAACACATTACATACAGCCAGCTCACCCCACACACATCATAATCACACAGCCAGCACGCACACACACACACACATTACATACAGATTGAATATTTGAGCAGATCTTATGGTAAAGTTATCTAAAAGATGGGTGCCAGATGTTTAGACAGGGGCTGTGGAGGGCACAATTTCAGTGCTTGCCATAAGTGCTATCTTCAGTAGATATACCTCTGGTTCCAGCACAGAGGCTTCTCAATGAGAAGCCCCTGATTGGAGTATTCCCCAGCACAGACTGAAAGGAAGGAGGGGAGGGCTTACAAAGGTTGCAGGCAGGAGGACTGCAGCTTCTGCAAGCTGTGTCTTTCATATACCCCAAAACATACTGTAAAAAACATGCATGTTTTCTTTGGGGGTATAATTACTAAATTGGTCAAAATAAATCTGTGTGAACAGAGCTGCTGCTTATGCTGATAGCCGATGTTCCCTTAAGATACATGTAATGTGGTTTTTGGCTATTTTAGGACCAAGCTTCTTAAACGTTTTGATTTTTGGAAAGGATATTTTTTCTATGATTGGTTGAGAGGTCCAGTGCAGCTAAAATCACATTGATATCGACTAATGCGGCGTCTTTCAACCAGTGAGACACAGCTATTCTAGTCTAGTCGAGTCCAATCTAGAACAAGGGTAGGCAACCTATGGAACTCCAGATGGTGTAGACTACATCTCCCTTGATGCTTTGCCAGCATTATGACTCCAAGCATTATGGGAGATGTAGTCCACAACATTTAGAGAGCTGAATGTGGCCTACCCCAGGTCTAGAGTTTTAGCGTTTGTTTCATTGTCCAGGGCTATTTTGCTGGTTGACTGCTCTGAAGGGCTACCATATGGTCCACGCTGGTCCTAATCCCAGACCCACGACTATCCCAGACTATCTTTTCCTGTCCCTCTCTGGTTTTCACACGTGCTAGTTTTGGCAAGTTTATGTATATGATTTCAGAACACCTTATTACACTTTTTATTCACAAAGTAAAAACAAACTATGCAGAACTATTAGTATTCTGAGCAAAACTACAAACTTGTTCAAACTGGATTATAACATTAGTCACGTCTTTCCAAATTCTAACATGAGCATATGGAAATATTCAAGAATTTATTACAGCACTAAGAAGCGAGTCCTTCCTATTATTCCCTTCAAAAAAAATGGCAAAATTGCCAATAAAAAAAGTGTTTTGGAAAACATTAGCACAAAACTAATGACATGGTAAAATCACCTTTCCCTCACCTTGTTTTTTTTTTTATCTTGTCATCGCCACAGGCATAACCCCACCTAAATTTAATAAAGCTTGTTTAATGCTATTATACATGTGCAGAAAGTATCATAATGTGTTAACTTAAACCCATTAGATTGTTAAATCAAAATGACAATTTCTTTGTCATAGCTTACTGAAATATTCACTAATCTCCACATATTAGCGAACGAAAATCCTAATAGCACAATCTAGGCACACATAGCGGATTTCGAGAAAATTTGCAACTCAGATATAGTCAAAGCTAGCCTGTTTTAGCCTAAGTTTTACTATTTGGATTTCAGTTTTTCAAAGTTTGGAGATTAGTAAAATAATATATAAACCCTTTGTCACGATTCGGGAACCTAACACGCTAACAGGTCACAGAGAGGAAGGGTGCTATACTGGTCCTTAGAGTGGCCGGGTTAAAGCACACTAAGAATAGTCAGGAGACAAGCCAAGTAAAAGGAGCCAGAAAACAGGAGAACGAGAAACAAGCCGAGGTCAAAGGAATGGAGAATACAGGAGAATCGGAATAACAAGCCAAATAATCGGTAACCAGAGAGAGAAACACGAGCAAACTGCACTACAGGTATCACAAGACCACAACAGGGCACTGAGAGACAGGAAAGGTAAGTATATAAATCCTTTGCTTAATTCTGATTGGATAACTTCCAATCAGAATTAACAATCACACGTGGGAGATATCTACACCTCCCACTTTGATTATGGTACTGTGGTTTTAACGCCGGGTCACGTGACTGACCCCGGCGTTCGCATAAATGTGCGGGCTCCCAGCGTGCAGCGTTATACATGCTGCCGCTGGGAGGCGAGGAGGAGGACGCGAGCGGCGCATATAGCAGTGAGGACGCCGCTCGCCAACAGGTAGTGGAAGGGGAGCCTTGACACCCTTTAATTTGAAAAAACTTTGGTTACAAAATCCCAAACTTTTTTGCGGAAAATGTATGATTTTTTCATTCAGTCAGGCAAGCTTTGAAAACACTGTCCAGTAGTTTGTCGAATTCACACATTCTCATTTGACTAATCATTTTAAGAAATCAATTCCACAAAATGGTGGGAAGCATTGTTAAACCCTATCAAATAGAATTCAGAATTCACAAGTGGTCTGGAAAAAAAACAGGTGATCTGGCAGTCCTAGACAAAACAACACATTTTCCATTAAATCATACAAGTAACAGTAGGGGGGTGCCCAGGTCTGCCATATTTATCTGGACAACTAACACTTAAATATATTGAGTGGCAACATGAAGTATTCAAATACTGCAGGAGAGAGTAATTAAGTAATTACAGTCATGGGAAAAAGAAAGTGAACACTTTAAATTCTATGATTTTACATATCAGGCCATAATAACAATCATCTGCTTCTTGGCACGTCTTAAGATTAGGTAAATACAACCTCAGATGACCAACAACCAGCGCCTTGGGCGGCACTTTCAAGGGTGTGGCAAATAAAGTTGCCCCCAAATGCCCAGGCAAATGCCTTGTAAGCCTCTCCTGTCACATTCCGGCTCCCGGCATCACTCTGCGGTGCAAGGTGGAGCTGAGCAGGGAGAGCTCACAAATCAGCACTCCCTCTGCGCCAGCCTGGAACTCAGCTAGCCACCTGCCTGCACACCTGCCTCCCGCCCTGCCCAAGCAGCAGCCCCACTGGTAAAAAAGGTACCCAGCTCTCCCAAAGCAGGGAGGCTGGGCACATTTAAATTAAAATAAAAAAATAAATCTGTGAGTGTTGGGGGGAAATGTGTTTGTGTGTGTGTGGCTGTCTGTCAGTGAGTCTGTGTGTGTATATCTGTCAGTGTGTGTCTGTGAGTGTGTGTGTCTGTCAGTGCGTGTCTGTGAGTGTGTATGTGTGTATCTGAATGAGTGTGTGTCTGTATGTGAGTCTCTGTGTGTAAATCTATGAATGTGTGTATGTCTGTCAGTGTGTCTGTGTGTGAGTGTATGTCAGAGTGTGCCTGTGAAGGAGCCTGTGTGTCTGTGAGTGAGTATGTATGTCAGTGTGTGTCTGTGAGGGAGCCTGTGTGTCTGAGTGAGTGTGTGTGTGTGTCTGTGAGTGTGTGTGTCAGTGAGTATGTGTATAAATGATTGTGTGTCTGTCAGTGGGTGTGTGTGTGTGTCTGTGTCATTGTGTGTGTATGTCAGTGAGTGTGTCATGTTCCTGAGCAGGTCAGGGAGGAGACGATTGCCAGGGTTATTGGTTGAAACTTTATTTGTATTTTTATACATAACAATTTACTTGAAATAAAGAATTAAGGCAATATGCCACAAACAGGATATCTTGAAAGTAAATGACTAAAGTCTTTTTTATACAAGTAGGTTTGACGTTATTCCAAAGTAGTGGAGTAGTTTGTGGAAAGTCACACTGCAGCTAGGTTCAGGATGATACAGTGTTGAAATGGTTAAAGCTGGTAAGTACTTTCAGTATAATATAGTACAGGTTGCTTAAAGGATTATGCAGAGTTGCAGCAGTTGAGACAGTTAAATAGATTCCAGTATAATGAAATACAGGTTGCTTACAGGATCATGCAGTGTTGCAGCAGTTGAAACAGGTAAGTAGAGTCCAGTATAATGTAATACAGGTTGCCCACAGGATTTTGCAATGTTGCAATAGTTGAAGATAGGAGTTTCAGGAGGATTCCGGCGATGGGACACACAGAGTCTCAATAGAGGATCAGGAGGTTTTCAGGAGTCAGGATCAGAAGTTCCATATCAGAACACTGACTTCAATGTCAGAACACTGACTTCAATGTAAAGGCCATGAGAAGAGTTGGGTGTGGCCTTTTATAGCAGACTTAGAAGATCATATGAGGCAGGTGAGAGAAACTGAGGATTGACTAGTGGTTAGGGAGGCTACTAGAGGCGAGAAACAGGTATTGCAGCAGTAAAATAAAAAAATACCTTACAGTTGGATCCTGACAGAGTGTGTGCGTGTCTGTCAGTGATTGTGTGTCAGTGATTGTGTGTGTCTGTCAGATCGTGTCAAATTAGTGAGTGTGTGTGTGTATGCCAGTCAAAGTGTGTGTTAGTCTTTAATAGGAAGAGGTGTGGCCTTAACAGGAAGGGGTGGGGCAAATTTTTAATTAGGGGGTGCCCAAGTTCCGTCATTCCTAGGGCAGCAGAGATCCAAAATACACCACTGCCAACACCACATGACATATTACACCGTATCATGATTTAACAAAAATAAAACCAAAATAGAGAAGCCATGTGTGGAAAACTAAAGTACACCCTTACTCCTTCCATAGGAATTAAGAGGCTAGGTAGGAGACAGTTGCTGCTAATCAAATGTCCTTGATTAACTGATCATCAGCAATTGTGACTGTAACAGAGTTCCCTGTACCCCGGCTGGGTACCTCTGCCAAGGATCGCTTCCTAGCTGGAACAGGGGACAAACCTCAGCACACTTGCCCTCAGTCGCCATGACTTGACCGGGGCCCTGGTACCACTCCCTCCTGGAACCGAATGGGGAACTCGCTTTAGCAACCCCCAGGCACTGGACTTTCCCTGCTGAATCCTCCATGTTGGAACAAGCTGGAACAGTAATTAACCCTTCCCCTCCCAGTAACCAGACAACACATAGCTCTGGGAGTACAAGCTTGAATGCTTTAATGGCAGCCACAATTGGCCTTATATGCATGTCCCCATGCAAGGGGCACTCCCCCTAGACCTGAGAGTAAACCACAGTAAAAAAAGAAATACACAATTACATTGGCTCTCAGGTCCAGGACACTCCCATACAAAATCTGATAATCCCTCCTCTGTGCTTGGAAGATAATTGGATCAGGAACTGTACTAATCTAATCCAATTATCTCCAAGCACAGAAAAAAAAACACTTTTCCCCAAACACCCCAAAGTACCCTAAAAATACATAAAACCCCACAAACATTACATCCCCTGATAGCCCTGATCTGAGTGACCAATATATCCAATATATTTCCTGGAAGTCATAATTTGACAAACCGTGCACATGGTCCTATGCCCAAAACAGTTTCATGAAATCAGTGCTAACGGTGGGTCACGTTCGGTAGTCTTTTACAGGTGTACCTGCAGGGCCCATAGTCTGTGGGCAGGAGGCTGGCAAGCAAGCTCCTCTAGGAGTTCGTGGCAAACTGACGTGGGAAGGAGAATTTTCACAGTGACCACCTTTACAAAAGTCAACGTTCTAGCAGTTTACTGGTCTGGAGTATTCAGGTGTGTGTTAACACAATAACAAAGAGGAAATACATCAGCAATGATCTTAGAGAAGCAATCGTTGCTGGCCATCAAACTGGGAAGGGTTATAAGGCCATTTCCAAATAATTTAAAGTCCATCTTTCTACAGTGAGGAAGTTTATACGAAAGTGAACAACATTCAAGACAGTTGCCAATCTTCCCAGGAGTGGATGTCCCAGCAAATTCACCCCAAGTTCAGACAGTGCAACGTTCAGAGAAATTGCAAAAAAAACAAGAGCTACATCTCAGATTCAACAGGCCTCAGTTAGCATGTTGCATGTTAAAGTCCATCAACGTTCAATTGGAAAAAGACCAAACAGGTATTGTTTGTTTGGAAGGGTTGCTAGGAGAAGGCATATTCTTTCTAAAAAGTACATGGCACAACAACCTAGGTTTGCAAAGTTGCATCTGAACAAACCACAAGACTTCTGAAACAATGTCCTTTGGACCTATGAGACCAAAGCAGAGAAGTTTGGCTATAATGCACAGTGCCATATTTGGCAAAAACCAAACACAGCACATCAGCACAAACACCTCATACCAATTGTCAAGCATGGTGGTGGTGGGTTGATAATTTGGGCTTATTTTGCAACCACAGGACATGGGAACCTTGTAGTCATTAAGTCGACTATGAACTCCTTTGTGTGCCAAAGTATTCCAGAGTCAAATGTGGGGCCATCTGACAGACAACTAAAACTTGATCGAAATTGGGTCATGCAACAGGACACTGTTTGCAAGCACACCAGCCAATCTACGACAGAATAATACAAAATATATGTACAGGTTGCACCAAAATAAAAAGTCCAATAAAATATCAGATGCTTGGAGTATTCTTTACTAGTAAATCAACCAGGCTTGTGATGGTGGCAGGTATATTTAATAAAACAGAAAGATAACCCATAGTGGTGCAGAGTATCTAGTACCAAGTGCAGAACAAACAACAAAGATGTCTATGATGTAGCACTCACATTTAGTAGAGCTGTAAAACCAGCTCTGAATACAACAGCGTGCAGCAATACAATCCCCACTGATGGGTATGCTGTTCTAGGAGTAAGTCACTTGGGATGTAGTTGAATATATACAAAGATATAAACAGAAATAAAAAGCTCTTTGTAAAACTGTACACTAATAATTTTAAAGGTAAACGTAATCTCCTCACATTTGATAGAGCAATATACATTTGCTCAGGTATTAACGCTTGGGTGGTACCCACCAGGGATATAATGTAGAGTAGCTCCTCCAAAGGATAGTTCTTCCCAGGATACAGGTAGCAGGTAGGTATAATAGTGGTATAGATGAGCCAGGAACAGCTTGTTTGATCTGCTCTTGGTACTAGATACTCTGCACCATTACTGGTTATCTTTCTGCTTTATTACATCTACCTGCCACCATCAGAAGCCTGGACTATTTACAAGTAAAGAATACGCCAAGCATCTGATATTCTACTGGACTTTTTATTTTGGTGCAACCTGTACATATATTTTGCATAATCTTGCTCTATATTATTCAGTAAGGGACTGAGGATATCCATTAACACCAGTGTTTGCTGCCTGCTTACAATTCTACATAGTGCTTATCCTACGTTCTATTATTTGTGCTTAATCTACAACAGAATGGCTGAAAAAGAGAAGAATCAAGGTGTTGCAATAGCGCAGTTAAAGTCCAGACCTCTACCCAATTGAAATGCTGTGACGGGACCTTAAGAGAGCAATGCTGCACAAACAAACGCCAGCAAACCTCAAAGAACTGAAGCAAAGTTGTAGAGAAGAGTGGGACAAAAATCCTTCACAATGTAAAAGACTGATAGAGTCATGTAAAAGATTATCACTTGAAGTTATTTCTGCTAAAGGTGGTTCTACAAGCTGTTGAATCAAAAGTTGTAATCGGTTTTTCCCACATGGCTTCTCCACTTTGTCTTTTTTTTTGTTAAATCATGACGTGATGTAATATGTCATGTGTTGTTGTTCATCTGAGGCTGTATTTACCTAATTTTAAGACCTGCTAAGGAACAGATCGTTGTTATTATTTCCTGATGTGTAAAACCAGAGAATTTAAAGAGGGTGTACTTTCTCTTTCCAATGACTGTAAAATCACGTAGGAATCCTGCAGTGCAGGAATTCTAAATCTTGCAGGACCGCACTTTTCATGATAGAACACTATCAGGGTCATTCCTTAAAATGAAATTTGTTAAGAATTCAAAGTGAATTTCAAATTTAAGGCCAAAATACCCAAACTGGAAGCATAGCTGACATGGAGAATTGTTCCATTTTGGCTATTGTAAAATTCACTTAGAATTCTCAACAATTCACACGTTATTGAAAATACACACCATTATTTTGGGAGTTATCCACAAACCTCTAAATTGTAGAGAATTGAAATCCAAATGACAAATTTAAGGCTAAAGTTTGCATATGTTTCTAAATCAGCTATTTTCACACAAATGGTGCCATTTAAAATTCAATTTCATTACCGTTTGGACCTTAGTGAACAATTATATCAATGTTATTCACTATGATATTTTTTTTCAATAAAGGTGAAGAGCCTTTGAATTATCAAAAATAATCCAGATCCAAAAGGGAGCATTCGGATTGCAAAAATCTGTACATAATTCACAAATTTGCCATTGTATGGATTTTGAAAAACAGCCTCCAAAATACCTTGTATGTAGATTTTAAAATATGCAACAGAATGGTCAGATTCTAAAGGATTGGCCCTTTTCTGTCTGCAAATTCTGTTCAACCAAATCTACATTATTAAGTTACACTGAATCTGCATGCAGATTGGGGCCAATTAGTATACAAGTTTATTGTTACACAAATCTGTCAGTAACACCAGTTTGACCGGTAAGAATTTGTTAACTGCATAAGAAGGTTTAATATACCCCAATTAGTAAATCATATTAAAGAATATTAAGTTGATACATTTATATTATTATAGAAATATATTCAATTAATAATCATATGCATGATTAGCATATTTAATTAGTGTGTAAATCTGGAAGTTGTTTTCTCTTCTTAAATTTATATAAGGTAACTAGTTATTAAAAGGGACACCAGAAGTCACCAGAACGACTACAGCTCTCTGCAGGATTTTATATTAATTTGTTTTTCTTTAATTTTACACATTAAAATAATTGTAGATATCGATAGTAACAAGTAGTACAAAAAGGGTAGAATGTAACAATTACAATATTAATAATACAATAAAAATAAAAAACCAAAACTAACTAAGAAAGAAAACAAAAAACAGGAGTATAATAATAGTTTACATCCATGTAGTTACTAATATATATATTTAAAAAAAAAAGGGAGAAAGTACAAGTTTGTTATATATGTTTTGTATAATTATATTTTTAAATTATATTATACAAATATTTTGTTTTGTCAGGTGGGAAACATGGTCACGGTTTGTACTGAAGCCTAATTTTGTCTTCCCAAGCTATCCATTCTTGTTTTAGAGTAGATGTTTTTTCAGACGGAATGCGAAGCGCTAGTTCATAACGTCTGTTATCAAAAGTCGTTAAGAGAACTTAATTTACCGATGGTGTAACAGGTGATTTCCAATACTTTGGAATTGTTGATGTAGCTGACACCAGAAGGTGACCCGGCATAATTCTTTTAAAATGCGGTACATTAACAGGGAGGTTTTTTTTTAAATAGACAGAGACTTCTGTAATACTATTGCATATCACTGCAGAATTTTCAACATAAATGGTGTATTTTCAGAGAAAAAGTAACACCTCTAGTGGCCACTCCTTTGCGATAGTGCTGTCTTCAGGTTCAGTATCCTAATTTAGGTTGTCACTCAGACAGGGAGGTTTGCATCCCCATTCCATTAGCTCCACTGAGCCAACAGAAGCTGTCAGGAGCACTCTGTTAGAGTGCCCATTAACAGGGCTTTGAAATCTTACCTGTCGTCCTTCTTCCTTCTCCTCAGTCACAGCTACCTCCCTAGCTCCCCCTCTCCACCAAGAGCACTCACACACTTGTGGCGTCGAATTAGAGACTTCTCAATTAGAAGCATGTGATTGGTAATTTCCCTGGTACAAAGTGAAAATATGTGCTAGGGATAACGAGAAGGATTGCAAAGGCCGTAGCCATAAGAACCACAGCTGTGGCAAACTGTTTTTCGGTATACCCCCAAAAGCCAACATGCATAAATAAACACGTGCATGTTTTCATTGGGTGTATAGGTGTTAAATAGTGATTTTAAAAAAAATGTATTTATTTGTTTACAGTTTTTGAGTGGAGTGTTCCTTAAAAAAATCACAAACAGTTCACACTTTCAAAAATTAACAGGGAATAAAAACTATTTATTTATAAAATATTTTACCAGGAAAGATACATTGAAATTTCTCGCTTTCAACTATATCTGCTTAAAGCGGCTCTGCCCCTTTCAGGCGCGAGTGCATATTTTGTAGCATCGCCATTCGGAATGCAGTTCCCCTGGATGACCAGTAGAGAAACGTTGTACTTACCTGAAGCGGTTCGCTGTCGGTGTTTCTACCTTGGTTCTCCGGCTCTTAGTGCTTTCTCCACCAGGATCCTGTGTCAGTGCTGTACTTTTGCGCATGCAGAGATGTTTATAGAGGATCTTGTGAGAATGCAGGGGCCTCCATTGAGCAAGTCTCTAGATCAGGGGTCCTCAAACTCTGGCCCCCCAGATGTTGCTGAACTACAACTCCCATGATTCTTTGAATTACATAGATAGCCAGAGAATCATGGGAGTTGTAGTTCAGCAACATCTGGGGGGCTGGAGTTTGAGGACCCATGCTCTAGATGGACAAGACAATGCCTGATCCCACAGCCATCCTGACAGCTGTGGGTACTGAATAAAAATTTATAGTAGATGATTTATTTTTTTTCAGTCTTTACAAAAAAGACAAATATTTTCACTGCAATTAAAATGAGCATTCCATAAAGATTTTATTTAAAAAAACAAAAACAAAACAACATTATTTTGGTGACAGAGCTGCTTTACAAACATGTATTACTATCACCGAATGTCTCCACCCCAATGCAAGTCTGAGCTACTGCTGACTGCTGACTGCATAATAAAATACACTGAATTGCATTGGGCTTTCCATCACTATACAGAAACAGGTCTACCTTGACACTGTGGTTTAGAACTACATTTCCCGGCACGCTCTGCGCTACCGTAGGCTTCCTGTTGTACGTTCTGAATATGTCTATGTGTCTGGACCTGACTTTTCCCAACAGGCTTTGCGTCCCTGGAAAAAAATGGCGGCCACCGGTTCATCCCAGGCTCCTATTTCTTTTGGCTTCAGTCGCAGCGTTAAGAAGAAACTACAGACGGTGTCAGACCCAGATACCCGGGACCAGGAGGAGGAGAAAGAGTACCTGGTTGGGGCTGAGGGAAAGGAGTTACTCGGGTGAGATATGGACTATAAACTCTCCTAATGTTGTGTATTGAATAGAGTAAGGTGGGCAAAATTAGGACACCCCCCACCCCCCAGTTATTGTAGAACTACAACACCCCTGATGCTGTGCCTGCCTGGAAAACTATAGTGGACTTTCTAGTTCTGCAATAGCTGGGGGTGATCTACCTTATGCCCCCCCCACTTTGGTATGGTGAAAATAATTTTTATTTATTTTTTATTTTCTAATTTTGCAACATGCCCAGGCTGAATCTGGTGGTAGTGCATTATGCAGGATGGTCCCATCTGGCTGGCTTAGCCTGATTGATATAATATAACCTTTTTGTCCACAGCAAAGTAGTAGCCTAGAATAAGCATGGCTATTTCTGATCATTTAAAGGACCACTATAGTGCCAGGAAAACATACTCGTTTTCCGGGCACTATAGTGCCCTGAGGGTGCCCCCACTCTCAGCGTCCCCCTCCCGTGAGCTCTCTTCCGCCTCTCCGCCTCCGATCCTCCTCTTCGGCTGTGCATGCGCGGCAGGAGCTGCGCACGCATTCAGCCAGTCTCATAGGAAAGCATTCATAATGCTTTCCTATGGACGCTGGCGTCTTCTCACTGTGATTTTCACAGTGAGAAGCACGCAAACGGCTCTAGCGGCTGTCATTGAGACAGCCACTAGAGGCTTTAGAGGCTGGATTAACCCATTTATAAACATAGCAGTTTCTCTGAAAGTGCTATGTTTATAAAAAAAAAAAAGGGTTAATCCTAGAGGGACCTGGCACCCAGATCACTTCATTAAGCTGAAGTGGTCTGGGTGCCTAGAGTGGTCCTTTAACCTGAATTAAGTGGTGATTCTTGCCATGGTTTATCCTAAATAAGGGTTGGCCAATATGTAGGTAGTAAGCTGAACAAAAAAAATAATAATCATATGATGCTTTATCGCCCTTAAAGGAGTGATGCGGGGGACACTTTATCAAAGTGCGCTGAAAAATTTAATTTTTCACATGCGATTCAAATATCCGTTTATTCGAGTGTGTTAACAGAAGTCTAAAAAGTATCTTTTTTTCCTTTTTCTATATAGCGACAGTTTGTGCCTCCATAAGTATGCAAAGACAGGAAAGTGATAAATAGTGAATGATGCCGCCATTCTTCTAAATCATACGAGAAAAACTTCACATAGAGGTTATTCTGCAGCTCTTTGATTAAAAAAAATATATATATATATAATGAAGCTTGACATTTGTACTGGTGTCAACACACACTTTTATATAATGCATTAAAATGCAAATGAAATTAACAGATACCTTTAAAATGTCATGCTGTTTCTGCTATACATGCAGAAATATGCATATATTCTGTTTATAGAGGATCTTGTGAGAATTCAGGGGCCTCCATTGAGCAAGTCTCTAGATCAGGGGTCCTCAAACTCTGGCCCCCCAGATGTTGCTGAACTACAACGCAGAAGGCTGACCCGTCATCTTTTGGTAAAATGCTCCAACAATCAGGAGTCTCACATTCTGGTCTGTTTTTAATTTTCTTTTCCTATACCATAAACCTTTGTCTAGCAGAGGTTAATGGAATATGCAGTTGCACTCATCATACCATTTGCATATACACTGTTTTGTGAAAAAGTCTTGGCGTGGCAATCTCCAGGTCCTTTATCCACATCTTTGTGTCAGGGGCAGACAAAGGGAGCGGAGAGATGTTTGGCTAATTGTCTCTTTTGCATGCACAAGTTTGGTAATGGGTAACCCCGTTCATGTCCCTGCTCTGTGAGGCAGAGGTATAGCTCCACTGATGGTTGCCTATTGCATCATGGAAAGGCACTCTGTGAAGGAACACTGTGATCAGTGTAATCTAAGTATTATTAAACGTAAACACAAAATTGTAAAACTGGTTTGCTAGGCACACAGTATAATACAATATGAATATTGAAATATGATCACATCTTGTTTTAGAGTTTATTTCTTATCTAGAATACAGTTCATTGTTTAAGAGTACTGTAGGTGTGTATAACTGTACAAGATTTTGTACTTGAATCATTGACCACAAATGTGTGCCAAAAACTAAAACTGTTGCATTAGCATGAATCCAGGAAGGTACAAGATGATGTATAATTTAAAGCGGCTTGGTCACTTAGAGTATTTCAAAGAGATCTAATCTTTATGAAATACTCATGGTGCCTGCGTTGTAATTTAATTGAAATACCATAAGACAAAGTAAGGGACTACTTGGTCTTCTAGAAAAGTGTGAGGTTGACAAAATGTAGAGCTTTGCTGACAAGATTTTTGTCCAGATTCTGTCGCTGGGAGTTAGGCATTGTGTCGTTTAGTGTGATATGTGACCTTTGAAGGCTAAAAAGGTCTTGCAGGGTCCACCATAGACATCTATTTTTTTTTTTTCTCTTGGCACCGATCACTGGAGCTAAGGAAAATGCAAAAGACTTCCCCAGGGTCTTTTCACACCCTCATAATAGGGGGAACAGTGCCAGCTTGGGTTTGGACACACTTTTCTTTCTTTCTTTGAGCTGTGGTCTTTAAATCCATTTAACCTCCCTGCGGTCTGAATTTGTCAGTATTTTTTTATGGTAAAGCGGTACATTGTTTTGTATGTAAATTTGTTGTTTCATATTGTAGGCTTGTAATTCTTGGGAATAAATTACTTAAATTTGTCCAAACAAGAGTCTAGTAGACATCCCGGGTATGATAGAGTTTGAAACACGAAATCACAAATTCTAATATAATAAATCGTGATGTCCCTGTACCTCACAGTCAGCAGACACATTCCAGCCAATCAGCAGCAGACCCTCCCTCCCAGACCCTCCCACCTCCTGGACAGCTCACTAAGAATGCAGCTTCAAAATGGATGCTGTCCAGGAGGTGGGAGGGTCTGGGAGGGTCTGCTGCTGATTGGCTGGAATGTGTCTGCTGACTGTGAGGTACAGGGTCAAGGTTTACTCAATGATGAGTCCGTGGCGAACCGTTCGGGACATCACTAATAATAAATAATTATATTGTATTGTGTGCATGTGTACTTTTTAAAAAAATAAAAAAATATTTTCCGCAAGGCAGCGCTCGAAGGAAAAGGGAACCCGGAAGACTGCTGGCATCGGGCGGAGGACACTGGCATGGCTTGGGGTTACCGCTTTTGGTACTGAAAATTACCCCAAGCCACGCTCGGGATTACTGCCATGGAGGTTAAAGAGCTATGTGCCGTGCTCACTAATTGTTGCCCCTACTGACAAGATAAGAAGGGGTCCCTAATTTATTAATGTAGCAGTCTGGAGGTAGCGATTGAAATACTGCGGCTTAACAAGATCGCTCAGTCACGGTATTTAAAAGGCTATGTGCAGTGCTCACTTTGAGCCCTGCACGCAGTTTACCGGTTAGTCTTGGGCCTCTAATTGTGGCCCCAGTTGACAGAGTAAACCCTCAGGTATCTGTGGTTCCTTGGTACCAGCTGTGATTTAGCCCCTGCTGGTACCTTTACTGCATGATAGTCTGATAGCAGATTTCATTCCCTTGTGCTTGGTTGCCCGAATGACTGATGTGTGGTCCCCTTATAATGCCTTAGCGAACACCTACCTCCCCTTGCTGTTAACCACTAACAAAGATGGTACTGCTGCCTGTCCACTAACTAGACAAACGACGTTCGGGAGATATGACCTACCGAACAGAGGGAGCATTCGCTCCATAGCAATCAGCCGGTCGTTCAAAACATTTTTTCGAACAGAACTTTCGTTCTACTGAACCGAATTGAGTGCTTTTTTGGATATGCTGTGCGCTCAGATTAGGGCTATTCGGGAATATGATTTGTAAGGGGTTCCTGTTTTCTTTCCATACCATTTTTGGGGTATGTTAAAAATGTATAAGTTTCTGTATTTGAGAGATCATTATGTCTCAAACACAAAGGCTTGGGGGGGGGGGGACCCTGTTTTCTTGATGTGGAAACCCCATGCTAGGGCAATGCAAAAAAAAAAAAAAGGAAGTGTGTGGCAGAATAATCTTCAGTTGTACTCCCAGAACTATGTATCTTCTAGTTACTGTGGAGGAGGTGGGCTATTTACTTGGCAATTTCTTGTTCCTGATTTATACTCTTGGCGATCCAGCGGAGGAAAGTCCTGAGCAGGACTAGAGCTTCACTACAGGTCTATACTGTCACTGGGCATTAAAGCCCTGCACTGCATGACCACATAGGTCATCATGTTGTTCTTAAATGGAGGGGCATAATTTGAATCTACCTAGGAAAACTATAATATTAAAAATAAACATTTTTAGTTTTCATTTTAGAATATTTCTTTAATCCATTCCTAGCTGTAGCAGACTGCTTTGGAAGTAAAAATTTTATAAAAATATGTTGAGGCATCTCAAAAAGAAAGAAAATTGCACTTTACAGTAATACCACACTAGTACAGCATAACAATTTGAAGCCAGAAATGTAGCTTTATTAGGCAAATGACCTAGACTTTCTATTATATTTTAACTGCATATTACTCAAATAGATTTTTGGGCAGGTAGAATCCTCGGTACATCTGCCTGATATCAATTTTGTTCAAGTGGTGCATCAGTGTTGAACCACAGATTGTGGCTCTGTGACGCAGCTGTCAAAAACTTCATAATATTTGCAGACTTTACAACTATGCCACAAAGGTTAAGGAAATAAATAAAATGGAAGTGCATTTTAGCTATACTTGTTTCGTTTTTTTTTTCCAATTTAAATTTTTGTTGTGCAATGCCAGTTTCACAAACCGGTATAAACATGCCATCATAAAAGACAATAATATATAAGGTGTATCCAGGAAAATTTGAGAAATGTGTCAAGATTTCTGCAGTAGTTTTAAGTTATCTAATAGAAAATAATACATAACTATAATTCAGTGCTTATGTAAGTCGATTACAGTCGAATGGCAGCCCAAAAAGTGCAGCGTGTCTCATTTCCTGTTAAAAGTTGGGTAAAACATGAGATAGATGCAGCGTCTAAATCATGGGTCGTCATCCTGGTCCCTACCGCCCACTAGTGGGCGTTTCAGGATTCCAGGTGGGCGGTAAGGATTTCGGCGGCTAAATCCTCTATTTGAGAGAGTGGGCGGGCGTGAGTGCGCACATGAACGAACATGCTCGAGAATGTGTGCAAGCGAACGCGTGCATGGGCGCGCAAACTTGTAACACATGGGAAGAGGAAGGGGAGGAGTGGGAGCTGATGCATGATAGCAGGGACAGGGAGAAGTGGAGCAGAGCAGTTGTAAAATAGGAGAAAGAAAAGTTATAGGCAGGGTAAGGAGAGAATTGTTGTGGGCTAACTAGCTCAGTTTTTGAGCGTACATTGACGTAAGGAAGGTAAAAAAAAAGCATAAAAAAGGAGAATAAAAGGAAAAGATCCAAAAAAAAGGGGGGGGAAGAAAAATAGAAACGGGATAAAATAAAGGAGGAGAGTACTTGTAGAATAGAAGAAAGGAGGAGCAGCGTACTTGTAGAATGGAAGAAAGGAGGAGCAGCGTACTTGTAGAATGGAAGAAAGGAGGAGCAGCGTACTTGTAGAATGGAAGAAAGGAGGAAAATATAAAAAGGAAAAGGAGAGAATTGTTGTTGGCTAATAATAGTAAGTGTGCTACCTAGCTCAGCCTTCCTGCTGGGCATTGCTATAAGGAAGGTAAAAAAGGAGGAAAAAAAGGTGGTGGGAGTGGGGGGGTCGGGGAATTGAGGAGGGGAGCTGATGCACAGATGAGAAATCTTATTATGAGCAAACAGAGAAGTCTTCTGAATATCACCGAAAGAGGAGACCTTCGTTTGTTCCGTACGAAAATTTAACCAGATATCAAATATTTAGTCTCGGTGCATCAACCTCAAGGATCTCATTAACCCCTTCGTGACCAGTGACAGTTCAGGACAGTCATTGGTATTTTACCGTTGACGACTGCTGACGGTCCTGAACTGCCGTCACAACGGTATTGTGTACTTAACCGATCGCCGTTGTTTCCCTGGCGGCAATCGGCGGTGCTCCCGGTGTGGGGAGACTGACTGCAGCCCAGGCAGTCTCCCCGTGGCGAATTAGGACCCCGGGGGCCATGTGATCGCTCAACAGAGCGGTCATGTGGTTAAAATAGGTGTCCTAGTGTCTGCCTGCACTAATAAAAAATTAATGTTAAGAAAAAAAATAAAATAAAAATAAATGTCATACGAAGTGTATTTTTATATTAATATATCCATATATTAATATAAAAATACACTTATAATTACACACGTGTGTGTGTGTATATAAATATATTATAAAATACATATAATAAGTAAATTAAAAATGTAAAAATAATAAAAAAAATTATATCTAGAACATTTTATTCTAACTGTATTTTGATATTATAAATACACATAGAATGAAATTGTGTGTGTGTGTGTGTGTGTGTGTGTGTGTGTGTGTATATATATATTTTCTATCTATCTATATATAAATAAAATAATACGAAATATACATATGTCCATATACAAAATTACATAAATAATTATATAAATACGTAGACTTCAAATATATAAATATGCATATATATTTAAATTCTACGTGCGTATTTATGTAATATTTTTACATAATTAAGTAATTCTATTGATTGCAATTTGAGTGACCTGAATGACAACCAAGGCTGAAATTCCAGAGAATTTTTAATTTGTTAGCACTGTATTTTACCCTGTAACTTTCTATGACACCCTAAAACCTGTACATGGGTACTTTTATTTGGGAGACTTCACTGAACACAAATATTAGTGATTCAAAACAGTAAAACATATCACAGCAATGATATTGTCAGTGAAAGTTACTTTTTTTGCATTTTTTAATTGTTGTGATACCTTTTACTGTTTTGAAACACTAGTATTTGTGTTCAGCAAAGTCTCCCGAGTATAACAGTACCCCCCATTTACAGGTTTTATAGCGTTTGTTGAAAGTTACAGGGTCAAAAATAAGGGTCAAATATTTTTACATTAAAAATTGCCAGGTTGGTTACGTTGCCTTTGAGAGCGTATGGTAGCCCAGGAATGAGAATTACCCCCATGATGGCATACCATTTGCAAAAGAAGACAACCCGAGGTATTGCAAATGGGGTATGTCCAGTCTTTTTTAGTAGCCACTTAGTCACAAACACTGGCCAAAATTGGCGTTCAATTTTTAGTTTTTTACTTTTTTCACACACAAACAAATATGAACGCTAACTTTGGCCAGTGTTTGTGACTAAGTGGCTACTAATAAAGACTGGACATACCCCATATTGAATACCCTGGGTTGTCTACTTTAAAAAAAATAAAAAAATAAAAAATGTACATGTGGGGTGTGATTCAGAGATTTGACAGATAAGTGTTACAATGTCACTATTGATACATTTTTAAAAATATATGTTTTGAAACAGCAATTTCCGGTTTGTACTTATAGCCCTATAACTTGCAAAAAAGCACGTAAACACTGGGTGTTTTTAAACTCAGGACAAAATTTTGAATCTATTTAGCAGTTTGTTTCATTAGCTTTCGTAGGTAAGTAAAAGATTTTTTTTAAGCAAAAGTCAAAAAACATGTATTTTTTTTTCTTCAATTTTTCACCATATTTTATTTTTTTTAAAGTAAATTATATGACATGATACAAATAATGGTATATAAAGAAATCCCTTTTTGTACTGAAAAAAAAAACAATATATAACTTGTATGGGAACAGTAAATGAGAGAGAGGAAAATTACAGCTAAACACAAACACCACAAAAGTGTTAAAAGAGCCCTGGTCCTTAACGTACAACATCGCAAATACAGGCTGGTCTTGAAGGGGTTAATCACTAGTAAAGGTATTTTCGGTTTACTTTATTGTTTTCTCATTAAACTTTATAAAGTTAAAAACATTATAAACATGCATAAAGTAGAATTAAAAAGATAAATGTACATTTTTTTAAAATTTTTTTTTTTTAAACACCCTCCTTTCTAAAAAATATTCTGCACTTGTGCGAAAACTGGTGGGCGGTAAGAAAATTTTTCCATCAAGAAAGATGCATTAGTGGGCGGTAGGTAGAAAAAGGTTGACTAAATAGTCACTTTTATAGAGCTTCAATGCAGCTTCAACTTATGTGCCAGGGTGAATGATCCATGTCTAAGGATAAAGTACAGTACTGGTTCTTCGTATGGTTGTAGTTGTGGAGGTATCAGGTGGGCGGTGGTGGGTTCTGCAGAAAACGCCCAGTGGGCCTCTATGGCCATGGATCAAGGCTGGCAGGGGAGATCATTTCATCTCCCCTGCCAGCCCATGCAGAGCCAGGCTTGCTGTAAGTCCTTTCGGGCTGGTGACATCATCAAAGATCTCCCCCACTGGCACTTAGTTCCAACAGAGTGAGGGAAGGGCCTGGGAGACAGACTCGTCATAGCGTTACCGCACGTTACCATGGCAACGCTCCAGTACAGTGCTGTGCTCGTAGGAGGACAGGAGAGTCAGCCTGCAGCCGTAGGAGCTGCAGACTAAAGTGAACATGCCACCACTGGGCCACCAGGGCTTGCAGCATTATGTCCCCCCTTCCTGTTAAAAGGTAAGAAGGAGGCAGGGGGACTCATTAAGATATATTTACACACAGCATAGACCTTATGCACTCTTCACACACATACACACTGCCCCCTCATAAACTACACCCCTAACACACACTGCCCCTCCCTCTCACACACACAGACTGAGCCCCCCTACCCCCCACACACACACACACACACACATGGAAAAAGTGGAATTGAGAATAGAAAAAAGGAAAAAGAAAGATACATATAAGTACATATTTCATTTTTTTTTTTTAAACCTTTCTAAAAAAAAATTGCACTGGTGCGCGGTCAGGAAATTTTACCATCAACAAAGATGCAAAAGTGGGCGTTAGGTTGACTACCCCTGGTGTACATAATCTTTCTCCGTGTGTGTGTGTGTGTGTGTGTGTATGTGTATATATATATATATATATATATATCTATCTATCTCTATCTCCACAATAGTGTACACCGTACATATGAAGTGTAAAACACAAAAAAGATTTTTAAAATACCTACCCACATGCCATTACATAAAGTACGGTTTGCTCAATCCAATACGCTTAGGTGGTATTATCCCCACCAAGGATATAGCCTAAGGATCCAGCTGCAGCAGAAACGTTTCCAATAAAGTACTAGTAATAGTAAAAAAAAACAATAGCAAGGTAAAAAATAGAGAAAACAGTTTGAATAATACATCTTACGCGTTTAACCTAAACATAGGCTCTCAAAAAGTGTTTATAAAGCCTATGTCTAGGTGAAATGTGTTAAGTGTACTTTATCCTTAGGTGGGGATCATTCCGCATAAGTTGGAGCTGCATTGAAGCTTCATAAAAGTGACTATTTAGGCGCTGGACCTACGTCCTGTTTTACCCAGCAGCATATTAGAAGACATTGGCAAATTAAAGCGAAACAGAAGAGAACTAACAAGGGCAACTTATGATGTTCTCACATGTAGGGCAAAGTCACCCAATGGCTTCAGGGCAACCTCTTCTCTGCATACTCAAAGGTTCCACTCTCCACCAAAAACATGGAAATGCACTAGGCGGTGCCTGCAATCTCTCGGCCCAGGGCTAGATGTTGCATACAGAACCTCCCAAGGTAATTGCTGCTTGTGGCTAGGCCAGCTCCCAGGAAGAAAAAGGGGGATACAGCTGTAAACCACTTGAGGCCTGAGAACCCAGTGAGTGACAAGGACTAGCGGTAATCTTACGTGCCTGCTGCTAGCAGTCCTGTATGGAAGGCTAGTTGGTCTGAAGCTGTGAGGCCCTCTGGTCCAGTTTAGCACAGAATCTTGTGCAGATGTCATCATAGGCACTACAGACTGTAGACACTTGTGGGTGCGGCAGGCTCAGTGAGATAGGGCACTCGATAATAGTCACTTCGGCATATCAGATTGGGATATTGGTCACGTCTCCCCACCACGGTGCACTAGCTGCGACGTCAAAGAGCTGGATACCACATGAATAGGGAATTACTACAAGATTGGAGTCTAGTTACAAATAGCATCCGGCATGTACCTGCTAGAGTTGTTCCAGTCGCCAAAATTCTCTAGTTAAACTATTATATACCACAGCTATCCACTATGGAAGTCAGGACCCCCCTTAGCTATACTTTTGTATTCTATACTTCTATAACGTGAGTGTGTGCCTAAAATTGTAATCCAATATTTTATAAAGAATCTATAAAAACATTTCCATTTCTATGAAAAACAAATGGAAGGTCACAATCAGCTGTGTCCTGGTGTGAGCTCTGGAAATTGCAGGTCACTAGTAAAAGTTAAAAGGTTATTCCAACCACCATAACCACTTCTGCTTTTAGAAGTGGTCATGGTGGTAGGAGTTGGTACGTGCAGTGTATCTACTTGAAACGCTATACATACTGAGATATTTGCACCTGTGTGCCGGCGGCTAGTTACACCCGCAGCACACATGACTTTGGCAGACCAGAACAGAACACAATTCTGTGCAAAATCTGCAACTGCGTCAGACTCGTATGCTGGCGACAGACGTGGCCATCTTCTCCCGTGCAGGTATTATGTCTGCAAGGGGAAGTTTGCTCTTCCCTCCCACTGAGCAGTCACTCCTGCTCTCCTGTATTGAAATTATTTTGTAAATCCCTTCTTTCCCACCTCTACCTGCTCAGAGAATGTGCATACGCTCTGATGCGGTCAAACAGTCTAATCAAATGCTTCTGTATGAGAAGCATTTGATTGGCACAGCTGATGTCAGACAAGGTGTGGAAAGCAGCACTGGGAGCTTCGCAATGAGCTACATTAGAGGTAAGTTTCCCTCTAAGTTTTGTTTTATAAAGGGGTGGACCTAGTGCATAATGCCCAGTATAGCCTTACAAATGTAAAAAAAGGGGGGAAAAAATCAAAATTTGGAGTGACACTTTAAGGGACCTGACTTTTATTTTTGTAATGTGTTCTAATTTCTGCGTTTTCATGCTACATTTAAAGGGGATGGTCAACTCTCTCTTTATGCTTCATTATAATCTTGTATTCTGTAGAAGATAAAACTGATGTTGCTTTGTTTCCTGTATTTATTTTAATTTTTTTTTTTTTTTTACCTGATTCATACATTTGCATTCTGCAGAAGGGACTTGTGTTTGCTAAACGGTAACCTAGGCAATTGTGATCTGTTTCCACTGTAGTGTACAGGAAGTTTGCAATACTTTCCTGTCTCAGACTTGTTCACCACACCAATTTCCTCTGCATCTCAATCCCGTTCTCCCTTTTTTGTGGTCAGTACACATTAAATATATTCAGTCAGTAAATGCACTATCTACAAGCAATGTTCCTTAAAGGGACACCGTAGGCACCGTATCTGCTTCATCTCATTAAACTGGTTATAGTGTCTGGAGTCCCCTGGTATCATAATTTCTTTCAGCATTAAACAGTTTTTAATGTTTTAATGATAAACAAGAGTCCCCGGCAGTCCATCACATCTGTGCAGCTTTGGCTAATAAGGAAGTATTAGCCTGAGCAGCAATGGACAGCTGTGATTGGCTGAGAGTGTCAGGTGACTGCTTTCAGCCTGTCAGAGCTCCAACTGACGGTATTAATGGGTATGACAACAAGGAAGTGTGTAATCTCTGCCTTAGCTACACATACAGAAGGGGCTGGACTGTAGGTGGCCAGGGACTCTTATGTTGTGGCATACTGCATGAACATGGTGCAACACTGAGTGGAGGGACAGTGCCAGGGCACTCCAGGCACTATAACCAATTCAAAGAGATGAAATGGTTATAGTGACTACAGTGTCCCTTTAAGTTATGAAAAAGTTACTATACCACTGAATGAATTATTTAAGAAAATGTTGATCATTTTCTTTAGTCTGTCTTTTAAGGAAGTGTAGCACTTGTGGTGTGTACGTTACTTTGACCTGTCCTCCTCTCCTTAGAGAGCACCAGTGCTAAAATAAGTTGGAATGTTTAAGAAATACACAGAAGTGAGCAGTCAGTTTGCAATTGCAGATCTGGTGCATGTTTTGTTGATTTAATGTTCCTTAAAGAAACACTCCAAGCCGAGAGTGCCAAGTGACCCCTTCATGTAAGTAGTCAAATCATTTAGTAACATTTTGACTTCTTACCTGATAGCTGCTGGGTGCTGCTTCCCATCTCCCCTCATTTGGAAGTGAGAGCCAGAAGCTCTCGCTAGGAGCTTCCATTAACTCTCCTGATCTCAGGCATAGTTTGCCATTCCAGCTCATCGCCGGACTTCGTTCAGAGCTAAAAGCTTCTGTCCAAATGGAGGCTGTAGTGGAGATGGGGACTGGTGCCCGATGAATCCCAAGTAAGAAGTCAGATCATTACTAAGTCAGATCATTCAGAGAAACTGCTATGTTTACATTTGGGGTTAATCCAGCCTCTAGTGGCTGTCTTCCGGACAGCCACTAGAAGAGCATCTGCGACGCTGGAAGCAAATTTCTCCTCCATCGTGTAGAGCATCCATAGGACACTTTGAATGCGTGCACGGCACCTGCTGCGCATGTGCATTTGGCTTCAGTGACGTCGGATGAGGGAGCTGATGTCTGATGGGGAGGAGAGGTCACCAGCGCCGAGGGAGCCTGGCGCTGGATTAAGGTAAGCTGCTGAAGGAGTTTTAACCCCATCAGCACCACGGGAGGGGGACCCTGAGGGTGGGGGCACCCTCAGGCACTATAGTGTCAGGAAAACCGCTTTGTTTTCCTGACACTATAGTGATCCTTTAAGGGTCCTGTGAATATGCACTCAAACCACTTCAATGAGCTGTGGTGGTCTTGGTGTCTATAGTGTCCTTTTAAGGAAGGAGGAGGAAGAAATTTCAAATAGTCATAGCACTTTAGAAATGTTTTTTACGCCGGCTTGAGTTAGGTTTTAAAGGGCACCTTAAACACACTTATCTATAAGACGAGTAGTATTTACTACATCTTCTAATTCCAGTAAAATTACAAAGCCATTTCCACACAGTAATATATACATATTTCTTTGAATTTCTTTTTGTGATAAACTTAAATGGGAAACACTGTAAGACAGCTCTGTAAGTTATTACAGTTAATCCATGAATCATTATGTTTCACAATGCCTTCTTGGTTTTAAGCCAAATGTACACTTTGACAAGAAGTACTAAACAGCAGGAAGATTATTTATGTTTCCTAAAGATGAGATTATACACAAAGAGGAAGTGTACAATAGTTGAAAACACAGCATCTCTTCTGTTAGACTTAGACATTGAAAGTCCCAGAAAATGTGTCATTTGAATTAAACAACAAGATGTTTTAGGAGCACAAGAATGGGGAAACGTTGGTCATACTTTACATAGCAAGTTCCCTTAACTAGTCCCAAACAGTTATTAAGAAATGAATGAGTGCTTTCTGTATGTGTTTGACAGCAGCGATTATGTAATATAAATTTGCTTTGCGATATTTGACTATTGTCTAGTTTGCTATTTCAGCCCTCCTCCCTCCCCTGAATTAAGTTTTAAGAAAGCATGGAAAAAGGGGCAAAGAAATGGATACAGTATTTCTGTTTCTAAATGCAATGTGTGCCATTGTTGCGCCCTTTCTCTCATACCATCAGGCTGTAGGATATTGCCAGTAGCATTTACATTTCAAACTAAACTTATGTTGGGTGATGTCTTTTTTTTTTTCCTCAGTATTTTATTGGGTGAGCACCACTAAAACTATATAAACTAGGTATACATCCTATACAGAAATCAATACAATCAGTGGCGAATGAGCAATAGTACTAGCATTGTGGCAGATAAAAGAGCATTGAGCTGTGGCTCTCATTTTAGAGTATATAAAGGGGAGGGATGTCTTTTTTTTTCTTTTTTCTTTTTTCAATTTATAATCTTTATTCGGAGATATCATCTCCACTTTTTCTTTTTTTAATTTTTTAACACAATAGAGTTTGACAAAAAAGAAGATAAAATTAACAAAACATCCCATAAATAAGTTATACAGTGAGACACAGATATCGGTAAACATTACTTTTACCCACATAGGCATGAAGTAGTATAGTTACATTTAGTAAATCCCTATGTTGTTTAAAGATCTCACTGTAAACAACTCACATACAAAAAAGACAAGACATAGCAAGACAAAACATCAAATGGTCATATGTGGTCACACTTATTATAGTGTCAATCTCAACTTAGGCTCAGAGAAATTCAGGACATCTATCTATAAGTCAGCAACAGCCTCTAACTTCACCAACCAGGAGTTATAACGTTCTTGATATTTTGTATTTAACCCAGCTTCCATTTTCAGTTGATATTTGATTTGTTCCTTAACTATTGGCCAGGAGGGCACCAACTCCATTTTCCAGTACCTTGCGATGGAAAGTTTCGCAGCTAAAAGTATATGCAAGATAACCGGCAGTGAATTGCTACTAACCTGGCGGATATCTAATTGTAAAAGGCATATCTGTGGTACCATCGGTAAATCAATCAAAGTAATAAGTTTTATCCTAGATAAGATCATTTTCCAAAACTTCTGTATAAACCTACAGTCCCACCATATATGTAGATAGTTCCCGCACTCCACGTTGCATCTCCAGCAAGTGGAGTCACCTGAACTATTAAACTTCTTAATTTTACTGGGGACCATATACCATCTATTTATGATTTTAAAATGACATTCCACCAGGTTGAGGCAATGGATATATTTATAGATCAAATTTAGAGCTTCTCTCCATTGGTTACAAGTAATCTGATTACCCAAATCTCTTTGCCAAGAATTAATTATAGCTTCTAGAGGTTTATCTGAGTTATTTTGCAATAAATTTAATCCCATAGATAATAGTTTTTTTGGAGAATCTCTATCAAGGATATTTCTTATATCCCTTAAACGATCATACCTTTCTGTGATAACATATTGGTGACAAAAGCCTTTTAGCCTAAGGTAATTGAAAGTCTCCTTATTATCTATTTTATATGTTTGTTTTAAAGTTTGGAAATCCATCCATCCATTTCTATCCATTAAGTCTTGAAATTTATATACGCCTTTTTCAATCCAGCTTTTTAAGTTAAAATTAGTCATGTAATGAGCCATATTCTTTAAGGGAAGGGAAGGGATTAACTTATTGTAAAGACCTAGTGAGTTTTTCGTTTTTTTCCACCCTCTTAGGACATTGTTCAGGATAACACTAGATGAAATGGGGTTTACCTTATGATCGGTCTCTAATTTTAAGGGCCAAAAAAGCACAGACAACTCCAACGGTGATCCCTCAGTTGAAGTAAGGTCTTGTTCTATCTTGTACCATATCTCATTCTTACTATCATTTAGTTGAGTAATAACTGCGTGTGTAAAAGTCGCAGCTTTCTGGAAGTCCTTTAAAATAGGAACCCCCAGGCCCCCCATTTTCACTTTTAAGGCTAAACGTTTTTGGGATATTCTTGGAGGCTTATGTAACCATATAAATTTATTCAAAAGGGATTGAGCTAAGGTCTGGACACGGTAAGGCCACCATTCTAAATAAATAAACCCATTTTGGGATAATATAAGATTTAACTACATTAATGCGGCCCCACCATGAAATCTCTAAATTCTTCCAATTTTTCAGTTTCCTTGCAGTAATTCTGAGAAGAGATAGGAAATTAAGTTCCATGATAATATTAACGTCATTTGCTATTTCGATTCCCAAATAGTTGAAGGATACCTCCGCCCAATTAAATTCAAATCTCTGCCTAAGTGTTGCCTTTATATCCTGAGGGGTATTCATTAGTAGTGCAGTCGACTTATTAACGTTAATTTTATAGCCTGAGTGTAAAGCATATTCATCTAAGGTGTTAAAAAAAGCTGTAGAGGAGTTTAGAGGATCTGCTAGGGTTAATACAATATCATCAGCATACATTGTTAGTTTGATGCAATCATTTTTAAAATTAAGGCCCTTTATTGCCTCATTTTTCCTTGTTGCTACAGCTAGGGCTTCTATTGTCATTAAATAGAGAAGAGGTGAAAGCGGGCAGCCCTGTCTTGTCCCGTTTTTCAACGAAAAAAAATCTGAGCTGAATCCAGCTCACATAACTCTTGCAGAAGGAGTTGAGTATAGGGCCATTATTGCTTTTCTTATATTCCCCAAAAGGCCAAAGGTTTGTAGGACCGCGTCGAGGAAGTCCCACCTGACCCTGTCAAATGCTTTCTCAGCATCTAAAGACAGGATCAGGAGGGAACATTTCCTCGACTGGGCCCAATCCACTACGTCTATAAGACGTCTGACATTATATACCGAAGAGCGTTTGGAAATAAAGCCCACTTGGTCCCTATGGATTATATCCATCATAATTCCATTTAATCTACTTGCCATTATTGAGGAATAAAGTTTTAAATCTTCATTCAATAACGAGATAGGTCTATAATTAGTTATTAACTCTGAAGACTTTTGTGGTTTAAGAATAGGAACCAAATTAGCTCTCAGCATCTCCGGCGGGATGTTACCTTTTAACATAAACTCATTAAATGTATCCCTCAGAATATTTGCTAAGTTTTCTTTCATAGATTTATAAAATTTATTTGTGAAGCCATCCGGGCCTGGAGACTTAGAAATTTTCAGTCTATCTATGGCTTGGTTGACCTCTTCTAAATTTATAGGTTCATTTAACTTTTGTAGTTGAAATTTCGCTATTTTTGGCAGATTTAAATTCTCTAAGTAAAGAGGGATGTCTTTTTAATGCTACTTGCATATGCATGTTTTGAAACGAGATCCCTCTGGCATTTGGTACTTTAATTGGCCAACAGCTGGCAGACAAGAGTTCTGGATAGGAATGGGATAGGTTGCTTTATTGGTACTGCCTGTTCTTGTTTGTAGCAGTATTTTTTTTTTTGTGCCAAAGAGTGCCTGTCCACGTAATGCAGAAATGTTTCTCATGGCGTCTCTGCCTTATTAGGTAAAAGGAAGATTGTTTACTTGATTTTATAGCAGTTGAATAATATCCAGAATATTGTATGGGTGTAGAGCTCTACTGAACTGATAGAAGGGTAGTTCCTAGCCATTGGTGCTGTTTGGTTTGTACTTTGCCTTTTGCATTATGTGCTCAATGCTGCTGCGTGGTGTGAGATGGTTTAATTGACGGGTGTGACCTGTACACCAACACCTCTTCATAATGTTAAGCTGTTCTTGTGTCTACAGCTTCTCTTGTAGCTGCATACTTCATATATGGGGGAAAATGAACAAGATTATGCACTAAAACAGGGGTCCGCAACCTATTGCACCACACTCAAGGCTGTCAGAGCCAAACAGGGTTGTGCCTTTTAGGAGTCCCAGTGGTCCTTCAGATATCTCCTAGTGCAAACAGAGCGGTGATTGCAGGTGGTGAGGGGAAATCCTTGATTTATGCATTACAGCACGTAGAAGAAGTAATCTCAGATGAATTCCTTCCAACACATGTGAACAGGAATCTGAAATGGAGTAGAGCAGCTCCTGCCATGGATCTGTACAAGGCCCCACTGGACCCCAGGGAAGCCACCCTCACTGCTACACAGCTGCAGTAGAAGCCTCATTCTCATACAAATAATACAAACAGCTCACACGCACAATGTGACACATGGACACACGCAGCCCCCATACACAGCCCACATTCATAGGTCTCATGCACAATACCACAAACTACTCATGAACAAATACAATGTAACAGCCCACATACGCACAAATACAACCCTACAAATCAACTGCAGCACCCATAAATCGCACAAGCAGAATACAGCAACATGCATTCCTCAATTTAAAATAGAATTGGCACGCCAAGAGACTTCAAGATCTTGTTTTGGCATGGTACTACTAAAAGGTTGCCTACTCCTGCACTAAAATGTCAGTTGTCAAGAATTCAAAGTGACTTATACAATCTCAAAATTGACTTGACTTAGAGAATGCATCTACTTCTATCACTTTTGCCCTCTAATTTTGAAATAACTTGTAATTGGAATTAAGTCGGTGTGGTGAGCTGGAACCGACTTAGGGGTAGGCCTGTAAAAAGGGGGCCTCCCGAAAGACTGTATAGGTAAGAGGGTGAGGTGAACAGCGCAAGCCTTGTCAAGGTAGGAAGGGGGGAGTAGCGTTTTTATAGGAACGCTAAGTCCTCCCACAAATACAGGCCTTCGGCCTTTCACTTGTGGTCGGTTAATATCGTGACCGTGAAAAACCTTGTAATTGGAATTACGTCGGTGTGGTGTGCCGGAACCGACGTAGGGGTAGGCCGGTAAAAAGGGGGCAAAAGAAATGCAGGAAAACACACTTATAATAAGCAAGATGTTCACAATATAAGATACGAATGCTTTACCTCTTCCCCCACTGTGGAATGTATCTGTATAAAATAGCTGATTCCAAGTGAACTTAATTTATCATGTGTGCTGGCGTCCTGCTACTGGATGTGATTGATGCAGTCCTTATTCTGAACAGATTTCTTAATTAAGAGGCAGGGTCCCAACCTGATTTAATGCATAGAGTTACTTGTAGAATCGACTTTTAAGAAGTTAGGGGATTGCCTAGTGTAAGTGACTTAATTTCTGGTTAGAATGTTGGAGTGACATGAGGTAGTGGCCGTACCTTTTGAAGTCTTTCTTGGTGAGACATAATGCCTGGCTGATTAGCTTTAATCGATAAGTTCCTAGGACTCAGGAAGCCAAAGAAGGTTTAATACAATGAGGTATACGACACGGTTGTGTAATTCAAATGCTGCCTAATGAGTCTGACGATCCCTGGAATTTCCATTGCGGGTTATGTTATTCGTGTGGTGATGAATCGATTACTTATACCTTTAAACCTTTGTTGAGTAAGCATTTAAGGAAAAAGGAGTATGGTTTGAAAATGGCTGTCGTAAGGTGGTGCTGTATGTCTGAAGGGGAAGAGTTTGATATTGTCTGAAATAATGAAGGGGCAAAATGCGGCAAATTAGACCCTAATTTGAATTGTACGCTTGTGGATGTTGTATTCCACTGAGAACCCTCGAAGAATGTCCACAGTGCTATTGTGTGTAATGTAGTGTTAGCAGATACGGCTATTCGTGACAACTCGTTGCCGTGTGCCAGTAGCTAGGTTAGACCGGATTATAATGTTGAAATGTGGAGTTTGGGTTGGGTTGGGTGTTTGGCAGTTGGTGAGGAACGAAGAATTCTTAACTAATGACGGGGCAAAAGTGTTTGTGGCCAATTTGGACTAGCCTGGGATGCATTCCTAATAGAGGAAGAGCTGAAAGTGTCAGGCAACCAGGAAAGCCCGCAAACTATCCTCATAATGGTCAATGAACCTGTATGAAATGGCAGTCTGCGGCATAATATCTGTATAACCTTTGACTGCCATGCCCTACCAGGATTCTCTATGCGAATGCTGTCACCATATATCGGGTAATTCGACTAAGGCCGGTGTTTCGTAAAGATGGTAGTCCAAGACTCTTACCCAGCAATCCCCAATCAATAGTTTGTAGATTGCTGTAACCCAGTATTAGCAGTCGCTTCTGTATGAGAGACTGGGAATTTGACAGATCCTGGCGGGATGAACATAGAAGCCCCAATCCCGGGTTCTAACGACTCTTACCACATGACCAGGTTTGTCCTTGCCAGGGGATCTGAATCTCAATATCTCAGTCAGGCAGACCCGGTAATAAGCGTAACCGTAACTGAATGATCTCAATAGAGGGATAATGTGCATAGTGAAGTTCCAAGAACCCAGCAATGATTTGCCGGTGTTCCAGTTATGAGTTCCTAGCTGAAGGAACCTGTTTCGTCTTCACGAATGCGCACTAGTTCTCCTCTGGGAGATTTGACTGTATGGTACCTGAATTCAGTATGAACCTATGAAATCAAGTCCGGTGGTGGTTTATTAGTTTGTCTCATGACAGAGGAGTGCCTAGAGTTTAACCGTGCTGTAGTGTACTTTATCCTTGTATTAGTGCAGTTTCTATTCCACTATTAAGAAATCTACTAGGTAATGTATCGCCGTGATGCACCTAGTGATAATGAGGGGTAGCTAGTGAGCCTTTGTAAATGCATCAAATATTTCCCTGCTATTCCCACCAAAGTGAGTCTGTTAGTAAAGCAAAACTTCACAGACCACTTACCCCCATGAACATACCATGGGGGGGACGGATGACTAGCAACAGGAAGGTGTTGGAGAGATCGGTCTTACTGTGCCATGTGGTTTACCTGCCCCTCATAATTACTTGTATCTGCTGTGACATAGTGTAGAGAGTATTATGTGGATAATATAAGGGTGTTAAGTATGAGTTGTGGATAAATGAGCAGACAGATCAATGGTGAGGTATTGTTTAGGAGTATTGCTGGTGGTCTACAGTATATGGCATGTACCTAGCTGAGGAGATTGGTGTCTACAGGGAGTGACCTCAACCAAGTATGGGACCCGTGTGTAATTATTTCCAAGCGCGAGGACAGACCTAAGTAGATCGACCACTCTTATTTACCTTGTATATATGACATTCAACTTTTACGGGTATATGGCTTGCCATGAGTCCCAAGGCATCTGATGCATGCGCAACAATCTGTATTCACTAGAATTATATATTCTTGTGATAAAATTACTACGAATTAGTGGGTGGGTACTCAGATAGTGAGGGGGGAGATGCATGGGGCCTACCCTGTGAGTTGGCGGGAGTAAGTGTTTGTGCAAACCCTCTTGGGGATAGTTCGGAATCTAAAAGAGCCTGGCGTGTATGATAATAGAGGTATGCTGAGGGCAGCAGGCCTAGTGGGGGTGTATGGCTTAGCGGTTGCGCTAGGGAGGGACGGTTCTTCTCCTGTTGTTGGCTTCATGGGACATGCTGAAAAAGAAAAAAACACAACAATGAACTGATCAATAAAATACAGTTGAGTTTGGGGGCGTGTCCTGACCGCGCATGTGAGCGGACGTGCAGGAACGGTGCTCTCCCGACCCGCGGCAATAAAGCGGCTTCAACAGCGTGGAAAACCCCTAGAAACGAGCGATAACCCTCTGCACCCTCAGGTGAACACCTCTGCCCCTGATGGCAACCAAAAAATTCAAACAAAAAACCCTCAATCCCCACTTAGAATGGTCACAAACCGCGGAGCCGAAAATCCAAGATGGCGCCGACGGACGGCACTCGCCTGCACACAGCACTGATACAGGAGACTGCCTGTCAGAGCACAGCAATCCTGCAACAGATGCCTCAATCAGGCTAATTATGCAGGAGCTCCACACCTCATTTAAGGCTGACCTCCTTCAGATGACCGCTGACATCAAGGCAGACATACAGAGCATGGGAGAGCGCACCACACGCCTGGAAGACAGGGCAGACGAGCTGGTGGAGGCACATAACACAATAACAGAGGCCTACACAGACTTGGAGCGCAAACTTAAATCCTTAGAAGAGAAGGTGGCCGATCAAGAAGACAGGAGCAGACGGAATAATATCCGTATAAGGGGTATACCAGAGACCATTTCACAACAAGACTTATCCAGATACGTCAAAGACCTGTTTAAAACTCTGATCCCCTCTTTGTCTGAATTCGACTTGATCCTGGACAGGACCCACAGACTACCGAAACCCAAGCATCTCCCACCTGACACTGCAAGAGACACGATCACGAGAGTACACCACTTCACTGTCAAGGACAGAATTATGCAGACTTCCAGAACCATAACCAAATGGCCAGAATTGTATAAAGATATCAAGCTGTTCACTGATCTCTCCTCGGTGACCATGCTCAAACGCCGAGCTTTCGCACCAATCACAGAAGCACTGCGTAACGCAGATATCCCCTACAAGTGGGGCTTTCCTACGAAGCTACTAATTAAAAGAAATGGCGTGGACAAGCCCATCATGACTCCAGAAGACGGCAAAAAGGCGCTTCAGGAATGGAATATACCCTTCCTACCTACTAGACCCAGGAAGAAACAAATAACGGCCCATGCACCAAAGGCGTTGTCCAAAGACTGGTCACGAATCCACAGGGCCCCCCAGGCACGCATGGACTCGAACAAGTCACCGACCTGAACGATCCGGGGCCAGAACCGCATCACGCCTTCCACTGAATGAACTGAACGTACAGGTTTATAATGTTTTGTTATATGTTATAATGCAAGTTCACCTAAGATACCCAATAAGGGTTTAACCAAAGGCCACAGGCCTAGCCGCAACGGGTGAGCAATACCCGACGGCACTACATTCGACCCAAGTTATTGTTGATCCCCTACACATAGGGATCCAGTTACCACATCAGTGTGGTACACCCCCGAGGTTCTAGTAACCCAACTTTTCCGTTGCTTTAAGCAACCAAATGTCACCAAACCGTGACTTACGGAATTTTGTATATAGTTTATCCCCCTGTTCTCCCTTTCCCCTCCACACCACCCCCCTGCTGAGAGTACTCCGCAAACTCAGCATAATTGATACACACGGTTGCAAACTACCTAGATCTCCCAGGTATACAAACCCCACAGGTTTCCTCCGAGACCGCCGAGTTAGAGTAACCAATAGCTCGATTAAGAAACACAAACCCCTGCCACAGCATCCACCACGTTGGAAAGATGGTGATTAAGCTCATGTCCCTAAACGCCAAAGGGCTTAACTCTCCTAATAAGCGGAGGCTAGCCTTGCAAGAGGCGAAAAAATGTGGGGCACAAATGGCATTTTTCCAAGAGACCCATTTTAAATGGAACTCTAGACCCAAATTTACCTCAAAATGGTACCCTCACGATTTCCATACATGTTACTCAGCGAAGAAAAGAGGAGTCTCCACAATGATCAGCAAAGATGTGGCCTTCTCCTTAGTTAGGAAAATTAGTGACAAAAAAAGGTCGATATTTAATTCTACAATGTATGTTGAATAATGCACCGTATACTCTGATTAATGTATATAGCCCTAATGAAAACCAAAACGAGTTCTTGCAAATGATCTTGGCCCTAACTGATATGTATAGACACGGGGAGGTGATTATTGGAGGCGACATGAACTGCCTATTAGATAGCAGATTAGACTCCTCCACCACAGCCCAAATCAAGAATTGCACACTCAGACACAGAACCACGTTAACCACAAAAATATGCTCCACACTGACTGCAGCTCGCATGGTAGACCCATGGCGCATTCTACATCCCACAGATATAGATCACACATGCTATACAGCAGCCCACAACAGCTATTCTCGGATAGATAGATTCCTCATACCCACCACGTTGATGGCCCAAATAGAAGGAGCAACAATTGGGGTAATGACGTGGTCAGACCATGCTCCCATTACACTTAGCATTAAAGAAGCGTTTAACAATAAAGGATCTGGCTCCTGGAGACTTAATGAATCTCTTTTAACAGACCCTGCAATAATATCCCAGATCACGACAGATCTACAACACTATATAGCAGAAAACACGACCGCTGACTCCGCAATCGAACACATTTGGTTAGCACATAAGGCGGTCATACGAGGCAGTTTTATAAAACATGCCAGCTATGCTAAAAAGCAGAGAATGGCCGAATACACCAATCTCTTGGAAGAAATCCGAACTCTAACACATTCAAACAAAAGAGACCCAAAACCAACCACAAAAACAAAACTCCTAGCTCTCCAAAACAAACTGAACAACATTGAGCTAACCAAAACAACTTACCTACTCAGGAAATTGAAACACAATTTCTTTACGAGTGGCAACAAAGCTGGTGCACTATTGGCATCACAACTGAAAAAGAGGAATGTCGCCTCCAGAATCGCCTTCCTAAACAACCCCAAGGGCATAAAAGTAACGAACCCCCAAAATATTGTAGACCAATTCGCTCAATACTACGGCGAATTATACAACCTCAACCAGGACCCCAATGTACACATACCGACCCCAGACAAAATAGATGACTTCCTAGCTGCCTTAGATCTTCCCAAACTGACAGAAGACGACCTAGCACCCCTAACAAGACCCTTCTCTCTAGACGAACTCACGAAAGCCATCTCTCAACTCCCAGCACACAAATCACCGGGCCCTGATGGCTTAACAAATGAATACTATAAAACTTTCTCACCAACCATAGCGCCACTGCTCCTCCAATTAGTTAACAAATGCGCTACAACAGGTGCGCTCCCAGAAGAAATGCTCTTGGCACATATCTCCACTCTCCCCAAACCCGGCAAACCCCCTACACAATGCAAAAACTTCCGGCCTATATCCCTTCTAAATGGAGATGCCAAGCTATACGCGAAGCTCCTCAGCAACCGGCTCGCCCCCCTCCTGCATAAAATAATCCACAATGACCAATCTGGGTTCATCAGGGGCCGCCAAGGCTCAGATAACACCAGAAAAATTTTAAACATGATCTCCACGTTGGAGTCCAACAGATCATCAGGCCTCCTCCTCGCCCTAGACGCGGAGAAGGCCTTTGATCGTCTAAATTGGGCCTATATGACAAAAGTACTAGCACAATTTAACTTTCCAGAATCTACCATAAATAGCATCATGGCTTTATACCACCGTCCAGCAGCGAAAGTATCGCATGGAGGGTTCCTCTCTACGGCATTCTCCATCACCAATGGCACCCGCCAGGGATGCCCCTTATCGCCCCTTCTGTACATACTTGCTCTAGAACCCCTGGCACAAAAGATCCGAACACACCCCGAGATACTAGGAGTCAATATCCGCAACAAAATGTACAGCCTAGCTTTGTTTGCCGACGACATATTTATAGCATTGTCGGATCCACAAAATTCTCTACCCACCCTGTTGAACCTCCTACAGGAATTTGGCAATATTTCTTACTACCGCCTCAACCAAGACAAAACCCAAGCTCTACCAATAAACCTGCCAAAACCCTTGCTGGACACACTCCAGACCTCATACCAGTTCGACTGGAAATCACACTCCCTCACATACCTGGGAATAAAGATAGCACCCACGATTTCTGCCACTACACAACTAAACTACAAACCTCTAATTACACTATGTAAAGCGGAAATTAACAGATGGAAACACGCAAAAATCTCATGGTTGGGAAGAATTAACACGTACAAAATGATGATCCTCCCACGTATCCTTTATATCTTTAGGATGATACCGTTAGGGATCACGCCCCAATTTTGTAAGGCACTACAAAAATTATGTGGCGCTTATATTTGGAGCGGGAAAAGACCCCGGGTGTCCCTAGCACTCCTTCAGACTGCCCCACGACATGGAGGAGTGGGTCTCCCAAACCTGAGACAATACCATAGAGCAGCGATCCTCTCCACAGGCATACTCCTTCATGCTACACCAGGCACATTACAATGGGTAGACATGGAAAGAACACAATTTACAAGCATGTCTCTAACCGACTACCTATGGACACCATGGAAGTTTAGAATTAAACGCACAGACCTGTTCCCAACCACACAACTCACAATATCCGTATGGGACACCTTTATGGAGACAATAGGTCACAAGGATACACTACACACAAAATCTCCACTTTCAGTCCTGAGAACAATAGTACCTAACATCCCCTCAAAGACTGGAACACGGCGGGAGTGGCAACAATATCACAGCTCTTGGACGCCAAAGGCGTACTACCATTCCCAATACTACAAGCAAAGTGGCAACTCCCAAACAGGGCTATCTTTTCCTATCTACAACTAAAAAGCGTGATTCAAACACACACACCCCCAATACATCCAACACCAGCTGCGACTAGACTCACCTCTCACTTACTCCTAGACAGATGTTGGGTAGCACCCACAAAACCCAAAGCACTCACGCTATGTTACAAGGCATGGCAGGAACTCTCAACACCCACATCACACCCCTACAAACCCCACTGGGAGACAGACTGCGGGACAGCACTGACAGACTGCGACTGGCTACGCGCCCTCAACGGTCTCTCTAAATGGACCAAGTGCTATACGCACATCGAGGCCCACAAAAAACTCCTCTACCGTTGGTACATGACACCACAGAGACTCCACCGTATATACCCCAATACGCCCAACACTTGCTGGCGGTGCAACGCAACTACAGGGACCTTGGAACATTTATGGTGGTCTTGCGGTAGTATCCAACCACTTTGGACCGCCGTGTCACAGACACTAGACCAACTTCACATCCCTAAATTCCAACTGTCAAAAACATCATGCCTCCTGCTCCTACTCCCAACCAACCTCACCCTAATACAAAAACAGATTGCAGCCCTTACAATACTGGCGGCAAGGAACTTGCTAGCACTACATTGGAAATCACAGTCCTGCCCATCCTTAGCCCAACTCCAAACCAAACTCACCCAATACAAAATCTACGAAAGAATGGCAATAATATCCCCCCCAAAAAAACTTGCATTTGATATGGGTTGGGGGAATTGGGAGGGGGCGGTGGACGAGGAGGGAGGTATACCCGGGCCAGACCCTGTTCTCCAATGAGGGCAAGACTCATACAGGACACGAACAATGCTTATACCACATTCTATCAGTACTCTCCATCACTCCCCCACTCCCCTTCATCCCCCCCGCCCACCCCTCCGGGCTCTACCGGCCCTCCCCCTCCCGTCCCCTACCAAGTTTGCGCCCTACCACTAGGGCTACCCACTGATACACCAACATACTCATCAAAAATGAGGCATAACTCCGGTACTTCCTAACCCGCACACCTGGGACTAACTAGTGCACGAACCATCATAGGCTAAACAGCCTACAATCATAACTACGTCGACTGAGCAGACTATTCATGCACACAACCATGGTTACGAGAGGATTCCCTGGTATGGCTCTCACCCCAGAGCCAAACCACATGGACACTTAGGCGATAGCGTATACAACCCAACGAATTAACAGCCTACGCATATACTTAATTTACTATGACGAAATGCATGCATGTACCAATCCCCCCATGTATTCACTCAGGTTCCGCAAAATTTCTGTGAACGTGATGTTTATGTCAAATACTATAACACTGTATCCCCCCGCTAACATACCCTTTTTTCCTTCTGTACCCCTGACCACATATTGAAGATATAATAAAATACAAATTTGAAAAAATACAGTTGAGTTTATGTAGAACTGGCTGGCTAACTACCGGTAGTGCCGAAGCGAAAAGCTATCTACCCCATGACAGGTGAGGCCCTGCTAGTTGCCAAGCGGCTGGTGAGAGGTTCTACCTATGATTTGGGCGTGGGACTCGAGCCACTAGCGTGGTGGCGGGGTGTCGGCCTCTCTGTGACAGTAAAAGACCAAAAACATGTGGCCGTGACTATAAACCCGATAGGTGGGTGAATGCGAGGCTCTAACTATAATTTGGGCCGAGGGGCGAAAATCTCTGTGTTGAGATTGGGGAGTTGGACTCGCGGGACCAGCTACTTTGTACAACTAAGGCCAGTTCTCTGATTCTAGACGGGGCCTTGATGAGGAGGTAATGTAACGTATTTAGTGACACCCAAGTTGTGGTTTGTAAAAGTACCTTTGTACCCAGAACTGCACAGATTATATAGATGTGGCTGAGAGAGAGAGAGAGATTAAAATTATTTTTTTTTTAAAGCCTCCTAGAAATCAAGTGCCAAGGGGAGTTATTCTCAATGCACCATAAATCCATTAGCTCACCAAATCATGGAACATATTTTACGAGGGGGGAAATACTCCAAGCACCCTAAATCTTCACTCTCTTCCCCTACATTTTAATTAGGGATTTAACTTCATAATCTGTACAAATATTTGGAAACCTTACAATCCTAGGAGAATTGACAATCATGGTCAATTCTCCTGTGCCAAATTGCGGCAGCGAAGGTGCCGGAAGATCAACTTGGCCTGTATCTCCACTTCAGAACGAGGTTGAGGTGTCCTTTTAAGAAGCAAGATCACATTGTAGAATTATTTTCTGTTTTATTTATTTTTATTTTTTTTGCACTATTTAAATTTTTTATAATTCTGAAAATATAATACTTAATGCACACATTCAAGTTCATTACTATAAGTTATTTTATTTTTCTTCTTTGCAGTGTTAACGTCACTCCAGCTCCCAAAGAATTGGTTATCCCCCTTATCCATAAAAACAGATGGTCCCTCACGAAGACGCAGGAGAAATCACAGGACAGTGGACCTCAGACAGCAGAAGACAATGTGTTATCTCAAGCTGTGCAGGAGTTGATAGAAGGTGAATACCCTGTATTTATAACTGACTCGTAACATGCAAAAAACACTCTACATTTTATTCTCTAAATATTGAATTTTAATCAACTGAAAATCAATTTGCAAATGTTAAGCCAAAACAGCATATTTGGGTAAATCCCTGACTCAATTACAGTCTCACCTCGGCTGTTTTAGTCTGAGTTTTGCAATTTGGTTTTCTTTCGCCACAAATTTTCTCATTAGTGAATAAACCCCACAGTGTTTGTTCTGCTTCTATCAATCAAAATGACTTTGCCAGTTTTGCATAAATTCAAAATGGTGTTCTGTGGCTGTTCCTGTTCTTCAAATGAAAATGAATACTTTGTGTCTAACACATGTGATTGACAGAGGAAACAAATGACTGCTCGAACAAAGATTTCAAAGATTGTCAACTGTCAAAGCAATCAATTTTTTTGTGCTTTATACTGATTGGAATTAAAATGGGCATGCACAAATAAATCTGATAATAAAAATATGAATATGCAGTCATTTCAGGCTAGTGCAACTATTTGTGTAGGGATAGACTTATATTGACTGTGGTTTTTGCATAGGGAACCTTTGCAAGGAATCATGTTGGTGCCACGTAATGGCAATACTAGTAAATGTTCAAAGTAGGTGCAAAATGTGTCTTCTTGCTCTAGTTCGTGGAATATGGCCTTTGAAACAACATATTAAAAAAAAATAAAAAATCAATCAATAAAGTAAAAGTTCAGTAAAAGGTGCATTCAAAAATGAAATAGTGGGCGGAGTCTGGCTTCCATGCGGGGCAGACGTGTGGACCTCGAGCTCCCAGGCTTTTCTAACTTCTTGGGGTGACAACCCTGATCGCTCGACTACCATTTGCCATTGGAGGGCATTATCTTGAAGCTGGGCTCCTGTGCCACACACAGGCACCTGAATCTAGCCTGTAACCCTTTGGAGCCCTGAGCCATGCTGCTGCGGCCTACTAAGCGAAGGCTGGGTAGAGGCGGCCGATCTCCCTGCTTTTAAAACCTCAGTTTGGTTTGGCGGCGATCCAACGGACCGGCAGGGGATATCCCTGTCCCCACTGGACATTCTGGGGCTACAAGCACTGCTCCTACCTTCTGCCACAAATAAACACACTGAGGAAAGTGTGGTGCACCAAGCCACAAGATGGCGACTGGCGGTTCTGGCGGAAAATCCTTGAGCGTGAGCAGGTTTCCCTGGCTGAGTGGGAAATCGCTCCTGGGAGCGATGAGAAGCCGGAGTGGAACAGGCCTCCTTCAGACAAAGTGCACAAGCAAGGGTATATCCAATTATCTACTCTCACATCCGGGCAAAGAGCCCCTAGAGGCACTGGCTCCAAGCATCACTCACTGAAGTGGAGGATCACCCCCCGCCGAAAAAGGCGCACACCACCTAGACCCTCTGCTTACACTGGGAGAAGGAATGACTTGGTTCCAGAGACTATCAGAGTCTGTGAAATAATGAAGCTTGCTCTCACTCAGGCCTGGGGTGGAAAGGGAGCCCTGAAGTTATACACTTGTGCTGCAACCTACCTGAACTCTCCTGCCACTGGTGGGGATCGGATGATCCAGATACTGGAACTGCAGCCTGAGCTCCACTCCCAGGATGGCGGTTGCTGTGATCTCTTACTGGTTTTCAATCTTTAAAATATGCCTCCCTGCTTGAAATGGTGTAATATATTATTTAGTTTTTTTTAAAGTTTTTTACACTTTCTCCCTCTCCTGCCACAAGGGGGGTGTTTATTACTCTAATATTGGGGTGCCCTGAAGTCCAGTGGTCCCATAACACTATCTGAAAATCTACGGTTTATGCCAGATTTTATTTTTGCCTTGGTATCTCATGCCATTCCTCTTTCTGCAATGTGCCACTATTTGACACCATTCATGATTTCCTGTGCTTAGATTGAGCCTATCTGAATAGCTTAGCTTGATAACTCGCTGTGTATTCTTTAACCTCTACAAATTGTCTGTATGCTGCACAGGCTAAGATCTGTCATCTAGCTTAGTGGTATATGCAGGAACAAAGTTCATCTTAATTTACCTGTTTTATTAACTTTACTTTTACAATTGTACGTTTCAAACCGGATCTCTTACCTTGACACAATCTCACAAGACCTAGCCTGATCATATAATATAAAATTGTGCTGATTACCCGCATGCCATGTCAAATCTACTGTTCTTAATAAGCTTGCCAATGCTGTTGTGGCATTGCAGGATTACATGTTGTTTGTATTCACATGCACAAAGAAAATAAAGAATTTAAAAAAAAAATGAAAAATAGTAAATGAATAAATCTCAGAATCGAAGGAAACCTGATCATAGAACAACAAATAATACCAGTAGCGGGTTCAAACTTCAGTACAATCTATATGGCAGTCAGCTGAATTGGGATATCATCAGTGTCAAAGATCAACTGTTTGATTAGTCCTTGGTATCTATGGGCAGATCTCAAAGTATTGTCTGATACCTTTTATTTCACAAAGGCAAAACAAAAATATATATATTTTAAAAAGGGGTTAATTTGACCTCTTTTTCATTAACATTCACTTGTTTATAACTGGAGAACGTATACATTTAGAGGTTGATATTTACATTGAAACAGTGTGTTGGTTTATGCTTGTTTTTCTTTTTCCATGATAGTTAAAGATGTACTCCTGTTGTTTAATCCATTCTCTTTGTTCTAGAATCTCGCCAAGCCCTGGAGAATGGCACTGATGTTGAACAAACGTCCAGCATCCCACTCCTCATGCAGAACAGAGTCCCTGATGGTTATGAAGACGGAGAGAAAGTGGACGTTCGTCTCCGGCCCGAATCTGTAAGTCCTCATGCTGAAAACCATTTAAAACCAGGTCGTTTTTGCATTTATTAATTTCAGGACTATGTGGATTAAGGCACACCTGCAGCAATTATGCTCTAAAGTGCTATCAACATAGTAACCATGCAGTTTTTGCTCAAACGTTAAGTCTGCTACAGCGACTCCACTTTGCAAGAGCAAGGTGCACTAAATACTGTGTGATGGGCATTGTTCCACCATACAGCCATTATTTTTACATTCTGGCGACATTTTTAGGAACCTGCATTTCCCGAAATTAAATTTATTTTTAAATACTTATAAATAGAACATTCGATCACTTGTTTTTAAATTCTGTATTAAGTTATTTTCACCTCTTGCATGTAGCAAAATGGTACTACTGGTTCTACACCACCCTGTCTGAAATATTGCAAGATAAAGAATACCATATAACTTTAAGAAATGTTTATTATGCTACATTTAATAGTCCTCTTTCTTTAGATCAGTGTATAGATCAAGCTTGCCCTTTTTGTACGTTTACTGATGTAATTTGGCTCTTGTTTATATTTTGTTTGGTTTCCTTTAAATTTAAAAAAAAAAATTCATAAACTTTATTCAACTCTTCCAGGCCGAGGCTGCAGACTATGAGGTCGTGCCTGTGGAGCATTATGGGATGGCAATGCTACGAGGCATGGGCTGGAAAGAGGGAGAGGGAATTGGCAGAACCTTTAAACAGTGAGTGTAAGCTCTGTAGGCTGCAGGAAAGCATTGTGTTTGTAACTGGATGTGACATGTACTCTCAGCACACAGCATGGAGTTCCTGATATGGCTGCCATCTTTACACTGATTTATCTTTAAGGGACACTCCAGACACCATAATCATTACTGCTTATTGTAGTGCTTGTGGTGATATGTAGCGACTGTGGCTGCTGTTTGTCTATTATTTTTTTGTTCCCCTTCCCCCACCCCCCCAACTATTTGGAATTATAATTAGTAAATCGACCTCTTCATTATTACATCAGTGGTAGAGGGGTTGGGGTTTGAGTGCTTGAAAATTATTTAAAAAATAAATAAATAATGGGATGGAACACATTGCCTAATACACCATAACCACTCCTATAAGTTCTAGTGGTTATGTTCCTTTGTGTCCACTTACATAGGAACTGTGTGGCCCCAGGAACAAGTACAAATTACCAATATTCCAAACCCGGAAGCCTGACTGTATTCACAATAACCAAATCCTCATCATGGGTGACATGACCTATAGTCGTCATGTCACAGCTTCCTAGAAGTCATTTCAGCTAAAGTCTTCATGCGTTACCTTTATTAATGTCCTCAGTAATTTTTTTAGCGCATGGTGTAACATATTTGTAGATTTGTTTCCATATGCTGCATTGATAAGTGTCGGTCACGAACTAAGCTAAAATATTGGCTTTTGTTTTCTTGGTGACAACTCCTCCCGTAATGCACGTCACTTGAGCTTTCTGCCCCGGACAGAACCCGGCAGTCTCTAAGATTGATTTGCTGATGAAAATAAATGTGCCAATATTCCTAAAAATTAAGCTTTCATTCTGGAAAGTGATATATTCTTTTCCCTGCAAGAGATGGTTTTTCAGTGCATATGTGTTGGACCTACAATTATTACTTGTACAGGAAGCAGTGTTATCTTACAAAAGTTCAATACAAATGCACTAAAATAGTGAGTAGATATATTGAGTAGATAAAGTGATGCATCTTTTTCCAGATTGAATCTCACAGAATTTCAGTTTGCACGATAAAAACCAGGAATAAATCTCTAAATATAGACTATAACATGCATCTGTCTCTGTAGAAATATTTAAACTATTCAATGTATTGTGTACACATAAGGAAGTATAGCAGTAGTTTTGAATCAAACTCAGACCTATTCTAATGCATTGCCATTTGACCTACGAGAACAGCTTAACAGGAGTATATCATGCCTTAACTATGTGTGGTATCTGAGGAATACTGTGTACAAAACACATTCAGCCTCCACATTCTGTGTTAGATTAGCCATGCTGTTTTCACTTTGTTTACTGATGCATACTGACTATGGGTGTATGGCATTCATAATTAGTTTTTAACCATTTTCCGAAAATAACTCTTCAAAACTCTTTCAAAATGTATCTTCACTACTCCATAGAAAGAATTGAAACAGTTTGGTGGGATACATATTTATTATTATTTAAATGTATTATAAATCATCTTTGGTACTAAAATCTTTTCTAGGGATGTTAAACCATTAGAACAGAAACTAAGACCCAAAGGCCTTGGATTAGGAGCCGACCGGTCTGCTCTGAATGCCCTTGAGCCACAGAAGCCACGCAGGCCTCCGAAACCTGGGGAGGAACCAGAAGAGGAGGTAAAAGGCCTAGGGCCAGGAAGTGCAGTGGAGATCCAGAGTGGCGCACACAAAGATCTATATGGGAAGGTAGGATCCAGTTCCTTGTTAAATAATCTGAAAGCTCACATTAATTTTACTTTGGTCTTATACACTTCTGCAACACCTTACGATCACTGTGATTTGTCATAGGTGGAGGGAATCGACACAGACAATGCCAGAGCTATGGTGAAGCTTGCCATTGGTGGGAATATGGTGACCGTGTCTCAGTTTGCATTACGATTGGTCGGCAGTGCGGAATACAAAACAAATGCAAAGGATTTAAGTGAGTGAGACTTTGACAAGCTTATAATATGTTATCCTGATGGGCATGTGTAAGTAGCAATAAAAATTTTGAATGTCCTAACTTTCTGTGGTTGCCTGCACACACCCATAATGCAATTTAAGTTCTATCAATAAACAAAGTTAGCATGGTTTAGTATTAATGAAATCTGAAAACTTGCATAATACAAGATCACAAGACAGGCCTTCATGAGCACACATGACCATTAAGACATCACACTAAAATTTAAACAGAGCTAACCCTTTGGGTTCTTAAAAGTTTAAATGTGTTGGTTCCACACCCCAACTCTGGCTTGTGATATGAGAGATTTTTTTTGAACTAAGAAAACAGTTGACTACTAAATCCCTGCATTTTGCATGGTTTATGAAAGGCTAATTTGGTTACCAAGATACATATTTACAAAAGGGTTACTGATTTACATGAGTACTGCAAATGGGTGGATCAAATCCTGCTCTGTGCCACATCATTGAGAGATTTGCAGATTGAGGGAAATATGAGTGTAGGAGCCATGGGTTGGTAAATGTCATAGGTAGCTTTTTTTTAAATTTTTTTTTTATTTTTTTTATATGTATTGTTTGTTTTTTAGGAAAATAAACCTTTTACATTTTTCCATTAGGATAAGCCAAGCAGTTGGGACTTCATTTCACTCACCCAGCCCACAGCAATTCCAATAAGGCTGGTTCTGCCTGCCAGAACATACTCTGTGCAACAAACAGAAGGGAATGTTCCCCATCCAATATCCTTAAAATCAAAGACTTTTTTTATTTCCATTTTTTTTTTTTTTATGCAAAAAAAAGGAAATGGTGTAAAGGCACACAACGCACGTATTACTTTTTCAGTATAGAACTTTATCAAAATTCTGATATGGCTGCCATCTTTACACTGATTTGTCTTAAAGGGACATCTAAACACATTCATCACTGCTACTTATTGTAATGCTTGTGGTGATATGTAGTGGCTGTGGCTGCTGTTCCTCTATTATTTTGTGTTTCTTTTCAAGATTTCATGGCTCTAGACAGAGTACTATACTGCTGTTCACATTTTTAGCAAGATGGAAGTTAAGGTAATTGATTTTGTGGATATTGGATGCTGACCGTTCCCTTGAACGATAAATAAAAAATGATTTTTAAAAGGTACCTTGCAGCTCCTTTAAATCCCCAGGCTGCAGTATACGATGTCCAGAACATGTCTCTGGGCCGAGGGATTTCGGCAAGTTGTTGCAGGCTGTTGTGCAGGAGACCTTCTCGCACTGTAACCCATAGAAAAAGAAAGTTTTAATGTAGTATAGTGATCCTTAAAAAGTGGGAGAACTAAAAAAAAAAAACAAAAAAAACAGAAATTTGTATTTTATTTTTTATTGATATTTACTGTAGCGGTACATAAATCAGATAAGGACACTTGCATATAGTATAGCTTGAGAATTACAATGATCACAAAATTAGCAAGTCGGACTTAATGTAATACAATACCACATTTCCTCCATTACTCTGTTTTCCACTTTGTGAATCCAGTCCCTTATGGAAGGGGTGGGGGGGTTGCCTTTTTTCCAAAAGGTAGCCATCAGCTGGTTTGCTGTGATGAGGAGGTGGGCAATCAGGGGGATGAGGGTTTTGGAGAGGTGTGTAGTAGCAGTAGCAATATATAGAGGTTTGAGTCCTTGATCTTGCATCATGTATGGTTTGCCTTTTTTATTCCCCCAATTATTCTACCTGTTGAAGAATTAGCAATGCCATCTACCATACACACATATAATTGTAAAAGGGGGAAAACCCACAAACCTAGTGAACTTGATGATCCACAATAACAGAAGGATATTTCATCGAAACACAAAATTATATAAAAATATATAAAGCAAAGCGATGGCAGATCTATTTATAAATGAATAAGCTCAGACGATGTATTAGTGCAGACAGTATTGTTAATGAAAACAATTCCCATGTCTCTAAAGGTCGGTTAAGTAAAGCCAAGCAGCAGAAGGATCTCCAAGAAGCAAAAGAAGATAAACACAAGGGAAGATCAACAGAGCGAGGGGGGAATGAACACAGGGAGAGAAATCAAAATGGAGACAGCAGTAACAAAGACAAGCGACAGAAAATGAGGAGTCCAGACCGTGAGAAAGAAAAGAAGAAAGCCAAGAAGGAACCGCAAAGGTGCAGTCAAATTCTGATAACCCCTTAAGGACACATGACGGTAATATTCCGTCATGATTCCCTTTTATTCCAGAAGTTGTGTCCTTAAGGGGATAAGATATAGTTGGCCCATTCTATTCACAATTTACCATTAAAGCATTAAAAATTTACACTTTGCCCATCTGTTGTTTATTAATGTTTCTATTGTTTGACTTTATTATGCATTCCCACTGTGAAGACTTAATGCACTTAATGTTTTATAGCAAATGGAAATGTATATAAATGTTACTTGAGTCTTCCAATTCATATGCATCTTTTCCCAATAATGTTCCTATATTTCTGCTTTTGGGTAAATGTCTCTGTTTCTGAAAGTCCTTTTAATCAATGGGAGATGGGATTCATTTATGTTTTATGTCTTTATCTTGAGATCGTGGGAAATTTTTATTACATGCTCTGGTAAATCAAAGTGAAATTCTAGAATTATGAATATAAGTTAAGAAAAAATGGCTGAATAAAATTTGTTTGCAGTGTTAAAATGCCTCCTAATTGAGCAGATGACTTCTTGTGTTAATGACTGCTCTCTCTTTTTGTAGTACAATCTTTTGTAGTGCAAATTGCATTGTATTGTACTCCTTTAAAGGGACACTCCAGGCACCTAGACCATTTCAGCCTATTAAAGTGGTCTGGATGCCAACTTCTATCACCCTTAACCCTGCAAGTGTAATTATTGCGCTTTTTATAAACTGCAATAATTACCTTGCAGGGTTAGGTCCTCCTCTGGCTACCAGACAGCTACTAGAGGGACTACTGGGTTCTTAGACCACTTTCTAAACAACGCTGGACGTCCTCGCGCTGTGCTGATAGGGTTGCCACCTGGCCGGTATTTTACCGGCACAGCTGGTATTTGAAGCTGTGTGGGCGGTGCTGGTATTTTTCTTTGAAGAGAATGTTCTGCAATATCAGCATCGGCCACCAGGGTGTGCAATGCTCTAAGGCCGTGCTAGGAAAAATCGTTGGTGCTTGGCTGTGTGGAGAGGGCTGAGATGGGGATGTCACAAGCCTCTCCACTCGCTACAGAACAAGGAGATGGAAGCATAGCAGCAAGAGCGGAATCTTGAGAGCAGGTACTTGTGTGCAGGCCCGGACTGGCCATCGGGCACACCGGGCAAATGCCCGGAGGGCCGCGGTGACCATGGGGCTATCCTAGCTCCGGCCTCGCTGTGTTGCATGACGGGCCGGTGGGGAGATCAAATTTAGTAAATTTTCTCCTTCCAAATGTTCTCATTCTTGTATGTACGTTGTTCCTTGTGATGTCACACATATAATTAATTATGCAAATTAGAATGGCCAGTATTTATTTTTTATTTTTTTCAAAAAAAAGGTGGCAACCCTAGCTGTGCATGAGGACCTCCAGCGTTGCTGGATACCCAGTAGGAAAGCATTAAATAATGCTTTCCTGTCGGGAAATCCTAATCAGAGCGTGGCCATTGCCATGCATAGACATTAGGTCTCCAACGTTGGCTGGGGAGGTGTGTGGGTGGAGCCTTTTGAGGCACCCTTTTGATTTTAAACACTTTATCATCATCCTAAGCAGACTTTGGATGTTCATACCAGTGCATGGTTTATAATGTTAACTGAATACGTGAATTAGAAAAACATAATAATTGTATCTGTGGTTTGTCTGTCTGTTGCTGACTGTCCTTAATTTTTTTTTCAGCTGGTTACACCGGGACTTGAAAGTTCGGTTCATTGACAAGCATTATAAAGGAGGAAAATACTACAACTCTAAGGTGATTAGATGTGTGTTCAGCCTTGGCTTTCCAGTAGTTATTGGAATATGTTTCTATTTGCATAATACTCTGCTAGTGTCTGTAATAAAACCGCCATTTTTGGTAACATGTAATGGTGTCTTCAGTGCTCGTTATACCAAAATTCCAGTGTAGAAGCTGCATACAAATATTAATATTGCTTATTTAATATTTGCTATCAAGTTTAAACTAGCTTTGAATTGGTAAGTAATATCTAGACTGTGCTAAGTTCAGCAGACTTCTGTCTATCACTACAAGAAGTTACACTTTGAGCAAATATTACTACTGTGCTCGGCTGCCTTAGGTGCTGTCTGTAACTTATGGAACTTTCAATCACTATTCCAAACCAATGCAACACCTACCCAGTATGCACTATCCCACATTTAAAGTGACACTGTAGTCACCAGAACAACTACAGCTTATTGTATTTGTTGTGGTGTCTAGTCAGTCCATGCAGTAAACACTGTCTTTTCAGAGAAAGGCAGTGTTACATTAAAGCCTAGGGACATCACCAGTGGCCACTCCGATGGTTACTAGAGGTGCTTCTTGGGGCAGTGGGCAGCACTGACATTCAGCGTTTCCACACTCTGCATGGGGACACTGAACTTTCCTCATAGAGATGCATTGATTCACCTGTATGAGGAGATGCTGATCAGCCATCGCAGCGTTTGGCCCTGCCTTCTTGACAACCATCAATTTTGATGTCAGCCAAAGAGGCGGATCAGGTGGGGAGTTGAAAATATGGTAATAGTATTTAAGAAGAACATTGGAAGCAAATTATGTCCAAAGAGAATTGTAGGGCAGTGAAGGGGTTAACCCTGATTTAGAATTGTAAACAGAAACGAAAGTACACTGTCCTATGCTTAAGATAGATCATAAAACATAACTTTTATTAGTAATAAAAATTAATAAGTACACACATAAACTAAAACATGTGAACAAAAAATGTGAGGGTGCATGGAAAAGATACTAGAGATCCCAGGTCAAGTTGTCTCTAAAAAGAGGATACTGTTGCGCTTTAGATGTCTAAATAGTTATTGCACATAAAGAGCAAAATAGTCAGTGTACAAAGTGGAGACAAATGTAGCAACAACCAGAGAGTTATATCAATCTGAGGGGAAAAAAAGGAGATATCGCTCGCGCTCTCTCCTAAATCCCTATGTATATTTAAACAAATGGAGGTCATTTAGTCGCTCCAATGGCCATTTGAGGGAATGCCTGTCTGCCAACGTCAAGGCAGACCCCCTTAGGTGGGTCCTACATTGACATTTCACCCTGCTTCCTTGAGCCTCTGGCAAAGATATCTCTAATGAGACAGAGAGTGGTATTTTTTATATACACCCCTATATACTTATTAACCCTTAATAGGGAACACATGGGATGGGCGGCAGCATTGTAACATAGCTGTGTGATTCAAAAAGTGAATACAAATACAAAAAGATAAGTCCTGCGCTCACTCCCATCACTACTGGGCCGGCAGCAATGAATACAGTACACATCAGCCCCAAGTCTTATTTATTATTTACATGTAAAGTGTACCTGTCATGCTACACACAACATCTCCATATTGTGATAGCAGAAATTAAGTTTTTACTTTATTGCTCTTCAAAAATGTGGCCCCCATCAGTATTTTAAGTTGACTTGTCTATGCTGACAGCCTAGAAGAAGTTTAGGTAGAAGATTGACAGGGGAGAGTGGCTGTCCTGTTCTCCGTCCATAGTGCTACTCTTCTAAATGCTTGTCACACTTGCAAGGGGAGTACAGGACACTGTGATGACAAAGTGTTGGCAGAAAAGTCAGCATGCTGGTGTCATCCGGGAGTATTGACCTCCTTGGGGATGGCAGCAAAGCAGATCTGGTTTAATTTTAAAGTACTGACCCCAATTTGATTGTGATTTAATTGGAGTCCAAAAAACGAGGCCTGCACAGTCCAAGTTTAGACCACCAAATCTCCTGAGCGTTCCTTTTCCATTAAGGATAACAAAGGATTGAAGGTTTCTGGAGCCTGTTATGTAATGGGGAAGGCTGCTTGAACTACCCAAACCAGAGTCTCTCCTTTCTCTTATTTGTATGGATAAATACTTGGTCCAGTGCAATGTTGGTGTTTTGTATTTTGTTGTGTTTTTACATACATTCATACTACAGATCGTCAAACACGAACAGGTAATAAAAACATGTTAATGGGTTAATAGCATTTTTAAAACTGCACTGTTCTGATTTTTATTTCCACACAGATTTTGGTAGAAGATGTTTTGAGTCCTACAAGATGTGTGTGTCGGACAGACAACGGGAGGATTCTAGATGGTAAGTTAAAACGTGGGGTGGGGAGAATGATTGGAAAACTAGGCATGGATGCTTAATTCAATGGGAAAGATGGGCGAATACTGAAAATATCCACACTTTCAACTTTACCACTTTGACATGAAGGGAGCTGATGGTGAGCTGGCTGTAACAGGTTTAGGGTTTAGAATTAAAGAAGTGACATTTTTACATCCTGACTGCTGACTGTAGTAGCTGGAGCCAGAGGTACTGTTCAAGTCCACCATAAAGGGCCATTAGTCTCTAGGAAACCGTGTGGCCTCCAGATGCCTCCACAAGCAATGGCTATTTGGTTGATCTTACTAGGGACTGCATTTCCAGGGGTGCCCATGCAAAGGTTGGGGAAACTTCAGTTGCATACTCAAGGGTTGTTGTGGGAAATATGAAAAGGTAAATGAGGGGTGCGAGCTTGAGTACATGTGGTCTACATAGCGAGAGGGTGTCTCTTCACGGTAGAGGGAAAATAATGCACACATGGAGAGTAGGGAAGAAAGAGAGCTGAAAGTGAAGAAACTGTGTACTAACATATAGTACATGGCTCAAAATATCCACTAGCCACAACTGATACTACAACAAAGGTTTTTCAATAGAGTTAAATGTATTCTAAAATTATCAAGACTGCAAAAAGCCACGATTGTTTCAAATGTTTATTATGTCTGTGAACAATAGCTGTTGTGGCTACGTTTGCAACAATGTTATTATGCACACAAAAATAATTAAAAAAAACATTTAAAACAAATATCCACTAGCCATTGCGGTTGGAAATGTAGCTCTGGTGAATAGAAATTCACCCCTGGTGAGTGTGCCATGTACCTTTTAATCTTTATGTACCTGCAATGTTTACGGCATGACTAGTAAAGTAGGCCTTGTAATTGTAAACTCTGCATAATACATGGGTTATATAAACCATGAGGCTGGTTAATGGCTCATCCCTTCTAGTCCTAACCTGCAACCTAGGACTAAATATTACTCACCCCTAAATATTACTTCTTGTGCGATGAGTGCTGGCAATAGAGCAGAAACACGCTCAGCCACCTTTTTCCTAATTGACAGGAGTATATGTGAATTCTTTCCATGTGAGTGCATGTTAGGAGTTGCAGGATATCCACAGCACTGAGTGTATTGGGTAGCCCGTGGAACACTCCTTAGTGCAGTGTCTAGTAGGCAAGTGGTAATGTTGAGTTGTTAATAGTGTCTCTGTTGTAATGCTTGTAGCTGGTATCTATACATTGATGTTATATGTGCTCTACTTAGAGGCTGCTTACATATTTAATCATGGTAAGTACACAAGCTCAGGCTATTTCCCTCAGTTAGGCATAATAAAAGAAACTAATTGCCTTTTTGTCAGCAAATTGCAAAAGGATACTGTTTATTATTGTAACATTCGTACTCGAGACCACACACAAACCCAGAAACCAGTATTAGAATGTCTTCATTTAATCAGTCTCATGGTGCAGTGATGCCATGATGTAGAAGAAAGACACTTTACACGTGTGGTGTATTTTACATTAAGTGAAATTTGTACTTAATTATACATATGGGACATATTTTCTAGACATTAAACAAGACATGCTGGAAACCTTAATTCCAAAGGAGGAAGGAGATCACGTGATGGTGGTATTAGGACAATATCGGGGCCAGGTGAGCAGACATAAATATCATCTATTGGTTTTTTTTTTTGGTTTTTTTTTATGATGACTAGTGTCCCTTTAAGAGAAATATGGTGGTTATTGTTTGTCAGATTAAATCATTTCTGCTAGTACGCCTTTTATAATGAATCTGAAGGTATTGGTGCTTCTTGCCCTTTCCACATGAAAGAAGCTGGAGTCTACAACATATTGAGGAGATTGAAGGTGAAAAATTTTGCCATTCTGGGGCAAAGAGCTAAATAGGGCGCAGTCACCGTGGAAACCAATAGAATATCTCAACATTTGGCAACTGGTTCTTAAAATATCACCTATTTGGCTTTGATAAATCTCAGCCATGGCATCTTATTTTAATATTTCATGCCCATATAGAAACCTAGAATGTGACGGCAGATAAGAACCATTTGGCCCATCTAGTCTGCCCAATTTTCTAAATACTTTCATTAGTCCCTAGACTTATCTTATAGTTAGGGTAGCCTTATGCCTATCCCACGCATGCTTAAACTCCTTTACTGTGTTAACCTCTACCACTTCAGCTGGAAGGCTATTCCATGCATCCACTACCCTCTCAGTAAAGTAATACTTCCTGATATTATTTTTAAACCTTTGTCCCTCTAATTTAAGACTATGTCCTCTTGTGGTAGTTTTTTCTTATTTTGTAGTTTTCCTTCACATTGTAGGCTTGCGGCACCCTTCTGACTGGCACTTCTTCCTTAGCCAGTTCACTTTTGAAATGAACAGATCAGGCCAAAATGGGGAGTATACACATCAAACTTGTTTCCGGCTAGTCTGATTCCTACTGTCAAGTGATATAAGTAGAATCTGCAGTCTTCTGCCCAGTGTTTCTGCCCTCCGTGCTTCTCATGTGAAACAGAAATTTGGCCTTGCAGGGCAAGAGCATGCATCCTTCACACACTGAACATATCACAATCTGAAATTCTAATTATTTGATTCATTGTTTACATATTTGACCTTCTCTCAGTGAACTATCTCCTACAAAGAAATATTAGTATAGGTAAATTCAGCTACCTAAATAGATTGAAAGAGGCAGGAAGTGAAGCCCAAGGAATGTTGTGCACAGCATTTTGTTTCAACCCATACTGGTCAAGACAATGTTAATATGTTTGTTCAGTACAAATGTCCAATAACACCTGTGGTGAGCTGTGAGGTATTAAAGTAGTCTATAACCTCTAGGTAACCTCTTTTATTACAATATGTTGACGGCATCCTGCAACATAGCCACTGCAATGAGCTGTAGTGGTTATGAAGATTAAAGGACCACTATAGGCACCCAGACCACTTCCACCTTAATGAAGTGGTCTTGTGCCAGGTCCAGATAGGTTTAACCCTTTTTTCTGTAAACATAGCAGTTTCAGAGAAACTGCTATGTTTACCTATGGGTTAATCCAACCTCTAGTGGCTGTCTCGTTGACAGCCGCTAGAGGGCTTCCGTGCTTCTCACTGTGATTTTCACAGTGAGAAGACGCTTGCGTCCATAGGAAAGCATTGTGAATGCTTTCCTATGGACTGGCTGAATACGCGCGCGCAGCTCCTGCTGCGCATGCGCATTCAGCCGAGGAGGAGGAGGACAGCTCCCCGCCCGGCGCTGGAGAAAGAGGTAAGTTTAACCCCTTCCTCCACCTAGAGCCCGGCGGGTGGGGAGCCCTGAGGGTAGGGGCACCCTTAGGGCACTATAGTGCCAGGAAAACAAGTGTTTTCCTGGCACTATAGTGGTCCTTTAACGAGATTGTGGGCACTGTCCCCACATTTGTGTTGAGCTGTATTTTAGAGGCTTGACATAACCGAGGGAGCCTATGGACCAGACCTCTCCCAAAGACTCAATAACCATTATAATGAGCTGCGGTGCTTATTAATTTAGTTTTTTTTAAACCTGTGTATTATATACTAACTGAACACTTGGCAATGTCTGTGTTTATCAAAGGTATGTAAATATTGTATTTTGTATCCAGTTTATTTTGTATTGATTATTTTTTAAAATTTATTTTAGGTGGGGAAGATCCTGCATAGAGACAAGCATAAAAGTCGTGCTTTGGTGCAGTTGCAAGGGGAGCTTGATGAAGCAGTCACTTTAAGCTATGATGTAATCTGCCACTATACTGGAGAACAGGATGAATGATGCGTGTGAAATAAGCTTGATATTGTACAGTGTCAGAACATGAATTCTGATCACCTTTTTTTATTTAACTGTAAATAAACATGACACTTTGTATAGAATATATTTGTTTAATGGATATGCATTATAGAATTAATCCATACAACATACATAAACGGGTAAATACAGGATATTTTCATGTCTCCGTTTTGGACATAAAACTTCAAATTCGAAATTACTAGCAAAGGCTAAAACCTACCACCACAAACGTGTGTACACCACAATTTTTTTTTTTCTCACGTTTTATCAACAGCATGGAGTGTAAGTGGGTAAATGCTGAATGTATTTGTGTGGAGGGTAAGTATGTCGGAAAAAAAGGTTTATTGTTGTGAATACATGGTTGGTTTTGTGTAAAAGGCTAGTCTGTTTGTGTACATTTAAAGGGAGACTAGAGTCACCAGAACAACTACAGCTTATTGTATTTGTTCTGTGAGTAGATTCATTCCCTACAGGCTTTTTGCAGTAAACACTGTCTTTTCAGAGAAAATGTGTTTGCATTATAGCCCAGGGATAACTCCACTGGCCAGTCCTCAGCTGCTAGAGGTGCTTACTGTGTGCAGCACTGCAATTCAGTGTCTCTTCCCAATGCATGGAGACACTGACCTTTCCTCATAGTGATGCATTGATGCAATGCATCTCTGAGGGGATGCTGATTGGCCAGGGCTGTGTTTGACTTGTTCTGAGTCTGCCCCTGATCTGCCTCCTTAACTGTTTGAGCCAATTTAAGGTAAAGCATTGTGATTGGCTCAGAACACCACATCTGATGATATCAGCCAAGCAGGCAGATCAGGGGCAAAGCCAGCAGCTGCAAACTTGAACAAAGTAAGATTTTACTATATTTAGGGGGAACAGCGGGGCTAGATTGTGGTTTTAACACTATAGGGTCAAGAATATATGTTTGTTCCTGACCCTATAGTGTTCCTTTAAGGGATTCTATACATGGGACGATGCAGTGGTGCATTGCACCTTCTTTCCCAAGTAACATGGGGAAGGGCCTGTGACATGAGAAAGGGAGATGAAGCAGAAATTAAACAGACATGTCAGTGTCAATATGTCCCCCTTCCATTAAAGTCATATAACCCGCTATTTTCTTAATCTAATGTACTTTAAAAAAAAAAAAAAAAAAAAATAAGCCACCCACTGGATAAATAAAAGGGGACAAACCCCAGTCACCTGACACTATTACAGGTTTTACAATGTACTAGTGATCAGAAAAAAAAAGCAATAAAATCCAGATAAAAAGTGGAAGAAGACCCGAGAGAGAGAGTAGATAGAGCTTACTGTTGGGCGCTTAGTGGATCTGTCTTCCAAGTTTTTGCTAAATACTTTGCATATGAGATTATGCACAACTCGAAAAAAGGGAAAAATCCCTCTACACTCGATTTAGAACTGACACCCATAGGGGTCTCGCCAAGGGAATTGGAATAATTTGGCATATAAGGATTCCCACAGCGACTTTACTTTGGGACAGGACCACCATGCATGTAGGTACAAACTCTCATCCCCACTGCTCCTAAGCAAGTAGAGCCCATAGCAGGTTGGACCTTAGCCAGTTTGATCAGGTGAATATACAATGGTGCCATCAGCTTGTGAAAATGTCAGCACAGTCTCTCCTCTAGATCTTCCTTTAGGTCACGTTCCTATTTGGCTGTGTAATGAGGGGGAATGGGGTAGGCAATTGGCTTCATTTGCTTTAGTGTTAACATTAAAAAGCTGAAGGATTCATCCCCGCAGGGTTATATTAGGAGAGCCACCATCCTATACCTGTCACAGTTGCAGGGAGTGCGACAACGCCAGACTAGGATGAGACTGATAAAGGCAGCATTAGAGTACCATAAAACAGAATGCAAAGGGCCAATACGACCTCTTCCAGGGAAACACCACCTAGTCATATTTATCATATTTATGACCTAGTGCAGGCATAGGCAACCTTTGGCACTCCAGATGTTTTGGACTACACCTCCCATGATGCTTTGCCAGCATTATGGGTGTAAGAGCATTATGGGAGATGTAGTCCAAAACATCTGGACTGCCGAAGGTTGCCCATCCCTAACATAGTGTACTGAGCTGCCTTGTGAAAGGTGACCAAGTGTGGTACTGATGGCCCTTCTGTCCCCCTCAACTTATGTAACTGTGACTTAGAATCTACTCATCCTGCCCTCCCAAATGAAAGTGTAAATATCTGATTGTCGGGATGCCAAATCTCTGTGTTTACTTCAACGCCATGGAGCGAAACAGACATAAGATTTTGGGAGTAGGGTTTTTTTTTTTTTTAACAGCATAAAAAGCTACCAAATACGAGGAACCATTTGCTTGTAGTTTGCTCCAACCATATCTGCACAACGCAGAGTGATGCAAATTCCCAGGGACACAATCTGAATAACACAGAAACGACTCCTTCAAGCGGCAAACCTGGGCTCCTCCCCCCCCGAAGGAAAGCAATGTTAAAAAGAAGCCCTTTATTATACAGGTTCCATTAACTTATCTTAAAATAGGTGGTAATAGTTACTTTATTGTAGGTTTCAACATTTTGCCAGCAATACTGGAAACAAATACCTGTCCCTGCCATTCAAATTAAAATATCTTGTCTAACCTTGGTATGTAAAAGCTGACTGAACATCATGGCATGTGTATCTCACAAACAAAACCGATGCCAAAGTTGCCAGTCATTAATGGAAACATGCCAGTTATGAAGCATTAACATGAGCTGACTCAATAGCTGAAAATAGTCAAGGAATATAAATGTGGCGTCTACAAGTATGAAAAGCTGGAATTATTTCCTGTATGTACAGAAAGAAATGGTTTGGTTTAGAATCGATCTATCGCTCCTTAGCTCAAAGAAATGCTGACGAATTATTATTATTTTTTTTTCACAAAACTGAGGGGAAATGTCTGCGTCTCATGGAGCGAATGCGTGCGCACCGCGGTACAGGAACTTCTGTTTCCTGTACCTGGCCGGACTGAAAGGAAGTGCTCACTGAGAGAGCACTTACTTTCAGTCCGGTCGGACACAGGAGACTGAATCTCCTGTACTGCGGCGCGCACTGCTCAGCTCAGCCACGCTACAATAAAGGTAGGAGACTTACCGGGCCAAAGGGGGGAGGGAAGAGAGGGACCCTTTGGTGCGAGGGGTGGGTGGAAGAACACTATGTGACAGGGGAGGGGGGGTAAGAACACTATGGGACAAGGGAGGTGAGTGGGTGGTAAGGAACACTATGGGACAGTAGAGAGGTGGTAAGGTACTCTTTGGGGGAGGGGAGTGGGTGGTAAGGAACACTTTTTTTTTTTTTTCTTCCTACTCTAAAAACTAGGTGTGTCTTATGGAGCAAAAAATACGGTATATATGTATATATGTTTAAAGGCTAAAGGCCTGTATTTGTGGGAGTAAGCGTTCCTATAAAAACCCACACCTCCATCTTACCTATGCCGTGCCATCTAGAACAGACAGCCATCTGTGTCTCACCATCAAATGACATAAAGAAGTTAATGATCACTATATTCTACTGTTAAAGCGTTCCAAATCCAACCAGACTGGCTATCCTCTCTAGAAGTCCCTTTTTACTCTACTGAAAATTATTGGTGCCTGTTAAAGTACTGGACTCATGTTGTTATACGGCTTTTATGTTGCCAACCACAAATATATAATTTTTTTCAAAATTATTATATTTTACCTTTTTGTTATGATGGTAGAAGTATCTTGCTGTCATTCTGTGGTAATGGGGCAAACCATTTTACAAATAATTTACTCTCTTACCTAGGTCCACTCTTCTGAAGGCTTACGCCATCCAGCTTGTGCAGACCTGCACAAGCCGGATGTTGGTTCCACTGGCCCTTAAGTTGCTGAGAATGTCAGCTGATTGCTCTCAGCCAATGAATGACATTTGTAAAATGCACAGAATTGAGATTAGCCAGGGGGAGGTCTAATGCGTGTGTGTGGCATTGCCGTGCATGCACATTAGGTTTCCCCTGCCGGCGGCCATGCATACTCAATAGGTCTCCCCCGCCGGATGACGTCGGCGGGGGAGGAGCGTGGGCGGACCCTCACCCAGCGCCAAGAGACATTGGCGCTGGATACAGGTAAGTCATGGAAGGGGTTTTATGTTGGCACCTTATAAATGCCAGTAATAAATAAACAGAAATGAGAGACAGAGGGATTAGGACCCAACACAGGAACTGTCCATCCTAAATAGGGACACTTGGGACATATGTGTCATTAAATGTGTTAGGTTCAATAGCAAGTAAATTTCTAATAAATTAAATATATACCAGTTACAGCTGAATTTGAAAATAAATAAATAAATAAAAATAAACTTATGTGAATATACTTGTTTTCAGTATTGTTTTCCAGCTAGAAAAATGGCCGCCCAACTACCCTGCGGTCGCTTTAAATGTGACGTTAATGTGATACAATTTCCTTCATGGAACGTTTACAGCCAAAGTTCCAAACAAAAGAGAGACCATGTAAAGTGTATCCCTACTAGCGCAGCAGCCATTTTGTAGAGGCCAAAAGCCTTTAGTGGTAGTCCTGCTGGTCTCCAAGCAAATGGATGTCTCTTTCTTAAGCATAGTACGACTCTTTGTGAGTTATTGTTTACAACTCCAGCCGTATGGCTCACTTGCGGCCCCTAGTGGCTCGAAGTCAGTACTGCTGGCTAACATGTAAACACGGAAGCAGAGTGACAATAACAAAGGTAAGCCGGGGGACAGACAGTGCACAGGGATACGGGCAACCATGTGATATGTTATCATAACTAACTTATCTTGTTCTCTCCTTATAGCTGGGTCCTTCCAGTGGCAGCCATGGCACAACATCGAGGGGTGAATGGGCTGAGGTTCAACCAGGACCAGAGTGAGTGCCAGGGACTGGACCCTAAATATATACATTTAATACCAACCCCCACACACTGTGTCACTTAGCACAGGGGGGGGGTTATAAATACAGATTTTTAAATAGGTCAGATTGTCCTCTGAGTTACAGCTGTTATGATTAGCAAGTCACAGGTTGTTTGAGGGTAATGGGAGTTATGGTTCACAGCTTGTGGGCCCCCATACAATAGAACCCCTATCACCATGTTCCAGCATCACTAAACGAGTTAAGTGACCATTTTACAGGAAGGCAGTATTTGGCATTATTAGTTACACCTCTGAGCTACAAGTCCCATCTTGTTTATTGGAGATAATTGTTCAATCTATGAATCTAAAAATGTATATATTGTGTGTTACTGAGTGGGCATGGGGAGCTGAAATGACAGATCACATTTCCTTGTTGGATTGAAAAAAAGCTCTGTCAGTGTATACAGTTCACATTGGATCACATTTACCCTTTGCCAATTAAATAACACTATACAGGTTACTCCCTCCCTCCCCAGGTGAAAGTAGCTAAGCTGGAAATACAGAGATGTGGCAACATATATTTCTAAAATGAAGGCCAAGATAGCTCAGTTGGGATAATAGGCCATCACTAGCTTGCATTGTGGGGGGAGGGGACTCGCAGGTCCTCTCTTGTGAACCCTATCTAATTATTTTTACTGGCTTACCGTTCGCTGTTGGGGGTTAATGGATTAATATTTTATTAATTTGTGGTTGTAGGTTGTTTCTGTTGTGCTATGGAGACTGGAGTGCGCATCTTTAACATTGAGCCTCTAATGGAAAAGGGACATCTTGGTGAGAATCACAAGGGAAGAGTGGATGCTTGCATCATTTTCTGCCCTGGCCTTTTGTTCCATTCACCTGGAACTAGGGGGGGGCAAAGGTGGTGTTCGTCACACTAGGCCACAGTTCTAACCTTGCCTTTGTCCCTTAGATCTGGAGCAGGTGGGCAGTGTTGGACAAGTGGAGATGCTGCACAGGTGTAATCTGCTGGCACTGGTGGGTGGTGGCAGCAATCCCAAATTCTCAGACATTTCAGGTATAAAACCTGCACTTTAAGTGCTTTTCCCATAAATCTCTTGGCTTTATTTATGTTTTCTTTAGCATGCTTCCTGTTGATAAAGATTGTGTGATTCTTATGGCTGTATCTCTGTTCTCCAGTGCTGATTTGGGATGACTCTCGTGATGGAAAAGATAAGCTGGTCTTGGAGTTCACATTCACTAAACCTGTGCTTAGTGTCCGTTTGAGGTCTGACAAGTGAGTGGTTAGGATTACTGGATTCACAAATTATATTGTTTTTATTTCATCATCCAATAAATGAACAGTCTTCGGGAGAAATAAAACCTTTTTGAAGTTCTTACATGTGGTGCAAATTGTCGTAGCTTGTAGTTTCCTGCAGTGAGCTCTGCTTACACTAGGATGTAGCTGGTATCTCTTAGCCAAACCTGGCCTTCCCATTGTATTAAATAAAATTGTTATATCCCATAATCCCCACTTCAGTGCTAAGATGACTAATGCTTTATATTTATTTTCACTCCATACATTCTACTGCCCTTTTTCTTTTTTTATTTGAATGTTATTTATTTGGTACAGGATAATCTTAGCACAATATCTCTCTGACATCTGATTCCCCACTTGCTGTTGAATAGCATCTACTTACATTTGGGATTTATTCACTAAACAGAATTGTGGTTATTCACCTCTAACGTTAGGTGAAAGTAGCTAAGCTGTAAATACAGAGATGTGGCAACATATATTTCTAAAATGAAGGCCAAGATAGCTCAGTTGGGATAATATTAGAACTCCTAAATCTTGAATTTAATCGTGCAAATTTCTGTTCTTGGTTCGCTGTTTAGTGGTTGTGCCTCTTTGATTCCCCGTTAGAACTAACCGTGTGCTTTTACGCAGGATTGTCATTGTGGTGAAGAATCGGATATACGTTTACTCTTTCCCTGACAACCCAACAAAACTCTTTGAATTTGACACACGAGACAACCCCAAAGGTAAACACTTTTCACTCTTCGTGAAAACATCCACAAAGTGTTTGCATTCTTTGTAGAGTGCCTATTACCTTTTTGTTATTGTTACTTTTTGGTTGACTTGTCTTCTGGTACCTCTTTAAAGTATCAGTCTCTATTGGTGTTCTTTTGGAATTCTGTTTAAGTGTTCTAGACATTACTTGTTATTAGACTTTTGGTTTGGTATAAAATGGTTTTGGAGATACCATTTATTCATATTTTTGTGAGGGATACATTACAGACTGTCCTTATTGCGTCTCTGTATGCTGTAATCCATTCACTTATCACCTGTAAGTTCTGGTACATCCTGAGAGGAAATTATCTTAGACATTCCTTCTGTATGGCAATTGTTACCTCGGGTACATGTCTTTGTGTATGTATGTGTGTGTACATATAATTTTTCATTTCTTTCCCTCCTTAGGTCTGTGTGACCTTTGCCCCAGTATGGAGAAACAGCTACTGGTTTTCCCAGGACACAAATGTGGCAGCCTGCAGCTTGTGGTAAGTTTAAGAAACCGTAGACATTTGGAGTTGGTTTTGAAATCTGGTTCTGATGGCTTGCGCTGTGTGTTTAGGACCTGTGCAATGCAAAACCAAGCAGCTCATCCGCACCATTCACTATCAACGCTCATCAGAGCGAGCTTGGATGCCTGGCGGTAAATCAGCAGGGAACACTGGTAGCATCTGCCTCACGGAAAGGAACACTTATTCGACTTTTTGACACTCAGACACGAGAGCAACTTGTGGAATTACGTCGTGGTACGGACCCTGCTACTCTCTACTGGTGAGGCCAGAATCCAAATCCTTGCTGTATTGTAAGTTAGAATACATGTTGTGGGGCTGTCAGTACTTCACTACATTAGCTGGAGTAAAGATTAGAGGTGGTTCTTAAAATGCCAGGTTTTACATATGGCCTATATCAGTTTTTCATAAAACAGACAATGCAAAATTATGAACCATTCTGGCATTACATTTTTACATATGTTCCAGTAATCAATGAAATCTTGTTACTAGTCTATCATAACCAGTACAGCAGAATGTAGTGGTTATGGTTCTAGAAAACCCTTTGTGCCATCTCATTGTAAAGAGTCAAACAAACTTTCAGTTGTTTTGACACTTACCTGGGTATATGCTGTCCAGCACCTAGACATTTTCCTTAACAGGTATTTCATGTGTTCACATTAGCAATATCAGCTCTGTCCATCTTAGGTTGGATTTTATAGACTGAGAGTGTCGGCTGACATTGCTCAACCAATGAATCGAATCTCACCTAAAGCAGATAAAATTGTTACTGCTGGAGTGGAACTACCACTTTAGCAATATCTGTGAAGAACGGCACCCGAAATGCCTGGGTAAGTGTCAAACTGTTCTAAAACTGTTTAAATCTTAAAGGGACACTGTAACTGCTTCATCTAATTACAGTGTCTGGAGTCCCCTGGTGCTGTCCTTCCATGTAGTATCAAACTGTTTTTTCTAATATTTTAATGCCAAACAAAAGTACTCGGCAGAACCACTGACACAGAATGCGGTCAGTATAATTAACCTTAATTTTTTTTTTTCAGTATTAATTTCAGTCATGACAACTGCTTCCTGTGCAGCTCCAGTGATAAAGGAACTGTTCATATCTTCGCTCTTAAAGACACCAAACTCAACCGTCGTTCAGCGTATGTATTACAGGTTTAGAAAGTAATGTAGACAAAATGGCCATTTAGATAGCAGATTTCACTGTAATTACAAGAGGTTAACCACAACCTAAAATTATTAAAAATAAATAACTGATACATTCTAAAATGTTGGATCACTATATAATACTGCAGTTAATGGGTCACTTCCAACGCTAAAAAGTAAGATTTATTTCAAAGTTTAGGGTGCAGAGAGTACCGTGTGTTTCTTTCCAGGATAGCTTATTAAAATAGCAGCATTTTTCAAATGTTTTCTTCCTCGTTTGCGGTTTCCCCCCCACTTGTGCTTGTGCACACATCAAACCCACAATGTGGACAGACATCTCACCTTAACCTTGCTGTTTATAAACTGATAGAGCTGTGGAATGACTGCTTTATGATGAGTGGAATTGCAGGTGGTTGGGGAAGATTATGCCACTGGACAGGGATTATATCAGACTTAACAGACCATAATAATGATTGGTGGAGCCTCTTCCTGGTTAGGCAGGAGTTGCCTGCTGCTGACACTTGCTGCGCAAGAATAGCAGCTTTGGGATTTTTTAAAGGTAATTTTTACTTACCCGAACCTGTCCCAGACAGGCAAATCCTGCCTCCTTCTTCTTGCCGGCCCTCTACTGCTCCTGGTGCTTCAGCAGCCAGGAGCTGAAGTTACTGCTGCACTCTTGCACACGCGCCCAGGATCCTCCATAGATAGTTAACTTCTCTGCAGGACTGGGGGGAATAACACAGCTTCACGGTGGTAGCTCTGCCCAGTGTCAGGAGTAGGAAAAGTACTGAGCTGAGACAAATTAGCCCCTACTTCGTTTCAGTATAACTTTCGCAGAGCAAATTGAATTAGCCAGCATTCACAAACACTGGTTGTGCTATATTTATGGGTGTGTAAGTATATATTACACACACACAAAGATTTATATGTGAGGATAAGTGTTCAAATATAGTTGTGTACTAGTGATACCGTACCTGTTAACTATTTAGTGTGAAAACTAATAAGTACTTTTCTTATTGTGCTTTTAGCTTGGCACGAGTTGGGAAGGTTGGACCCATGATAGGTCAATATGTGGACTCACAGTGGAGTTTAGCCAGTTTCACCGTGCCTGCAGAGTCTGCTTGTATCTGTGCTTTTGGCAAGAACACATCAAAAAATGTGAATTCTGTCATAGGTGAGGCACATTTCTGATACTTTATTGTTCAAGCCTTTAAGTTGCTCTTGAATGCAAAAATCATGGAAGATTTTAATTAATTATTTTCTTTATTCCTCAGCCGTCTGCGTAGATGGAACTTTTCATAAGTATGTCTTCACCCCAGAAGGAAACTGCAATCGAGAAGCTTTTGATGTTTATCTGGATATATGTGACGATGATATCTTCTAAAATGCTCCAACACAGACTGTGCATGACATGATGGTGCCTCATCCTATGTAGAAAGCCATACGATAAACAGCTTGAGAGCATTTTGTAGATATTAATGTTACAAGTTGGACAGTCCTCCCTTGAGAAAATTGCTGCACTGTGTTTTATTACTGTATATAGACATATTGTTAAATTAGCATATACTTTGTGATCTTCATCTACTTTTAACGTTGGTAAATAAGCCTAAGGGACTCTAGGCTGTAGTTTCAGTATTACACAGAAACTGGTATTATTCCTAGAAGTAAATATTTGCCTACAGCCCATATTTGCGTTAGCCATTCAGCATTAGCCTGAGATGTCTTCTTAATCAATTCCACCACAGTCTGAATAGAAAGGGGAGGAAATGTGGATAACAAACATTGCAGCCATTTTTCAAATCATGTTTGGTTTATTTAAAGTGGGATTGTCACTAGGTGGAAATGACAAATCACTTTTACCTCAAACAGCTGCTGAGGCTATTATTGGAATACATAGCATAGGAGAGGTAAGTAAAATGCTGAATTACCAATAGTGCACTTCCATTTCAGGATGAGATGGTCCCCTGATGCTTCTGGCCTGTGCAAAGAAATGCTGTGGGGATATGTGTGTGTGTCTGTCTGTGGGGGGTGGAGGTGTTTAAATGAATGTAAATGGCATGCTCCGGCTGGGCCAGGACAGCCAGTTTTTATGAAGTAAAGACTACCATGATTTATAAAAAAAAAAAGTAAAACAACTCAACCAAAAGTCTACTTTTTATTATCGAACTGTGACAGTTCCACTTTAAACATCTGCTGGTCATGATTAATTACTATTGCCAGAGTTACTCAATAAACTGCGAATTGCAAATTAAAACCAACTGACAAAATTCAGGCTGTCACACCAGAAGACTTGGATAATTTTTTTAGCAACTATTTTAGCCTACATTTTGCCATTTTGGTATTACATATTTACATATTGGAGTTGAACATTATTCATTTTCAGCTAGGTAAGAAAAAGAATATAATTTGGCCATAGGTTAAAAATGTTTCAGGTTTTGATAACCATTTTGCTTGGACCAGAACAGTAGAGGGCTTGTTAAAGTTTGAAACATCCCAAAGCTCTGTCCTAGTAGGTGTCGGAGTAGGGATGATAATAAACTGAGAACCTATGAGTTCAAGAACACATTTTAAGGTTTGTCCTGGTATCAGCAGTGGCCAGGCTGAGAACTCAATGTGTCTTTTGGAAAGGTTGTCCTGCTTCTCATGTGAATAGATACTGTTTGTACAACATTATTAACAATGCTGAGAAATCTCTTTAAAAAGTGGAGTGTAAATAAAAAAAAATTCTGAATATGAATTATTGGCTCTGTTATCTATGTTTGGCTAATACATGTGACTGTAAACCTTCATCACTCCAGATGCTGTAGACTACATCTCCCCTAATGCTTTGCCTGCATTATGGCTGTATGAGTAGATCATTATGGGAGATGTAATCTACAACATCTTGAGTGCTAATGTTTGCCTTCCCCTGGTGTAAATCAAGGTGATGTGTTTAACGAAGGACAGGTGAAGTCTCTCCACAAATTTCTACTGACTTGCTACAACAGACATAAGTCATGTGTATCACAACAAACATTACACTTAAAGGGAAAATGGTCTTATTTTATATTTATTGTACAAAGGAGTTTGGGTTGAGGAGCTTATTGGCCATGTGGCTCAGCCGTGGGAATTAGGAGCCTTCACCTACTGAGGCAGGCGTAGAAACAAGTAGCCGATTATGCGCTTACGTGGCTGATATGCCCAAAAATAGAGGGATTTCTGTGGTTAGGCTAATACTTGGTAAGGTATTGGAAGCAAGTGGTAGTGCTTGAGAAAGGCGCAAAGCAGGTAGCCGGTAGCTGGCTCAGCGTTACCATGTGGGGGGAGTAGTTAAGGGTAGTGCTCATTGACCCATGAGCACCAATGAAGGGGTGGGGGTGAGGGAGGATGTAGTCGGTCTGACTGTCCATTAAGGACTGGTTTAAAAGCAGCTGCAAATTATAGAAGTGATATAACTTGAACAAACAAATAAAAAAACTAAAATGTAATTTCAAGTCTATTGGCACACTTCTCTGCAAGTGGGTCAAATTGAGCACAAGTCCACTGGTGGTGTTTCAGCCTGTATCAGCCTCAGAGCGCGGTACAAAGGGGACTATATTGGGTAGTGTCCAGGGGTGTTGGTTTTGCGCCTGTCTAGCCCCAGGCTGCGGAGGAAAGGGTCAGATTCTTCATCCAATGAGAGTCGGCAGGTGGTCTCTCCCTGGGTGGCCACGAGTGTGCATGATGGGCCCCATCTGTACTGGATATTAGCTTCTCGGAGGGTCCTAGTGACCCGGCTGACTGAGCGTCTCCATTCCAGTGTGGCCCTGCAGAGATCATGCAGAAAGGGGAGTTGTGATTTTTCGAATGGGAACAGACATTTGTTCTTGAGTGCATCCTTCACTGCATGTTTATCTCAGAGGGACAGGAATCGAAGGAGGACATTGCGTGGTGTGCCTGCCGGTGCCCTGGGAGACTTGGGCACCCTGTGTGATCTGCCCACTTGTATAGTCTTCACCTGCTTGGGATGCAGAATCGCCGACAGAAGGTGCCGGATGACGTGGGGTAGCTCCGTGTCATTAACCGTTTCGGCGATACCTCTGATTTTTATGTTGGTGAGTCTCCTGGCATCTTCCATTGAATCCAGTTGTTGTATTTGTTCCGTTGCGCCTGACTGGCGTTGTGCTATGGAGGAGTTATTGACAGGGCACTGCTGAATTTTGGTTTGTATTGTTATTTTCCCCGACTTCAGTCCAGAGCACTGCAGACATGCGACTGCTCTCAGTGATGGTCAGGCCACGCCCCCACCCATGGCAATCTAATGTCTTTCACAGTCAGACGTTTAGTTTATCCAACCAAAACAGTGAAGGTAATCAAAACCTATTAAGCATTACTAAATGCTGACATTATCCATAAGCGCAGAGCATCTCAAAATGCATCCTGGGAAAGTGTAAGACCTTTAAATTGTGCACTGTTTTAGCAAATACATGCTGCTTGTGACCTAACAGGTAAAGATGGCTGCCCCCATGGAGCAAATGTAAGTAAGGAGATGCACTGAAACAATTAACTTAGTGTTAGTTACAAAACACTAGACATGAGGCTCGAATTAGGCTAGATTGCATTTAAACTTTAAGTATTGTAGTGCTTCAACTTCCTTGAACAATAGGTGGAGTGTAAATACTATTTTATGGATATATGGACCAGTTTTATTATTAAGGCCATCTATGAGCGACTGAAATTTCTGGATCAGCAGCAAAGTGGGCTTGGATGGATCCTTATTGTGGGGATTACCAGGAGACTTTGAAGACAAGGCTCACTAATGAAAATATATATATGAAGCATCTTGATGTTTGTTTTCTATGTGGAATCTGATTTATTTTTGCACTTGAAGGCTTACACCTCCAGCAAAAAATCACTGAAGTGTTTATGATGCTTGGAGTAACCTTTTTACACGCTTAGCACCAAAATAACTTTAGCTTAAGTGGTTTTGGTGTATGTATAGATCATGTCCCTGCAGTCTTACTGCTCAAGTCCCTGTCATTTAGAAGTTAAATCACTTTGTTTATGCCGACCTAGCCATACATTTCCAGGTATGACTAGGGCAGCACAGTGTGTTTAATTTTAAAATTTGTATCTCTGCGCTATTAATTGCCTGCTATAGACTACAGCAGCCTCCAGTGTATGATTAAAGTTCAGTCTGTCTAACACTGACGAGGAGATGAGAACAAAGAAATTAAACACAAATGTAACATTGATTGAAAACAGCGGCACTTGTAATATATAAACAATATATATTTAAACACTGGAAATATAACAGGGCACTGATTTTACCCCAATGCCGATTACCAGCAATGGAGAAATCCCACTAAAAGTTCTCTGTGAGAAAGCAGAGGATACTATTTCAAGTTTCAATCTCAAGATGGTGAATGGATCCAGGTTAAAGTTTGTCTTTTTCTAATTGCGATTTCACTTACGGATTGGTCTCTTATTCCTATTTTCAAGAGTTTAAGAGTCTATTAAGCAGGAATGGCCAAAAAGGTTGACAGCAGGTGTAATTCTATGAAGTTTTGCCAGCATAGAATTAATAACTTGCAAGGGTAAACATCGCTGATAACATTCAAAGGTTCACTTGAGCATAATTAGAAGAAAAACCTAGCTTGAATCCAAAAGAACCAGTGAATCTGCGCAGAGGAAGACATAAGACAGTGATAGTTGTGGAAGTAGTCAGGTATCCTCCGTGGGAGGGCCAAATCTGTCCATTGTCTGTATCACAAGTGAAAGATGTTCAAGAAAGGAGCTGATGGACACACGTAGTATACGTGCTTCATCTGCTTGCCAGTGCCTGCGAAAGAGTCACAGCATTAATGAAACATCAGCTAATCAGAAATATGTTAACACTTTATGTACAGAATAAAATACAGGCATTCCTACTATGATAGGAGACTTACCATTCATTGAAGCTCTGCAAACACAATCATCCGAGCTCTTAATTGAACCCCTCCCAAATTGCACAGGGGAAATGCCTGTAGAATTTGTTGTGCTATATGTGGGCACCCACTACAAGTTTCCAAGGGTCAGTCTAGGTACCATAACCACTACCGCCTACTTGTGATTATAGTAACAGGAGTTACTATAACTCATGAAAATCACAGTGAGAGCACGCAAGCGTCCATAGGAAAGCATTGTAAATGCTTTCCTATGCGACCGGCTGAATGCGCGCGCGGCTCCTGCCGCGCATGCGCATTCAGCCGATGACGTCGCGAGCAAGGAGGAGAGGAGGAGTACAGCTCCCCGCTCGGCGCTGGAGAAAGGTAAGTGTTTAACCCCTTCCTCTCTCCAGAGCCCGGCGGGAGCACCCTCAGGGCACTATAGTGCCAGTAAAACGAGTATGTTTTCCTGGCACTATAGTGGTCCTTTAATTTTGAATATTTAAAGGACCACTCTAGGCACCCAGACCACTTCAGCTTAATGAAGTGGTCTGGGTACCTGGTCCAGCTAGGGTTAACCCATTTTTTCATAAACATAGCAGTTTCAGAGAAACTGCTATATTTATGAATGGGTTAAACCTTCCTCCTATTCCTCTAGTGGCTGTCTCATTGACAGCCACTAGAGGCGCTTGCGTGCTTCTCACTGTGATTTTCACAGTGAGAGCACGCCAGCGTCCATAGGAAAGCATTATGAATGCTTTCCTATGTGACCGGCTGAATGCGCGCGCAGCTCTTGCCGCGCGTGCGCATTCTGCCCAGGAGGAGGAACGGAGGAGGATTGGAGGAGGAGAGCTCCCCGCCCAGCGCTGGAAAAAGGTAAGTTTAAACCCCTTTCCCCCTTCCAGAGCCGGGCGGGAGGGGGTCCCTGAGGGTGGGGGCACCCTCAGGGCACTATAGTGCCAGGAAAACGAGTATGTTTTCCTGGCAGTATAGTGGTCCTTTAAAGGAACAGTATAGTGTCAGGAATACAAACATGCATTCAGGACACTATAGGTGTAAATAGTTGTTTTAGGCTACCAGCCCACCATTACTTCAAGTTAAATAGGTCGTTTACTCACCTTTTTCCAGCGCTGTGCGGGTCTGGTCGCGGCTGGCCCCGCCAACTCTCCGCCCCCTTGGCTGAGATCAAAATTGTGGAGACCTTGAATGTCAGTGATGCATGTTGTGCAGCACTGACACAGAAAGCACCCCAAGTGGCAGTCTGAGTGACTGCCACTGGAGGTGTTCCAAGGCAGTAAGGTAAACACTGCCTTTTCTCTAAAAAAAACTACTCCACTGGACATGTGACAAGTTTTTTTTACCCCTGAGGAAGTTCGGTCCAAACCGAACGAAATGCATATATTTTTTTTTTTTTACTCAATACATTTGTATTTGGACAAAAAGGGAGGAAGTTTTATCTCAATTATAGAAGACAGCCGCTATCTCCATCAATTTGGGACTTCAAATGTGCATACCATCTTTACTGATCATGTAAGTGCAATTTTATTAAAGAGCAATATTTTTTTAGCAGTCTTGCACTATTATCGTTACTTCCTTTCCTACAATTCCTTTAAAATGTGCTGAAGACAATGGTATATGATATGACTGCAATCAAACATTGTTTGTGAGTGCAATAATTACCTATTGAATTTATGGTATACATACAATACTACCTGTGACGAAGTGCCCTTCGCCGCTTGTGCCTGGAGAGGACTAATTACCAGCCTCTTGACGTATGACTATGGTCCCTGGGAGATTTTGCCAGTTAGAAACACCATTTGGACTTTTTGGTGTTTTAAAGACTGTTCCCTTTAAAATGGTACTGGCACAGTTCTGCAAGTTCCAATAACGTGTCCGCCTGTATGCCTGTATGTCTGTGTGCTTGTCTGTTTGTATGTATGTGCGTCTTGCCTGTTTGTATGTATGTGCGTCTTGCCTGTTTGTATGTATGTGCGTCTTGCCTGTTTGTATGTATGTGCGTCTTGCGTGCGTCTGCCTGTATGTATGTGTGCTTGTCTGTTTGTATGTGCGTCTTGCGTGCGTCTGCCTGTATGCTTTTCTGTTTGTATGTATGTGCGTCTTGCGTGCGTCTGCCTGTATGTCTGTGTGCTTGTCTGTTTGTATGTATGTGCGTCTTGCGTGTGTCTGCCTGTCTGTATGTATGTGCGTCTTGCGTGCGTGTCTGCCAGTATGTATGTGTGCGCTTGTCTGCCAGTATGTATGTGCGTCTTGTGTGTGTGTGTCTGTATGTATGTGCGTCTTGTGTGTGTGTGTCTATGTATGTGCGTCTGTGTGTGTGTGTGTGTGTGTATGTGCGTCTTGTGTGTGTGTGTCTGTATATATGTGCGCTGTGTGTGTGTGTCTGTGTGTATGTCTGTGTGTGTGTGTGTGTGTGTGTATGTGCGTGTGTGTGTGTGTCTGTGTGTATGTGCGCCTTGTGTGTGTGTGGTGTGTATGTATGTATCTGTGTGTGTGTGTATGTATGTATGTGCTGTGTGTGTGTGTGTGTATGTATGTGCGCCTTGTGTGTGTGTGTGTCTGTGTGTGTGTGTGTATGTATCTGTGTGTGTGTGTGTGTGTGTATGTCGTCTTGTGTGTGTGTGTGTATGTGTGTGTGTGTGTGTGTGTGTGTGTATCTGTGTGTGTGTGTATGTATGTGCGCCTTGTGTGTGTGTGTATGTATGTGGCCTGTGTGTGTGTGTGTGTATGTATGTGTGTGTGTGTGTATGTATGTCTGTGTGTGTGTGTGTATGTATGTGCGTCTTGTGTGTGTGTGTATGTATGTGCGTCTTGTGTATGTATGTGCGTCTTGTGTGTATGTATGTATGTGCGTCTTGTGTGTGTGTGTATATGTATGTGCGTCTTGTGTGTGTATGTATGTGCGTCTTGTGTGTGTGTGTATGTATGTGCGTCTTGTATGTGTCTGTATGTATATGTGTCTGTATGTATGTATGTATGTATGTGCGTCTTGTATGTGTCTGTATGTATGTGCGTCTTGTGTGTGTATTTGTCTGTGTGTATGTATGTGCGTCTTGTATGTGTCTGTATGTATGTGCGTCTTGTGTGTGTATTTGTCTGTATGTATGTGTCACTGTCTGTGTGTGTATGTATATATGTGTGCCTGTCTGTGTGTATGTCTGTGTCTGTACGTGTCTGTGTGTGTGTCGGTGGGGGGGGGCCCACGGATCAGTTTCGCACCAGGGTCCTATGAATTGTGTGTACGCCACTGAATTCTGGTGATGGTTGCAAGGCCCTTGATGGCTTCAACCCGTCCCAATGTCAATCACTTCCACAAAGCATGAGACTTGGCAGTGTTTCCGTTTTCATTGCCAATATGGGCACTGTGAGGGGCAGAAGAGCCGGGCTTGCCGTGCACTCTCTCCACACGTACAAAGTGCGATAGCAATTGTGAATTCTGAGAATGAGGGGGGCAGAGCTAACAGATATGTTATTGTAAGCTCCATATTTAAAAACACTTCATTCAGTCTAATTTCCCCAGAATTTAACCACTTCACTGACACCATACTACACTTAACCATCAATGGGGAAAAGATCCAGGAAAAACAAGCCAGTGCCTGGGTCTGGCATCTAGCATGGCAGCTCTGCTCAACCAGAAGGAGGACTCACTGGATACCCTAAATTACATCACCAGCAAAGGAAGCCTGCATCATCACTTTCTCGGATAAGTACTCCAACACACCGGGAATAGGAAAGTTATATTTAACTATAAATCATTTTTACTTAAAAGAACACTCCAGGGACCAACTTCACCAACCAATGTCAGTGTAATAAAGTTGCTATGGTGCCAGGAGGTTCCTGGCATCAGTTTACTTTTTGGGCTTACACCATTCACAAACAGTTTATCCACAAAGATTTCTCTGCAGTGTAATTTACCTCTGCCCCTGTTCTTCCACTTCACACAGAAGGCCTCTGAGGGCCGCAGACAGGGGTGCCAGCTGACACACTAAGCAAAAACAGCTTGAGAAAAATTACATACGTTCCAAAAGTCATTTTGTGAATGGGGAGTACTTATTGGCTCAGAACATCAGCAGCTAGAGGCTTCCTGTTTGAAGCAAAACAATCATTAAAGTACTAAATAACTAAGTTAAGAAACTACAACCAAAGTTAATAAATAAAACGTGTGTACATGTAATAGGAAGTATGGAGAAAAACTTACACTTGAAGGATGTTGTCTGCAACAGTCAGTGTTTTGCTTACACCTCCCTTTCTGGGCTCTGCATCTGGGCACAAAGTGTCATGAGCAATCTGTGCCTCCCTGTGGCAAGGGAACGGCACTCTGAGCGAACTATATGCCAAATGTTATGGAATAACAAACACTTAAAGGGACATTTTACACACATAATGCACATTAGCTTGCTAAAGAGCTTTATATGTGAGGACCATCTCCTCGTAATCGCAGTTGATAGAAGTGCTGATTTCTATATGAAACTGGCAGTTTTATAACTAATTTCAGGAACACCTGGCTGTTAGACAGCTGGGAGTTTGTATTCCCAATTCTTTTAGCTTTCTGCTACAAGGTGCCTGCATTCTCTTCCAGTACAAGTGCCTCTCAGCGTGCGCTTACACTGATCTGTCCAGCAGACTCCCTGGCCTTCAGCCTGAAGAACATAAGGTGGAGCTGCATGCGCAGTAGTGGTTCAAAATCAGAGGGCACAGCAAGCCACTGACTGATCATTGGCCACACAGGTGAGGGACTGCATAAGCTACACACAGGGCTGCAGCTTTAAGCAGTTTCTAGATTTACACTCCCCAAAAAATAAACTGTTAGAGCACTATAGCATTTGGAATACACACCTGTGTTCCTTACACCATAGTGTTCTCCTCTACTATAAGTTTTAGGACCCTCCCCCCCCAAACTCTAAATGGCGTGGGAGATTTTACTCACCATTTCTTTGAGCGCCAAGATCCAATCCCTGCAAGCGCTCATTCAACCTTCTGCAAAGTCACACCGACTTTTCTGTTTCATTCAAACCAACGCTCCTCATAGAGCAAACCACAATGCTCTACATTGCAGGTTTAAAACCATAAACACGTATAATGCCTACAGCATTCCTTTAAGGGCCACTCCTCGCACATAAAAGTTTTTTACACCATCCATATTTTTTTCCTGGATACCTAAATTTATTCTGATAGGAATGAAAATGGAACCCAATAGCTGCCCTGCAACATACCATTTATATAATGCAGTTATGAAATTAACTAAGGTGAAGTTGCAAAGTTACTGCCACAATTAGATAAAACATTGTGGGTGTAACAGTCTGACTTATTATGCTTGTTTGATGATATCATTTTTTTTTTTTTTTTTTCTGCAAACAGACACAAACAAGCACCCAAGCTGCTACTGTGTCAATCAGGCCATACTAGGTAGGGACCATGCAATAGCATAATATAACATCAATAATAACCCATGTCCTATCTTCAGTAATAGCTAAGTAACTTGGCTACCTTCCCCCATGCTACTCTGCTAACCATGGCAGGCTGAGCATGATGAGAGGCAGCCTCCACAACTGCTGAAATGCCATAAAGAGAATCTAAGCTATCCATGTTCTATGATGTAAATACCCCATTCTTCACCCATTTACAAATCCCTTAATGCTAAAAGCAAAGGATACAAGTGAAGAGCTGGCAGCGCCATGATGACTGTGGGCAACGGCGGCTTCACCAGAGAGGGTAGAGCAGCTCAGACTGACGCCTCGTGTCTGCTGGTTCGCAAGCTTACTCTATCATACGAGGCTGATCTAGCTGCCTTGGAGGACCCAACTCTATGGTATTCTCTACATTAAAAAATATAAATCACAATGGAAGCCTAGAAAAAGTGTGACCTGTCCAGGGCACTTTGTATTAAAGAAAATACATATAAATCTAGTTTATTAATAAATATATTATTTCTCCTCATATTGTATTATATCTGTATTATGTATTTTTTTTTTTAAATTGTTGTGTTTTTTTGCAGCAGCAGCAATCCTAAAATCATTAGTCCAATGTCTTTTTAAAATAATGCAAACTTGTTCAAAAGCATATATGCATACCTGTCAAGTGTCCCTATTTAGGAGGGACAGTCCCTATTTTGGGCTCAAATCTCTCTGTCCCTCTTTTCTAGGAGCTCCATATTGTTGGTGTGTCTGACTGTATAACAGAGCTTCAATGTGTGTTTAACCCCTTAAGGACACATGACATGTGTGACATGTCATGATCCCCTTTTATTCCAGAAGTTTGGCCCTTAAGGGGTTAAAGGAACACTATGGTATTCCTGACACTCTAGGTCTAAATAGCTGTTTTGCCCACTGCATAACCCTTACCTTCGGTTAAAAAAGTAATATTACTCCTTTATATAGATAGATAGATTTTACAGCTTTATATAGATAATACTGAAGTGAAACCTTCACATTATATTATCTGCAACAGAGTAACCGGGTTTTGTGTCATCATTGTCATCCAAACTCGAATGAAGTTACCTGATCTCTAGGGAAACCACATGCACACAACTAAAGAGGACTATTTGGCAAGGTCCCGCAAACTAAAGTTTAAGGCGTACTCCACGCAGCACGACCATTTCAGTGATTTGAAGTGGTTATGGTGCCTGGAGTCTGTGTGTGCAGTGTTTCGTATTGAGTTTAACCTCTCTGCTGCCAGGGGTGTAACTCCACCTGCGGCAGAGTCACTGGTGCGTGACAAGAGTCCATACTGGCTAATGTCAATTCTATGCATATTTCTATGCGGTCAGTTGACGCTCTCAGCACATTAACGGCGATTCGATAAGCATCCAACTTCTACAGAATTGCTCGTCACCAGAGCAATAAGGAACCTGAGCGCCAAGCGGAGACCTATGTAAGAGAGCAGGCGTTTTTTTCACAAGTAACCAAAGTTAGCACAACACTGGAGATTTTGATGTAAAACCTCTTTAAAACATCTGACGAAAACAGGAGAGACTGCATACAAGCTCTTTACACTTGTTAACTGCAACAATAAGCTGTAGTGGTTATGGTATTTAGAGGATCCCACAACATCCATGAAGTCAAATTTCCCCCATCTAATAGGAGTAAACCCACGTGACTTTCTATGCTGTCCTTCACATGCAGACTGCAAGGAAGCTACCATCTGGCTAAACAGGGGTGTGTGGCTTCACATAATTAAACTAGATTTTAACATTTCCAGTGTAAAGATTCAATGATTTTAAAACTGACACATATATATGTGCTGGAAAAAAATATATTTGTCTGGGAGAGAGCGTCATACCAGCCTTAGGATACTCAAAAAAAAACAATAAAGGTATCTGCTCCCCTCTCCACTGTGTATATCTATTGAAGGAAGTACTGAATGGTACAGTCCGTTGCCATAGACACGGGAGTGTTGCTAAGACTCTGGGATACTAACTAGCAGGTCAGTGCTGTCTATGTGCAGATTAATGTGTTCTAGATTCATATTGTAATTATTATACAGTGATACTAATACTCTGTGACATTATTTCTGAGTATTAGAGCAATTCATTACAGATGCAGTTGTTGGTGGACTACCATTCTCATCATGCCCAGGCAGCCATCACTGTCCCAGAGTTAATTGTAATTACCCATCTTTACAGTCCTGTTCTATTAGTGACTTGTGGGACATTTAGCACATTTGGAAAACTTAGCCCAGAATTACTGTTGTATTACTATCAATTGTGTTAATAAATGTTAAATCACTATTATTATTATTATTGCCATTTATACAGCGCCAACAGATTCCGTAGCGCTTTACAATATTATGAGAGGGGGGATATAAATAGGACAATTACAAGAAAACTTACAGGAACGATAGGTTGAAGAGAACCCTGCTCAAACGAGCTTACATTCTATAGGTTGTAACATTTTATTATTATTATTATTATTATTATTGTATTATTATTTTTTTTGCAAAGCTGCAACAGGTGGCAAATTACATTTAGTAAATAAGCTCCCAGTGAAGGTGAGTCCTTCGGACTGGTTTATTCACTAAACAGTGAGTTCTGGTGGACTTTAAGTGGCCAAATAGTGAGGGTAAATTTTGCAGCTGTTTGTAAGTCAATACCTCAATACCACAAACTGGAGCTTATTCACTAAACCGCTATTTTTGGAGCTCAAGAATGAATGAATCGGAAAATGTAAGCCAAAATGGGAAACGTTCTACAATTCACCTATAGACACAGCTTGGCTATTTTAGCATATTTTACATTTCCGTTTTAAGTTCACTACAATTTGATGAATAAATTCCAATGCGGTTTACCTCTCTCAGTGTTATTCATTAAAGGGTGAATGTCAATGGAATTTTAAATTTGAGGTCAAACTGGCCAAACTGAAAAATTCGCTAAGTCAAAGATGCTTTCAATTCACCCTACTCTTACCTAAAATTTAAAATGTAAAATTCCTTTAAACTGACCTTGAATTCTCTTTTTAATAAATAACCCTGTTACTGTCTACATTCTTTGCCTGTAGGTACCATATTTTTTTTAATATAGGACACAGTAAAATTTGGGGTAAAAACTGCCTGTATACTATATGCCAAGTGCAGCCTATATATATATATATATATATATATATATATATATATATACACACCGTATTTTCCGGCGTATAAGACGACTGGGCGTATAAGACGACCCCCAACTTTTCCAGTTAAAATATAGAGTTTGGGATATACTCGCCGTATAAGACTACTCCTCTTCCAATGCACACCAAATAAAAATTAGCCATGATGTACAGTGAGCAGACAGAGCTACACAGCAAGACATTAAATAATGATAATCTGAAATAGCATTTAAAGCCCAGGTATGTGCCAGGCTGTTTGGGCATATAATCCATGCCTGCTTGTCTAGCACACAGGAGGCTAATTGCGATATATTCTTTTTACTCCCCCCCCTCCATTCTTTTTACTCCCCCCTCCATTCTTTTTACTCCCCCCCTCCATTTTTTTTACTCCCCCCTCCATTCTTTTTACTCCACCCCAATCCTCCCTACATTCTTCTCACCTCCCCTTCCCTGTACAGAGTGGGTGGCCGAGCTCCTCTTCGTCCTGTCAGTCCGGCCGGGTACCGCGCGGTACAGGAGATTCAGTTACCTGTTCCCGGCCGGACTGAAAGGAAGTGAGCACACAGTGTGCACTTCCTTTCAGTCCGGCCGGGAACAGGTAACTGAATCTCCTGTACCGCGCGGTAACTGGCCAGGCTGACAGGACGAAGAGGAGCCCGGCCACCCACTCTGCACAGGGAAGGGGAGGTGAGAAGAGAGGCAGTGCGGCAGCCGTCTGAGCGCTCTCTATAGAGCGCTCAGGCGGCTGCAGCATTAGAAGGGCTGGCGATGGGGGCGAAGGGCGCCCCCGGCAGCCATATAGACCCTATACATGGCGTATAAGACGACCCATCGACTTTGGAGAAGATTTTCCAGGGTTAAAAAGTCATCTTATACGCTAGAAAATACAGTATATAGTTATGCCACTCCTCAAAAAACCACCAGAGAATTCTGTGTCTCCCTTCCTGGTAAGAGTCAGGAAGGGAGAACTAACATTAAATAATATAAAATAATAATATAAAATAGCCTTTTTCTTTTTTTTTACTGCCCATACATCACAGCCACTACCCCACCCCATACAGCATCCACTATACACACAGTGCATCATCTACATCCCCTATACACACACACCATATGCACTATACACACACTACATCCTCTATAAACACTACATCTCCTATACCACAGGAACTAAACACACAGACACTAGATTATTTACACACACTGCATCCACAATGCACGTACACTGTGTCCCCTACACACACTGCATCTACTAAATACACAGACATGGTATCCACTATACACACTACATCCCCTACACACACTGAATTGTGTACACACACACACAGACACACACTACATCCCCCACACACATACACTACATTCCCTAAATACACTCCACATCGCACACACACACACGCACACACAGTTTACTGTAGTTTTGGTAAAGGTTATTTTATATATTTTTCCTAATATATATTCCAAAACGAGTATATGTTTAAAGGACCACTATAGTGCCAGGAAAACATACTCGTTTTCCTGGCACTATAGTGCCCTGAGGGTGCCCCCACCCTCAGGGTCCCCCTCCCGCCCGGCTCTGGAAGGGGGAAAAGGGGTTAAACTTACCTTTTCCAGCGCTGGGCGGGGAGGCTCTCCCTCCTCCGATCCTCCTCCGTTCCTCCTCCTGGGCTGAATGCTTGCAGCGGCAAAGTTGCTTGGCGCATTCAGCCGTCTATAGAAAGCATTCATAATGCTTTCCTATGGAACGCTTAACGTGCTCTCACTGTGAAAATCACGGTGAGAAGCACGCAAGCGCCTCTAGTGGCTGTCAATGAGACAGCCACTAGAGGATTAGGGGAAGGCTTAACCCATTAATAAACATAGCAGTTTCTCTGAAACTGCTATGTTTATTAAAAAATGGGTTAACCCTAGCTGGACCAGGCACCCAGACCACTTCATTAAGCTGAAGTGGTCTGGGTGCCTAGAGTGGTCCTTTAAGCTTTTGTGTTTAACCTGCATGCACTTTCTCTTTGTAGACATGTATAAGCTGGACTTGCCACTAGATCCAAAGGAAGTTTCGGCCATTGAACGGAGGAGAAACAAAGAGCAACAAAGGCAAAGTCGCATCTTCAATGCCAAAGTTAGGACCATTGGGGTATGTCTTCTTTATAATCCATTACTCCCTGCCCTGCCCAGCATGCCAGACTGTGTAGTATGCTCTAAGTGTCTTCATGTGTTTTTGATTCAGGTTGACTTACCTGCGCTAGAAAAACAAGTAGAAGAAAGAAAGATAAATGAAAGCACTGAAAAAGCTCGGGATGAGGCATTTGGTAAGCCAATAATTATGCAATATAATGATAATTTATTTTAATATATTGCTTTTCTCGCCAGTGGGAACCAATCACTTTAGATGATGCTGGAGAGCAACCTTTGGATGTAAACCAAATGAGTTAACAACTTCGGGTAAAAAAGCAGCAGAAACCTCTGGGCACCATAACAACTTTATTTATATGATGTTCTTATGGTGGCCATACAGTTCCTTCAACTTAATCAAGAACTGTTGCAACAGCCAACGTAATGGAACTTTTTTGTAATGTATGCCTCACTGGCAATTATTAGTTATAAGTATACAAAAAGAACTTGGAGAATCTGCACATTTTCAGTGATACATAAGACGTTAAGAATAATTCACAAGGAGGCATCGTCAGAGAAGAAGGCTGTCTGAGGTCAATAAATTACAAGTAGGTAAAGTCTTACAGTAGATTTGGATTTCATTATAGAAGCGTTCTAAGTATTGTAAACACTACAGCTTTTTCAGTTGATATGGTGCAGTGATTCAATTGATGCCACAATTATTTTGGAATCCAGGATTCTTGCCAATGCCCTATCCTGGCCCCTCTGCAGCTGCACTCATAATTGTGTTTCCAGGTCTCATCTCGTTTTTTTATGTGAATGGAATAACACTCATGGTAGGGATATAAGTGACTACTGTAAATCAGGGTCCAGTTCTTGTCTTCACACTTCCTTTTGGTGAGGAACCAGAGGGTGGAGCTAATCTTTTTTTTATTTTTTCCAAACATGCATCCTTCATCAGCGAAAGGTCAGATCCATGGCTGTTGCTCTGTACCAACGTAGTCCTTTCCAGCTGCTTACATTGTAGACCTACCTCTGATATACAATAATTAATTTGATTATATTATATCTGTAGATGCTGATAGGGTGCAGTATGATAAAATTGCTCAAATGCTGGAACAGAAGGAGCAGGAGGTAGCCCGGAACCTGGACCAAGCTGTACAGGAATTCAGGGAGAAATATCAGCAGCCTGAGACCCGCAGGGAGTTTGACATCTACGATCCTGAAGGCCTGAAGAAGGATCGTCCGGCACGTGTATGTGATGATGACCCCAGATGTGGGCCTGCCAGCCTGCAGAAATTTGCCGGAGAAGATCTGAGCGAGAAGGAACGAAAGAAATTGCAGGTGGAGATGACTAAAAAATATCTCTCTGAGCAGAAGGCGGAGAGACAGAGAGAACAAGCACAAAAGAAATATGCAGGTAAGTTCTATTCAGTATGTAGTTATATATTTGTTGCGATTATAGCAATCTACATCTGTGAAAGCTCATTCCAGTGGTTGTAAAGGATAAACATAATCAAGCACTAAAGCCCACTTTTATATCCCTGACGTATTTTCATGTAGCAGTTCACTTAGAAAGACAAAAAATAACATTTACACCTTGGTTTCTTCTCAAACCACAGGTCAGTGATTAAACTGGATGATATAGGATAGGGGCTATGCAACCTTCTGCACTCCAGATATTGTGGACTACATCTCCCGTGATACTTTGCCAATATTATGGCTGAAAAAGCATTATGGGAGATGTAGTCCACAACATCTGGTGTTCCAAAGGTTGCTTACCCCAATACAGGATAATAACATTAGTGAGAATACTCTATGATTGATGCACAATACCTGCACAACTCACTTCGGCCTCTGCTGTCTAAAAGGGTCAGTCTAATACTTGCATTACGTTTAGCAAAGAATGGCAGTTATAAATCATTGTGCTCAGGGGTTGGAGACCCCTTGTACCTATTGTTATGGTGCTATTAGTAGTCCTTTAATAAATAAACCATTCAATGATTGTTTCATAATTGAAATATTGTAAGTCTAGAATTGGTCACTTCTATGCATTTAAGAAAAACTATAGTGTTAGGAATACAAAGTGTTATACACTCCCCCCCCTCTCCTTCAACACATAAAAGGTTAAAAACCTTTCATTCGCTTACCCGATTTCAACGCTGATGTCCCTCGGTGCTGGGTCACACTCCACCTCCTCGGACTTCATCTGCTGGGTGGACCTAATGCGTATGCACAGCAAGTGCTGCACACGCATTACGCCTTCCACATAGGAAAGTATTGTTTCAATGCTTTCCTATTGGATTTTCTCTGGCTCTGGACGTCCTCATAAGTTTGAGGATGTCCAGCGTCTTTTCACGGAGTCAAACTCCATCAAACACCAGTAAGCGCCTCTAGTGGCTGTCTAGTAGACTGTCACTAGAGGCAGTCTTAGTACTTCAATGTAAACATTGCAATTTCTCTAAAACAAGGACTATTAAGCAGATGAAGTGGTCTGGTGGTTATTGTGTCCCTTTAATAGCTCTTGTTTGAATATGAAAGACACAGACAAGATATTTGAGCTTGAAAACATTAGGTGATTAAACCTTAACCCCTTAAGGACTTCTGGAATAAAAGGGAATCATGACATGTCACACATGTCATGTGTCCTTAAGGGGTTAATAGCTCCAGAGTTTTATAATAATCCTTGTACAAAAGGTAAAAAGTAACACTTCCTATCCATACAGATAATTTAGATTATAAGAAGAGGGTGGAACTGGATGAGAGAGCCCAGTACCTGAGCTTGATGGAAGAAGAATGCAGAAAAGCTATTGACATGGCCACTACAAATTTCAACCAAGCCCTGGTATGTCAAAATGTTATACACTGTGAGAAGTCTAGCAATTTATTATCACTCTCTGGAATTTTGCACAAGGTATAACTTTGTACAATTTTTAATTCTTGGTTCTGTTTCCCTAATCAAACAGGCATTGGAAGCAGAAGAACGCAAGAAATTGCTGAAGCAGCAGGAGCAGAACAATAATTTTGCTGAGATTTATAATAACCTGACTGGAGACATTTTGACAGAAGACCCAGCTGTAGCTATCAGTTGCCTTAGTCCACAGCGTGTACTACCTGATCGTTGGAAGGGGATGACCCCTGAGCAGCTCAGAGTTATCTGGGATGCACAGGAGAAGCAACGTCAAGAAAAGCAGGTAATGATTCAAGTTGCTGTTCCAGTACTTAAAGGGACACTATAGTCATCAGAACAACTACAGCTTATTGTATTTGTTCTGGTAATTATAATCATTCTCTTCAGGCTTTTTGCAGTAAGCACTGTCTTTTCCGAGAAAAGGAAGTGTTTACATTACAGCCTTGGGATACCTCCACTGGCCACTCCTCAGATGGTTGTTAGAGGTGCCTGCATGGAGACACTGAAATTTCCTTATAGAGATGCATTGATTCAATGCATCTCTATGAGGAGATGCTGATTGGCCAGGGCTGTATTTGAATCATGCTGGCTCTGCCCCTGATCTGCCTACTTGGCAATCTCAGCCAATCCAATGCTTTCCTATATGAAAGCATTGTGATTGGCTTAAAACAACACTTTTGATGAAGTCAGTCAAGGTCTAATGAAGTCAGAACGGGGCAGAGCCAGCAGCATCAGGCTGGAGTAAAGGTAAGATTTTACTATATTTAGGGGGGGCAGGGGGACTTTTCATGACATGTAGACTGAATGCTGTCAGACATTCTTTCATAATAAATTAATCTACCTAAGTACCTAAGTAGACTTACCCTGGAATGCGGCAATTCAATACAACATACTCATTTGTGCAAGGTATTTTGAATACAAGCTTGCAAGTTTTTAATGATATTCTGATGCATACATGGTACATAGGCTATATAAAAACACCCACAACTACCAGTAAATAGGTACTTGGATAAATTACTGGACTAGGCAGGCAAGTGGTCAGATTAGATTCAATACAGATAAATGCAAAGTTATGCATTTTAGAATAAGGAACCCACAAGCCACTCATACATTAAACGTGGTTGAGTTAGGGATAACATTAAATAAAAAGGACTTGGGAACAATTATACTAGGCAACAGTAGGCAATGCCGGTCTGCCATTGCAAACACTAGTAAGTGCTTTCACATATAAAAAGGAATTTTGATTTACATGATACAAATATAACTTTGGAGAAAAGAGAACAGATAAGGTAAGTTCCTTATATAAGGGCCTGACCCTGTCTGCTAAATAATGGTGAATGTTCCCAAAGGGAACCAAAATATTGGAATGACACTCTATAGAGTATAGAGTTATAAATAAATTAGATCAAGTCTCACAATAGATAAAATGTGCAGAATTAAAGTGTGATAAAGAATTTATCACACTTTAATTCTTCACATTTTATCTATTGTGAGATAATTTTCTTTTTATCTATTGTGAGATAACTTTCTTTATCACACTTTAATTCTGCACATTTTATCTATTGTGAGATTTGATCTAATTTATTTATAACTCTATACAGGAGTGTCATTACAATATTTTGGTTCCCTTTGGGAACATTCACCATTACAAATATAACTTTGCCTCTTTACAAATCAATGGTAAGACCCCACCTTGAATATGTGGTGCAATTTTGGGCACCAGTTTTAAAGAAGCATATTGCAGAACTAGGAAACAAGTAAGGGAGATAGAAAACATTAGTTATGAGAAAAGGCTAGACAAACTGCAATTATTTTCTTTAGAACAAGGCCCCTTAGAGGGGATACAAGGTCAGCAGAAAAAGCTATGTGCTACCCTGTTCATTAGCAGGAATCTATAACAGACAATAGACTGAAATGAAAAAAAATGTTTTACTTACAGCAGAGGAAATGGTTCTTTACAATAAGAAAAATAAAGATGTGGAATTCTCTGCCTTAAAAGGTTGTGTTGTCAGATTCTATAGCTAATTTAAAAAAAGGCCTGGATGCTATTTTGTAAAAACATAATATGCAAGGATATAATTGGTATGTATGCAAAAGGTTGTTGATCCAAAGATAAATCTGATTGTCATTATTGAGTCAAGAAAGCCTTCCCTCCCCTTTTTTTGTGGCATAATTCGATATGGCTACAACTGATTTCTTTGCCTTCTTTTGGATCAACAGCATAAAAGCTTTGTGATTGAACTGGATGGACTTTAGTCATTTTTCAATATAGATTACTATGTAACTATGTACTGGGAAAACAAATTTGGCTTTTTGCTTACCTTATGCCAGAGGTTAATTGAGGAAGAAAAGCAACGGGATTCAGAGTGGGACAAGCAGAGGATGCTGGCCGCACGAGCTGCTATGACAATGGAGCAACAGGAAGAAGAACTCAACAAAAATATGAGGAAGAGACTGGACTCGTACAACCAGCAGCTTAGCAGAGAGCAACAAGCACAGTGAGTACTACTGAAACCTTATAGCCCCGAGAGCAGGGTATTGGGTCAACACATTGATTCATGAACATGATGGTAGACTATAACCGTCTAATCTAAATAGCTTAAATTGTCTCTGTCCCCTGCCCCCTCCCCATCCAAAACGTGTATCTCAGAAAGATAAAATACATCTGAAATACTCACATTGACTATGTTGGAATTTCACTGAATTATACTAAGACAATACTAATATACTAAGACAAACTATTTTTATTCCAAGCTTAACAAAAAGCAGAACTACCTTTTTTAAGTCTAGTCAAGCACTTGTTGAGGATCCTGTTGTCTTGCGGGTTCTTCCGTAGACCTCGGTGTTTTACTCTTGTGCATGTAGAGGACCATCAGGAAGAAGATGGCGGTGGCCTCGAGGCACAGGTTCAGGTAAGTATGTAATTCTCCTTTCCCTCCACCACTTGTCCACTGCACTGTCAGGAGAGCAGTCGCCATCGGGGGTGTCTTTGCAATAAAGTAATGCTTATATGGTGACCTCTCCTCCCTTGACGACGTCAGCTCCAAATGTGCATGCGCGGCCAGAACTGCACGCGCATTCAAGCCACCCATAGGAAAGCATTACTTGCTTTCCTATGGACGTCCAGCATGAGTTCAATGCGATTTTCGCATTGAGGGTCGCGGAAGCGGCCTCAAGTGGCTGTCAGGGAAACAGCCACTAGAGGCTGAATTAACCCTTAATGTAGTGGTTTGGTGCCTATAGTGGTCCTTTAATGAACAGAATGACTGGCCCATCTTGGGGGGGACTTCAACGCCCCACTGGACCCCATTATGGACTCCTCAACAGGACACAGTAGCATCTCGCAACTCAACATATGCTCCATGAAGAGATCATTGGGGGATATGGACCTGGTGGATTGCTGGAGGACCCTACACCCCTCCACTAAAGACTTTTTACGTATTATTCAGCATTACATGATCGATACTCCCGCATCGATTATATCTTCATATCTCCTACAAATAGGCCTCCAACGACTGATCTCTGCCAAGTTAGACCCTGCAACGTGGTCGGATCATGGCTCGGTCATTGTAGAACTTGAATCGCCTCTCTTTCGGCCCTCCACGTGGTCATGGAGGCTAAATGAAGCCCTCCTTCTCGATCCTGAGACGCGAGCACAGATTACCCAAGCATTGGAACAGTACTTTCAGGATAATGACGTGCCGGATATGGGAAGCCCACAAGAGCGTCATCAGGGGCACACTTATCCAAATAGCCTCCCGAAAGAAAAAGGCAGCAGCGCATGAAATGGCAGATCTTTACAAATCTATTTCGGACCTGGAACAACGACACAAACGATCCCACCTGATGGAGACGTACGGGGAACTCATGCAGGCCAGGCGACAACTGAAAGATCTCCTCACAAAACGCTATCTCAGATCCCTACAACATTCCAAGGGGTTCTTCTATGCTCATGCCAACAAGGGAGGGAAATACCAGGCGCGTCTCCTGAAAGGAAATGCCCCCCGCACGCAGGTCCGCAACTTACACCTCTCGTCAGGCACCACGACGACCTTCCCGAACGAGATAGCGGGAGAATTCAGGAAATACTACCACTAACTTTATAATATACATGTAACTGATGGAAATGACGACTCAGACGCGGAGGAGGCCCGGACGCGGGACTACCTGCAAGAGTCTATCACGAGAACGATCAGCCCGGATCATGTAGAGATGCTGGACACCCTAATTTCTGTGGAGGAGCTCCTGGCAGCACTGAAGTCGGCCAAAACGGGTAAAACACCGGGCCCGGACAGCTTCTCCGTGGGGTATTATAAAACATTTTCCTCCATATTGCTACCATGGTTCACGAAGGTCATCAATGCAGTCGCTGAAGGGGGGAACTTCGGGGCAGAATCTCAGGCGGCTATAATAACTGTTCTACCGAAGCCTGGGAAGGACCCAATGGTAAGTGGCAGCTATCGCCCAATCTCCCTGCTGAATGTGGACACCAAACTGTTCACTAAGGCACTAGCGACTAGGCTCCGGTCCGTCCTACCGGCTCTCATACATGTGGACCAAACGGGATTTATACCCGGTCGAGAGGCACGAGATAGTACCCTGAGGGTATTTGTGATACAACATAGAGTGAGGATGACGCAGCAACAACTCCTCCTCCTTTCCACGAACGCCGAAAAGGCGTTCAACCGGGTGAGATGGTGATACATGTTTGCCACTCTCTGTAAAATGGGGGTTGGACAAAGACTCCTCATGTGGATCCGGGCGCTATACAGCAACCCACGGGCCGCGGTGCATGTGAACGGGGCACTCACCACTGAATTTGCGATCTCCAATGGCACAAGGTAGGGATGCCCACTGTCCCCATTGCTATTTGCCATGTCCCTGGAACCCCTGCTCCAACTATCAGGCAACATCCTGACGTTCGGGGGTATTCCTGGCAAGGGGATGAACACAAAGTAGCCGCATACGCGGACGATCTTTTATTTTTTATCACCTCACCCCGAACCACGATGCCCTGCCTGATGGAGGCACTTGAACAATTCGGTAAGATATCGGGTTTTAAACTTAACCTATCCAAGTGTGAGGTGCTTAACATCACCATCCCTGACGCAGAATACCGGGCTCTGGACTCCCTATTCCCTTTCTGATGGTGCCCCTGTAAAATGAGATATCTTGGGATTTGGATCACATCGGGTCCGGGAGAGCTTTACCCACAAAACTTCAACCCACTACTGAAGACGATACTGGCGGATCTAGAGAGGTGGGCATACCCACATGTATCGTGGTTCGGAAGGATAGCAGTTCTTAAAATGAACATCCTACCCAGGCTCTTATATTCGTTTCAGACACTCCCACTGGCCATACCCGCACACTTTTTCTCCACACTGAGGTCGGCAGTTATGCTCTATGTTTGGAGGGGGGAGAGATTGAGGCTCCGACATGATCTACTCTGCTTGCCGAGGCACCGGGGAGTACTGACGCTGCCCGACTTTAGACGATATCACCAAGCTACAGTCCTTCAGCGCATCCTGGAGTGGCACACAAACACGCATCGGAAACAGTGGGTAGCTCTAACCAGGGACGGACAGGAGGCTCGCCTAAAATCTACCATATGGGCAGGGGGTTCTAAAGTTGGTGGCAGAGGAGAATCGGAGGGAATAGTGGCTCAGACACTTATCAGCTGGAAACTCATGAGGGACCAAACCCATATCTCACCCTTGCCCAGCCCACTACTTCCCATTGCCCACAATCCGGCGATAGGAGGGGGATTCCCGTCAAGAACATGGCCCTTTGCGGAGGGACGTGAACATATCCCCATCTCCACAGTTTTGCGAGATGGCGCCCTGCGATCCCTGGACTCCCTGTTGGGAGAGACACCCCAGACTCCCCTGATAATGCCACGCTACATGCAGGTAACGCACTATTATGATGCCGTACGTGACAAAGAACGACTGCACAGGTTTGAGGCGAGATGCGAGAGGGGCTCATCACTGGAAAAAACGATATCCACCCTCTACCAACATCTTTTGGTGGGACACTTGGCGGAGAACGATACCTTCCACAGGCAGTGGGAGGCACTGATGGACACCACCTTCACACCCCAACAATGGGAAGGTGCATTACTCTGGCAACACAAAAGCTCAATCAGCTCACATTACCAAGAAATGAATTACAAACTAATCGCACTCTGGTATAGGACCCCGACGCTGCTACACAGGATCTTCCCAACGACGCCCCCAACATGTTGGAGATGCCTCTAGGAGAGAGGCATGACAATACATATATGGTGGGAATGTCGCCTCCTCGTCCCATATTGGGAGATGATCAGAGAGAAGATAAACAAAATCATAGGAGAAACGACAGAATGGACAGCGGCCCTGCCCCTTCTACATATTTCAAAGATGTCGATTGCCATGTACAAAAAAATCGATCCTGCGTCATTTACTCAATGCGGCCAAAGCCCTGATCCCACTATATTGGAAGAAGGCGGAGGGGGGGACAGACATGCAGAGATGTGGCGGCCATGGTTCGCATTTGTGTCCCGTAGCCGATAGGGTGGGATGGATTGGGTGGGGGGACGCGTGGGGGGGAAAACTGGCCCGACGAGGCGTGACCATTCCTGCCTGCTTTATTCTACCCTACCTAACCTATACTGAGGCCCTGGGGCAACTCTTCTTCCCTCTCTACCAACCTACTTCTGATTTTCACCTGTAACCTTTACATACACACGAGCAAATGGATAAGACACACTCACGCTATAGTGATAAGCCTGTATCTTGTCCGGGACCAGTCAGTGCGATCATAGAAAGACAGCACTATAATTACCTCATTCACGCCTATCACGGATTCCACCAATGACTTAAGGACATACACAAACCCTTAAAGGGTGGGATAGCTGGGACGGACAGACCCATGAAAGGCCTTGTAATCACTGGCAACACACACAGGTCCATATTTGTATGTAGTGCAAGGCCTTAGTAGCCACATGGAGCTCCTTGAAAGTCAACTACACCCGGTATGGTTAAGACCCCACCATAGCGTAGCGCCTCTTTAGATACTTAGCACGGAGTGCCATGGCTTGCAGGGTACACACAAAAAGCATGACACTCCAAGGGATGGCCTACAGCTACACACATTTGTGCCAGGTGGAGAAGGGAAGTACTGTACCATACCATGTGCTGATTGTTGTTGTGCACTTGTTTAAAATACCCGGCCTCTATGGGCCTGGTATAGCCCTACATGATGAACACTTCACCTACTATGTACGCAACCTTACTGTGCTATATGCAACCAGGACCTGCGAGTCCTCACTATTGAAAATGTTTGTATTGACAAAACTCAGTTTCTATACACACAGAATCTTAATAAAACAGATTTAAAAAATAAAAAAATAAAAAGAATGACTGACCCAACTTCAACTTACAGCAATTCAATGCTCAATGGCTTACTTGCAATCACATGCTAAATTAGCAATTTAAGGCTCATAATACTTTATACAAATCAATATAATAATAAAACATAAGCTGGGCATTGATTGAATAGCATTTCTGAAAACATATTTAGCCTGTGTGTGCAGTAGATAGACAGACAGACAGACAGATAGAGGTACAGACAAATAGAGCAAGTGTCCTAGGTTTGCAGATAAGCACAATTTATCCTGGAATGGCCATGTGAGTCTAACTATTGAGTGCCGGTTGGTGGGGGAGGTGGGCAGACCTAAAGTCACTATTCTAGGAGCACCACTTGGTAATTTATTATAGTGTGCAGCTCACAATACAGAATAGCATATAGATTGTTTGTCCGCTGGTACAATTTGAAAGCTTAATTAACCCGCTTTGTTCCTTTGGAATGCATGCCATGACTTGAAATACCTTCCCAAGACAGAGTTAGCTTTCAAATATTTCTGCCTGGAACTTCTTGTATTGTACTCTCATGTTGTAATATTCATAACAGACTAAACCCATGGGCTTAGTAACTAAACTCATTTGTGGTCGGAAACATAATAGCCGTATGTATGAACTGGTGGTGACAAGTCGGTTGTGGTGTGCAGTAAGCGACGCACAGGTAGGTAAAAGAGGGCCCACCAAGGTGAAGAGTGAATAAATATATAAATGATTGATAAAATAAATGTAACTTGTTTAACTACCAAGTGAGTTACTAAAAGGGCCAGGGCTTAGTGAGATATATATGTGTGTTCCTGTGTACACTCATTTTTTTATCAGATCATGTTGCAATATGATGTATCTACTTTCATAAAAGATAAATTCATATAATTTTCTCCACGTCCTGCATTACTTTTATTTATTCCCTGTATATTCTGTCTCTCCAGCTTGCGGTATCTTGAGAAAGATGTGTATACCAACAACCCGACTGCCCATTATCACACTCAGTTCAACACAACCAGCCGCTGAAAGGATTACCTTGCTTCTTCCTGGGTCCCTTTATCATCTTAATATCCATAACGAGATCTATGACACATATTGGTGCTATTAACAAATAAAAAATAATATTCAAATTGATTTGTTTTATTTACTTTGTGAAATCGAGTATGGTTAAGGAGTAAATACATTTTAACGGCAGTTCTCCTTGCTGTCTGCCCGGCAGGAGAGCGCCCGTGGCCCCTGGTCTGTAGCTCTACACACTGCGGATCTGCAGACCAGACATCACCACCGGACCACCAGGGAATGAAGGACACTGGACCCCCTCACTTTCACAACCATCCCAGTACACACCCTTTTTCACACCATTACCCTCTCCCTCCCGGTAACCTCTTCACTATCACCCCCCTCCCAGTATACCCCTTCCTTCACACCATCACCCTTCCATCCCAGTATCCCCCTTCCTCCCATTAACCCCCTCACTGGCACCTCCCTCCCAGTATACCCCCTCCCTCACACCTTTACCCTCTCCCTCCGAGTAACCCTTATACTATCACCCCCTCCCAGTATCCCCTCTCACTATCACCCTCCAGTATACCTCCTCCTCCCAAAAATCCACCTCACTATCACACCCTCCCAGTATACCCTCCTCACACCACTACTCCCTCCCTCCTAGTAACTCCTTTTACTATCACCCTCCCATCCTCACTATCACCTCTCCATCCTAGCAAGTGCCTCCTTTCCTCCTGTAACTCTCTACCATTTCCCCTCCCAGTATACCCCTTCCCTCACACCATTACCCCTCCCTCCGAGTAACCCCTTTACTATCAACCCTCCCAGTATTCCCCTCACTGTCACCCCCTTTCAGTATACCCCCTCCCTCCCAGTAACCACCTCATTATCACACCTCTCCCAGTATACCCTCTCCCTCACACCATTACCCCCTCCCTCCTAGTAACTCCTTTACTATCACCCCCTCCCAGTATCCCCCTCACTATCACCTCCCTCCCAGTATACCAATTCCCTCCCAGTATCCCCCCTTACTATCAACCCACTCCCAGTATACCTCCTCCCTCACACTATCACCCCTCCATACCAGTATCCCCCCTCCCTCACACTATCACCCCACTCCCTCCCACTATTCCCCTCCCTCACACTATCATCCCCCCTCACAGTATCCACCCTGCCTCACACTATCACCCCCCCACGGTATTACCCCCTCCCTCACAGTATTACCAGCCTCCCTCACAGTATCTCTCCCTCACACCATTACCACCTCCCTCACACTATCACCCAACTCTCCTCCAGTATCTCCCCACCAAACACCATGACCCTGCTCCCTCACAGTATCATACGCCTCCCTCAAAGTATCACCCATCTCCCTCACAGTATATCCCCTCTCACAGTATCATCCACTCCCTCACAGTATATCCCCTCCCTCACAGTATTACCCCCCTCCCACAAACCACCATCCCCTTCCTCACAGTATCACCCCCCTCCCACACACTATCGCCCCACTGTCCCACACAGTATCACACCACTGAGCCACACACAGGATCACACACACACAGCACACACAGGATCACCCATCACACACAAACTGTCACCCCCTCACACACAGTATCACCCCCCTTATACACACTGTCACCCCCACAATGTTGTGTCACCATACTCGCACACTGTCAGCCTCCCCTCACTCTCACATCCCCCCACATTGTCACCCTCCTCCACACTTTCAGCCCCTTCACACATTACACACTCACATTAACCACTCCTAATCCTGTTAATCTCACCCCCTCCAAACTCACCTGCCCTTACTCTGCCACACTCACCCTGTCAAATTAACCCCCCTAATTTTGTCACACTCACCTTCTCTCACTCTGTCATACTCTCCCCACAACCTTGCCACATGAATCCCATCACATCAATGCCTCTAATCCTGTCACACTCTGCCACACTCACTCTGTCACATTAACCCCCCTTAATCATGTCACACTCCCTCCTCCAACCATGCCACATTCACCCTTCACTCCAAAATTGTGATACTCACCTCACCCCAACTATGCCACACTTACCCTGTCACATTAACCCCTCCAATCCTGTCACACTCGTCCCTCCTACCATGCCACTATTGCCTTGACACACTTACCTCCACTCGCCCTATCACACTCCTTCATCAAACCATGTTATACCCGCCCTCCCTCATTCTCTCTCTCAAACCCCCCACCCTATCCTATTTGCCTCCTTTGTCCTGTCACGCTCTCCCTGCCACTGGTACGCTTTACTCGCTCTGTCACAGTCACCAGCTGAAGACATACATGATACACACTTTATTATTTGGTAAATTATTTTTTTAAAAGCTTTTTTGCTCAAACTAAATTTTCATTTTTGTTTTCGATAACCCCTTCACACCAGTACTTATATATATACACGACTGCCAGGCTATGCAACCATACCTCACAATTGTGTATAAAAGATTGGCATAATTGCAAATTAAATTTATTTATTGCAAATTCCTTTTGTTTGCACATTATGCTACAACTATAGCCAGAGAGCTCACAATACAGGGGCACAGGAAGCTGTGACACTGCAAGCTCCTGAACAATGAATGCAGAGACTGACTCTCTGTATCCCACGCTGCAAGCCCGCCTTTCAATATAGCAAATGCTTCTCACACACACAAAAAATACAACCCTATTATTTTAAACTTTGGGTGTTAGTAGGGCCTCATGCTTTAATTTTGCCTAAGGCTTCATGAATGCTAGAGTCGACTCTGGCTTTAAGTATGAAGAATGTGCCTTATTTCTTCATTTTACAAAAATTGCAGATTTTAGTAAAAATTGTCACTTTTGTAAATTAACATTGTTACACCCCCTGGTTGTTACTTCCTGGTTTAGTTAGCTCAGTGGAGCTGACCTCAAGAGGGAGCAATTGTCCAGAGTACCTGCCTTGCAAAGACGTCTCATTGAGCTGCATTGGGAAATCTGTGATTGGACACAATATACACATTTCACAGAGGAATAATAAGGTCATGTGGTCCCGGGAGCAGGTACATAATTTGTGCCCCCCTTTAAGCAACCAGGAAAAACTTTAGGTTTATCTGGTACTCAAAGCCCACCAACACATCAGATTCTGATCCTTTCACTTGCTAACTTACATACACACACACATTCAAAACTTTCAGCCCCAGGTCCATAAGGCCCTTAATCCAGCATAGGGTTGGACATCACTGGCTGATACAGCTGGCCATCACTGGAGACTGGTGTCAAAGAGGGCTCATATCTGTGTACCAGGCAGAGCATTAACTGCTGGCTACCTGACACACAGAGACTTCAATGTGCATTCCAAGGTTCTATACAAGAACACGATTTGTCATCTAAACCAAATTATTTCAGCTTCTTAAGCTGAAATCGCTGTTCCTTCCTTTTTGTCCATCCCCACCCCCCTGCCAACTCATCCCTCTCCTATGCCATCAACTCCATTCATGAAGGGGTACTTTTATTCTCACTGTATGAACAATCCTAGTCTTGCTATGGAGGAAGGGATAAAATGCTGACCCTCAATGGCAGCTGCTGTGCCTTGATGACATCATCAGTGTTTAGTCAGCCTCTGTGATGCTACGGCCAGTCCTGCCAAGACTCTGGCATAGCCAGAAATCAGTATTGCAGGGGTCAGCAGCAGGAAGGCACATATATATATATAACTTTCTTGTGGAAATCTCACCCAAACTGCAAACGAGGAGATAACCAGAGTAGACAAGGTAGGAAAGAAAAAAGTAAAACATCTTTTGGTGTCATGGAGCTGCTTTACTCATGTCCAATCACTGTTTTGGCCCAAGATGCTAAATACTGCATTTTGGCGACTGGGGGATGGCACTGACATCTGAGGTTTCACAGGCCAGTTTACCCTGATTTACTGCCACTGCAAGACTGAGGTAAAGCTGGTTCATGGGTCCTGTTTCCAGAGTGACTCCTACACACTAATTGACACACAGAGTAACTCATGCAAACACACTGACACACACACGCACACACACAGAATGACCCATACAAAAGTACCCACATTCACTGACACACTACACTCTCAATCAAGTTGTTCCTCACCTGAAGTTGTCTGTATGCAACACTGCTACAGCACACGTTTCCAGCCTGTCCTCCATTTACCCGCATGTTGGCAACTGGGATATGACATTATTATGTATCCCAGCTGCTCTTAGCAAGCGCTGGACTGTAATGGACCAATCGGGCCATAATGGGGAAGAGTGGCTCTAACTGATGCATTATTATTGGCAGGGGAGGCTCCCTTATATCTCCCCATCCAGCAGGCCTGCCCTTTCCATTCAGTAGGCAGTAAAAAAATAAAAAAAATTTTTGTGAATAGCTTTTTATTTAGACAAGAGTAAATCTTCTCTCTCGCTTTCTTATTTATTTATTTTTTAAAGATTACAATTTATAAGAGAGTAGTACAAGACTCGAAAGTCTGTATCAAAATATAAGTTGAACTGTGGAACTCATAGGTTCTGTGAACATCCGAGGAACATGTGAGACGCGCAGGTCTTTATTATAGTTGAGAAGGTGGCAAATGTGTTGGTTACTTAACAGAGAAATGTAATAAAAACTTTGAGGTATCATACAGCATTTCAACTGAAAACAGGGAATGATACCGTAGTTCTTTGTCCAAAAAGGTTTTATTTTTGAGCAATTCCACGACAGATGAAGTAGGGTGCCCACTTCCTCCCTGCACCTCCAGCACCTCACATCTATGGAAGGTATAATTACATGAAACAACTGGGGAGTCCTGTACCATAAGGCTAGCAGTTTGTATGCAGTCTCCTGGGCTTTACGGAATACTGCACAGTATTGCGTAAGATCACAGATATTGTGCCACTGCCGGGTAGTAAATGCTTCCCCTAAGGCCTCCTTCCATTTCCCCATGAAGTGCGGTGGTGGTGGTCTCTGCTGTGTAAGGATCACATTATATAGGACTGGTATCCTGTGTTCCAGGGGGTCAACATCTGTACAGATCACCTCCATTGGGGTAAGGTCCCTGGTCAGGAGAGGTCTCTGTGGGATGGAGTCAATGAATTACGTCAGCAATTTGTAACGAAAGCGTTGCATGAAGTTTGGGGTGTCTTCATTAAG